ATAATGTATCTTAAGCATGATAGATCAACAGCGATGCACTTGTTAAAAATCATAGAGAATGCTAAAGAGACTAAATAAAGCAAGTAAAAAGATAACAATTTCAAGCGTCTGTTAAAGGATTTCAATCAAGAGATAAAGTTAAACTTGAATAGTTACAGAAGCAGAAATGGGTGTGGGAAACTCCATTGTTTAAAATTTGAGCAATGCGTTGGTATCGCATCAATTATTTGATAGATTTGCAATTAGTTCAAAGGACTCAGAACGTTCTAGCTATGCTAATGAGTGTAGAACAAAAGAAAGAAAAAGGACAGGTTTAACGATGAATTCTCTCTTTTCTGAAGTACAAATGGCATTACCATGAGATGTACAAGTGTCACAATTGACAGTATTTTACTAAAAATGACTCCAAAAAAAGCAAACAATCAAACATGCTCTAGATTGACACTCTACATAATGGAAACTTTTTATTTTGAATTCCAGTTGAAACTAAAATTGCAAATCTCATTATTACAAGGTAAATTGTAACCCGCTAGCCTGTTTTTACACAATAAAACTATAAGATTCGTAGTAGTGCGAAAAGAAAATGAAGGGTAAAAAAGGGAGTAGCTCTGGCTTAGTACAGGATTTGTTTCTACAACAGAATATATAGTATGTGGTGCGAATGAAAAAGCTTGGAATTTTGGAGATGATCAATAGACAAAGCGTTTCTGTTGATGATCAATAGACAAAGAGTCACACATGTCGATGAATGAGCTGCAGGAGATGCCAAAAATACCAAGTGAACTGATGGAAAGATTGACAAACTGATGGAAGTAATAATAAGAAATGATGAAATAATAGTAATAATAAGATTTTTGTTTAGCTACAGTAGAAACCCGCATAAAAGAACATATTTTTATAAGAACATTGAGGCTGAAATTTAACCTTTAAAACCTCATAATCAAGAACCCTAAAGAGGTTGAAATTTGGAAAGGTTCTTATATATATATAAATATGAAAGAAAAAGGGGTTTTCAGAGTAAATCAGGTTATGGTATGTTGCATTCTAATTGGACAATCTAACAACACACATTCATTAGATTGGTTGAAATTTATCATAAAAAAGCTGGCTTAAGTGTGTCCATTAGAATTCTTGCGGTGGAAAACATTGTTAATGTATGCAAGGCCTGTACGTTTATAAGTGCCTTGTTAAGAACCTTATAGGCTGGAATTTAGAATAGCAGCCTGTTAATTGAGAACCAATCAGGCTGCCAGAAAAAAACCTAGGTTCTTTTATATCTGACAATTTCTCTGCTTTAGAAAGATTATAAACAATATAACGTATGAGTTTTTATATGTTTTCTCTAAAAGTGCTTTTATTTTTAAAGGACAAGCACTAATAACAGCAATTTTGTAATTTTGGAAGTTTTTATCCTGTTAAATTATTCGTCATTTTTATCACTTTATTATTGTTATTCATCGGGTCAGATACTTGTTTACACTTTGCTTTATAAGAATATTGTTGATAAGAATATCTAGGCTCAGAATGAATAAATTTTAAGAATATTAAAATAATATTGCTCAGTTTCAGTTCGCACATTTGTGTCTCATTTTTCGGAAGTTGCATGTATTACTATGTTCATAACAGGCAATCGCATGACTGAGATATGGTTTCTAGTCGAGGGCGGGCGATGTTGCCCTGAAACCATATCAGATTTGAAAAAAATAAGAATACTTTTAGAATATTTTTAGGCTCAAAACAAAAAATTCTTAAGAATATTGAGGCTGGACAAAGTTTATAGTTTTCTTACAAAAAGAGTGTAGAGAAAAAAAGAGTACCCTGTTTTTGACTGGGAATGGCTCTTAGAGCCAGAGAGTTATTTGATAGAGAAAAGATTACAAACAGAGATATATGAATAACGAAGAATAGCAAAGGGAAGTTAAGAAAGAGGGGATTATGCCAAAAAGCCAACTTTTTTCCTGTTTGCCTATAAAGAAGGCACCATTTAAAAAATTTGAGAGAGATAGGGTTATAATTATTGTCATTAAAAGAAGTCTTTCTTAACGCAGGGCTTTTATAATCTTCTAAATTGCTAACTCTTGTTTGTTCGAACTGACCCATGCTTAGCTAGGAGTTCAGTTTTCTTGCAACCTGCTTACTTGATACCGTACCTTCAGCTTACATCATGAAATACTGATTACATAAATGGGAGAATCTTAATTGTCACCGGCCAATTGCTTGAACACAACAATAACTACAAGATCGAATTACGTCCGATAAAGATAAGAGTATTGATGAACAACAGAAACGTTTGTCGAGTTGCCTGATTTGTTTGTTTGGTTAACAGTTACATCTCTTTAATGAAAACTGATAAGACCCTTTGCGGTACTCAAGGACTTGGTCTTCAGCTGCAAACGGTATAAAGTGACAACTGGTAAATCCAACCACTTCGAGGTAACATATTGCCAGGGATGTGAGATTAAAACAGGTACTTTCATCTAGCATTATGAGAAACTCGTTGGCTTGTTTATTTTCTATAAAAACATAGCAGTTCGGCTTCTGTGAAATTTCGATCACAGGAAAGTTTGTTTTCCATGTTTCTTGTGGTAAGATATGTTTGTAATAATCGGCTTGCTTTCAATATCCTATGTTTTTAACTTATAGGCCGGTGGATGAGATATCTCCTGAATTGCTTTGTTCATCTAAGTGTTGCTCTGTTTAACTCCCTGAGAGGCACAGTGGCTAATCTTGCTAAAGTTGCAAAAACCTCTCATTACATTCTAACTCTTTTAAGAAACAAATCTTTGTCAACTTGAACTTTAAGGCAAAAAACATACATGGTACAACAGCATTGTCTAAATTTGCGTATTCAGGTGTTCTGCTTTAAGTATGTCATACCTGTACATACAATTTCTATGGTTTTTGTCAGTTTTACCATCGTCATTTACCATTTTGCTCTTTTGCCAAATACCCTTCAGATTTCAACTGATGAATAATTTAAAATCTATGAACAAAAATAACTAGTTTTATTTCAATTCTATTTTCTTGTCTTAATCAAAGACATTCAGTCACCTCATCTGACATTTAATTGAAAAGAAAACCGAATTCACACAAAACTTTCTACTGCGAGTTTCTAGAATTTTCTATGTATGTAGCTAGACTTTCAAGCAAAAGTGACAATAATGTGGTCTGTACCACCCAATAAACAGTGTTAAAAACAAGACTTTGTACAAAGGATCATAAACTTTTAACAAATTAACTTATGAATATTTGCTTGAAATTTTTATCATATTTAGCATTTTATCGATTTTTGACTGGATCAAGAAAAGATAAGTCGGATACTTCGAAACAAAGGCAAAAGTACTGCAACATTTTCTAGGTCTGGCGTCGAGAACTTTCGGAGTTATTATAATTAAAAATTTGCTATGTTTAGTATACTCTCCATACAAAGACACATACAAAGGAGGTGAAGACACATAACAATAAAGTTTATACTCTTGAGAATGTCGGACGAAAAGTACTTTAGTATTCTTTGTTTCAGCTATTTAGGGCCATCTTCAATTTTTGCGGTGCCAAACACTTATTTAGTACAGTGAGAGTAAAATTCTTTAGAACTTTTTAAAAACTTGGTAATTTTGTGACATACAAATGTAGCTTGCGACACAATGTCATTGTAAAAAGACAATCAAAACACAACAAAGATGCAACACTTCTATCATATATGCGTTCCTTGAAGACTAAGCTAAATTTTTGCCTAAGAATAGAAAAATTTAGTTACCAACATTCGAAACAGTTTTTGGCAATACAAAACAACTGAATTAGATTGTTAATCTCCATGGGAAATAAATTCTTTATCTGTTGTGATTAAATAAAAAAAGTTTCAATCAAAAATAACAGTTGAGTCAAAATGAAATTTATGACCATAGTTAAGTCAAAATGAAAATTAATAAATACTAAAGTGTTACATACTTACCTTTAGTATGAAGTATGCGCTACTCATTTTTAAGGCATATCACCATACGTTTTGGTTTAGGATTGCAAGGATATTTTCATGTTTTTGCATGTTTTTGCATTTTTTAGTCTTCTTTTTGTCTTTTATGATTGAGATTGTCAATAATTCGTCACAGTTCATTTTCGTTATCGGAATAAAGCGAAGAGTTGTCTCATTCAGCAAATCTTTTGCTTTCAACTTTCTGGATATTGATATGTGATTTTTGCAATTGTTCTTAGATCACTAGTGTTTGAGCTGCTTGTCTGACTGATGCTGATAACTGAAGAAGCCATTGATAATCTCAGTAACAAAGTTAAGAATAATATTTTGAATACAATTAAATGGTTCGTTGCCACTACGTAAAGAATCAACGGGATGTCAAAAGAACAAAGCAGAACGCTTCTACTGAGAATTTGTGAAAATCACTGTAATGTTAAATTTCAGGTTGGTGTTTTCAGACGGAGGATTCCAGGTAGAAAAAATAAACAAAAGTCACCTAGACTAATTCAACTGGTCTGCTGTTTTTAAGTAATGTTTGCGGTTTATGGTTAGAACTGCATAAAAAAGTTTGGATTGGAGTTTGGCTTAATACTGGTTGGCCATAAAACATTAAAGTCGAGGTTTTAGAAATACATATAGCCTTTCTACTCGCATCCTGTCTTGTTCTACGTCTCCTCTTTGAATACTTTTAGAATTTCTACTAATTAACTGGCGAATAACTGCAATTGATTTTCTTTAAGGAATAATCTGACCTCAAAGGCAACATTGATTGGTCAATTCTTGATTGACAGGTGGGCTAAGCAACTTAAGATCTGGCGATTGTCTTTAAGCACAAAATAGCATCAGTTTTTACAATATAACCACAATAGTAACGGATTACAAGCAGACACGAATACAAGAAAGAGAAAAATATACAACCTAAAACTGGTGACTCCTCCTATCTTATAGGAATCAGTGATTATTATTTCGATGTTTGATGAGTTCAAATCAAATCAGGTGTATCAAATCAAATCAAATCAGTTGTTTCAAATCAAATCGAATCAAATCAAATCAAATCAAATCAAATCAAATCAAATAAGTGTATCATATCAAATCAAATCAAATCAAGTGTACTAAATCAAATCAAATCAAATCAGATGAATGAGACCAAATCATATAATCAAATCATTTACAGATATCAAATCAAGTCAAATAGATCAACTCTTATCTCGTGTATCATCAAATCAAATGTAGAAAAAAAATAACTTGGTTCAAATTAAACTGCTTATCAAAACAAGTCACATGGATCAAATGAAATCTCATGTTTCAAATCAAATAACCGTGAGTCTTTTACTACAGTCGAACCTCTAATAGCGGCCACTTCCGAGGACCAAGCTTGGTGGCCGTTTTTTAATAGGTGACCGACCGATATGGAGAGGTTTTTCATATATTCTTTTTATCAAATAGTTCATTTCTTTGCGAAAGGTAGCCTGTTTGACTGTTACTCGAGGAAGAATAAGGCACTGGAGCACTCCCAAGTGGCCGTTTGGCCGTTGATTAGAAGTGGCCGCTGTGCGGAGGTTTTGACCAAATTCAGCAGGGACTTTCTCCACTGGCCGCATATCTGGAGGTAGCCGTTGCACAAAGGTGACCGTTATTAAAGATTTCACTGTATTGATAAAATAAGCGTGGAATGTCCTGATAAATTTGAATAGTTCTGCCTAAAAATGCAAAAAAATTCTCGGTAACATGGTTTACCCTGCCTAATGGTTAAGCGTCAGTAACAAAGAGAATGAATTCTTCATAGCTAGAAAGATTCACACTAAAGTGTTAACTTTCCATTGAATCCACCAAACTTTATTAATTTACTTTCTTATAAACTCTTTCTCTATTAAACACCTATATCATAGATCTAATGTTTACGCGTTAACTAGCAAACTTTTTAAATGCGTAAGTGTACAAAAGACAGAAACACAACCAGGAAATAGCCAACTAAGTTTGTAATATTTTCCATAATATAAAAGTACGGCTGGCAAATAGATTTTCCAAGTAGCATTGAATTGGGAAGAGGATAAAGCATATCAAAGGAAGGTATTAATGTGCGGAAACATTAGATAAAACGTTTATCGACAGCAAAGAGCGTATTTCTTTTAAAAACTCAAACTTTTTGCACGAAAGACTAAACAGTTCAAATTTTAGAATTCCTTTAATCGAGAGAAACAGACTGTTGCGAATTAAAGTGATCCCGTTTTAGACCTAGAAGTTTTCCCAGTAAGATCAAGCGTGTCCATCATTGCATAGAATAGAATATCAAATCAAAACATATCAAAAGATTTAAACATAAATGTCTATACGATTCGGCTTTTCAGATGGAAGAAGATGAAAAAACTCTAACCAATTCTTGATGACCCCTTTATCGTACGGATTTCGATAGGTTCCACTCTGGGGGTCTCTCAGGTATGAATATCGCAGGATGTTCACTCTCTCATTCGTTGTAAGATTTAGAGATATTTGTGCGATCTATAAAACAAACAACATTCAGTGAATAACAGGAGTATTGATAATCGGTCATATACACAACCTGATGACGGAAAAGGCGTGAAACTCGGAGCTACAACTTGATACTGTCCTGCTCTACGCACCACAGCTTTTGGAGATTGTCAAAAATTCGACTTGCTTTTAGCATGCTTTATTTAACTTTAACCCATACAAATATTTTATTAGCCATTGTATTAAATTAGATTATTAAACTTGTTACTTCTAACTTACAACGTAATTCCTCATTGATTTGAAAATTGGCAATTCTTTTATTAATCCGAGACAAAAACGCTGTGCTTTCTAGATCTCTTTCACATAACAGCTTTCTATTTTTGTTTGCTATGTTTTTCCCATTTTGCTATTGTTTTCAATCTCCAAAAGGGACAAGAACAATGAATTCTTCTGGAAAGAAGTTAGGTGAGAAAAGATCTACTATAACTAAAGCTAAAAGTGCAACCTCAAGATGCTACGTTTGCGAAACATAAAAACAACATTGACAACTTAGTACTTACAATGACAAGAAGCGTGTATGTGAAAAGAGGTGATGCCAGCCCATACAGCATGAAAAAAAGAACTCTAAAAACTGTGTATCCGTACTCTTTGACTACAAGCCGGGCCAGGTAAATGGCAATATATGATGATGTCATTGTCACGATAAAAAACACCAGAAATATGGCCCTGCAAAAGTAAACGTACAAAAAATATATGGTCTTCTAGCTTATATCCAAAAAAATGATATATTGTTCACTTCATTCGGATGCCCACTTCCAAAGAAAAGAAACAGAAAATCTCATAGGTTTCGTTGGCAAAAAAGCGACCAAAGGGGTCCATCTTTCAACTTGATTTCCAGAAAACCTACCACGCGCCCAAATGTCTACCCTCGTTTTTCTGACTTGCATAATGATTTAGTTAACGATTACGAAGAGTGAATTCGGGCACAAAAAATTTCTACGGGATCCACCCCAGCGTATGGACTATACATAATTTTGACAAATGTGAAAAAGTCACTAGTGTTTGATGAAGGTGTTTTGAGTCGGTTGACATGTAGTATGTAGTTAACCCATTAACGTCAGTTGGTATAAAAAAGTAGCAAGGATATCTTATCTTTTTGTTCATTTTCGAAAGGAATGTTAGCTAAATATTGTAGTTACATCAACATTGCTTTATTGTTACACAAGCTTTAATCTAAATGCATTCTTATACCGTCTTTCACATGCTGCAAGGGAGAGCATTTAAAATAGAAAGGTTCATGTCATAATCAGTCTAATAACATCAGTCTAATAAGCCATGCAATCATACACCGTGTTGATAGAACACAGAGGTGCCAGATTCTCAAAATGACAAATCAAGCAAAGACAATACATTCACATTAGTTGGGGAATAGATCACTTCTTTAATTCAAGAATAGAAGTTGACCTCAACAAAGGTGAAAGGCCATTTTCCCTTGCCGTGACAGGTTATCTCACCTGTTTTTCGGTCCAACGCAATTATAAATGTAATCGCAATGATGATCCATCATTAGCACACATCTGTTGCATATTCTGCAATGCTTTGACCGTGGAGGTCGAAGCAACCGGCAAGTGTGGCAAAGGCGAGAGAGCGGATTGTCTTCAGAGTTTATCTCCCATTCTTTATGAACAGCTACCTGTGCGGATAAAATGTGTATGCTAGCAGCATATGGTTCAAAGGTAAAATAAAACATGTTTAAAAATGATAAATAATGGCAGGTTCGCAATGATAGACGAAAATATATAGAATGCCTAAAATGCCTAGATTTCATAAAAAAGATATCGTAAGAACTAGGCAAAACATTACCAATAATTACAAATAATTTCATGAAACTGAGCTGTTAACAACGATAAATATGAGCGATGATGAGTAACATCTCAAAATTTCTCAAATGCGTTCCTTGGTTAAAATATTGCCAATGGTTGAAAAGGTCAAGAAAACTGTGTTTTGGTGAATAGACACTACTTTCAAGGTGCTTAAAATCAACAGAACTCCTCTTCAGTAAAACTTATGCAAGAACTTGAAGTATTGTTTGTATTAGCATCCAGACCAAGAGTCGATGCAAGCTTTCTGTTCGTAAAAATGAAATTGAGGAACAAAGCAAAACGGTGACGAGAATATGAGAGAAATTTTAAAATAAAATAAATAGAACGAATAGTAATATTTCGCTCCGACAAACAGGGCTTCGTCATTTTGTATCTGACTTTCAAGCAAAAATTGATAAGAAAGCTGACCTTTTTCAATGACAGATCATACTCGTCTGAATTGCAAGGCAGAAATCCTGGATCAGCCTTTGACGTTATTATGAACGAATACCACATAATCACATTAAGCGATATGAAAATAATATTCCAGTATTGCTCTACTGTCCATAAGTAATTGAACTTGAAAGAAAAAGCAATGCATAAGGAAATTGATCATATTAAGGTTAATTTTGATACTTGCAAAATAACTTAAAATTCAAATTAAGTATAACTTCAATATTTAAGAAAATAACTTGGCTTATCGACAGAATCTTTGTTTTTATAACGTCACAATAGCAATAGGCCGGAAAAAATTTAGCATCTAGACTTGAGAGTGGATAAAATATTGCCAAATTGGTGTCTGTATTTTATGATTAGTCGCTATAACAAAAACGACTCTAGCGATTATAGAGACTCTAGAAAAATCAAATCTTTTTAGTTGTATATCTCTAAAATAAAGTTTTCAGATTATGAATATTAGAGGCAAAAGCTAAAATATCAAGGTTCTAAATTTGTGTCTTAACACATCACCCCACAACCGTTGGATTCTGGCACAAAAGGAAAATTAAAATATTATCGTGTAAAGGACACCAGAGCAAGAGCAATGGAAAGGTCTTTTCCACTACCGAACATGAAGAACAATGGAGATTTTGAAAGGATACGATCCACAGCAAAGGACCACAAAGAATGGAGAAGATTATCAGAAGTAGTGTGCAGAGCTGCAGAAGCAGAAACAACATGAAACCTTCATGTCGGGACTGCGCAACTGCAATTATATATAATATATAAGGATATCTATAGAAATCATTGGATTTTTATTACCAAGCATATTGGCATAGTGACATCCTTTGTAAACAGATAAACAGTAATTATAAAGAACAGAAAGCTTGAAAAAATAAAGATTGAAATAAAATTTAGCGAATTATTGGTGGTAGACATGTAACTGTAAACTTACATGATAGAAGTACATTGGATAACTAAAACAGAGAAGAGAGATCAAGAAGAAGTACAGCCATTTCTTGTCGCTTGCAGTTGATCCCAAAATACGTTTCCTGTAACATGAAAACAATTAACAAACAAGTGTTTAAATAAATCTATATGAACAAGTTCTTGAAGGGAAAGCATTCTTTTCAGATCAGATATAATTTGTCCTGACACATTTCAATGGTCATTTAAATTTCCCATTGGCTGGACTTATATACCTATGTGTCCAATCGGCAGCGTAAGTCAGAGTATAGAAGAAAATAACATTAAAATAGAGTTCAGATGGAGTGACATGATCTTTTCTTTACTGGAAGGTACTGAAAAGGTCAATAAAGCAAAGGAATTAAGAGCAAATGTTTGTAACAGCAACCTTTTATGCATGCTTCTTCAGGTCAAAAAATAGGTTTTAGCCACTTGCAAGAGATATACTTTTATGTCTCTAGTGTTCAAATAAACTGGAGTCTGACTTTAGCAATAAATGAGATTTACATAAAACAAATTCAAATTGAAATGGATACCCTATACCTTGGAAGCTTTTTTCAAATATTCTTAATTCTATTACAATTTTCAAATTTTCTCACCAAACAAGCCCAAGGGGTTAATATAAGGTACATTGAACAGAAAAGAAGAGACATTAAGCATACAGGGAAAGAAATTGAATTCTTCTGCAAAAAGCACTCTTTTATAAAATAACGGAAATGATTTTGAAAACCAGCAAGAAGGAAATAATGTATTAAAAGTCCCTTTTACGAACAATATCAAAGTACAGAAAGACAATATGTTAAAAGAAGAGTTGATAATTAATGAGTATTTTAAAAGAACTGTCAAAAAGTTGAATTCTGTGCCTTTGATTTCCTTTCCTAAATATTTCTGATGAGAACCCCATAGGTTTTCTGGAAGAGTGGCTTAAATTTCAAGGTAATAAAGTAAATATGCAAGATTTAATCTACCCAGTTTCCTTTCTGATCATGCTAAATACACCTACATGAAATAAACTCTTGAAATCAAATTTTTTTCCTTTTCACCTCAACAGGTTTTACTATTAATATTGCTAAAAACAAATGACATGAAAAGAAAAGTGGCATGGGACAAAAGGTATCATTAACAGGAGGAGAAGAGCTTTTAAGTGCTAAGCAATTGGTATTGACTTTTTTGTTTTTAGATATTGAATAGGTTGTTATATTAATTTTCTACCGGTGATTCTAAGGTAGTTAAAAGCATATTTTGTCTACTTTGAATGGCAAACCAAAACTTCCACCACATAAATGGCTGAAATTATTACAAAGACAAATTACCAGAAGCTAAACACGGTATCCATCCTCATCTTTCTTCTCAGATATTCCATTATATTTTTGTACGATCTGCCTGTTGCCAGATCAAGTGGTGTTTTCCCATTGTTGTCTTTCAAAAACAAATCAGCATCCTATATTATTAGAAAGCTTGTATTAAAATTAGAATTTTGCAAACTAAAACTTCAAAAGTCTCTGCAAGACATGTTTGATGCTTAAATAAAGGTATTGTAAATTGGAATATGGAACAGCACTATATGCTGAGAACAAACAACAAAAACACAGGTAAATCAATTGTATACTTTTTACTATGGGTTTGGTGAAGGAGTCTCCTTCTTCATTTAAATTTGGCAAAGACTTCTGTTATTCCCAAAAATACAATAAAGATGGTATACAGATGACAAAGTAGGTATTTTCTTAAAAATTAAAATCTACGAACACAATGAATTTGATTAGAGAAATGTGTAATACCTGATCAACAATCAGCTTGACAGTTGCCAGGTTTCCACTCAGACAAGCAAGATGGAGAGGTGTCTGGAATTAAGTCAAATAAGAAAATATTTTAAAAAACCTTGAAAGCATAGAAATAATATATACATAAGTATCAATCAGCAAAATAAAAGGGACAATTGATCGGTATACAATAAGAAGTATCTAGAGATAGCCTTTCTGAAGTTTTGAGGAGTCAAATGGAGTCCAATGGAGTCCAAGGCAACAGTATTAATTAGCACTAGTGAGCTGAAATAGGTTGGTAGCCGATCTCTAAAAACTTTCCAAAAATGATGTAACCTTATGAACTTCTTAAAAAAGTTTGTCATTTTTAAATGCTGGTAAAAATGGATTTGAAAAAATAGTCAGTAACTAGCAACATTAGGGCATCCATTTTTATGAGGGAACAATGTCCAAGAATCATCCAGATGCATGTAGTTTCATTTATTACTTTTCAGTTGGTAGTTTGAAAAACAATTTTAAAGACTCATTGCTAACAATGAGCCATTGCGCTACGCAAGCATCCCATAATGCATTTTTAGACAGTCTGAAATCAATTTTGGATAATCTGTAGAAGTTTACTGCCATTGTTTGGATTGTCGCCACGCTCACAAAGGCCCATTGTTAGCAATGAGTCTTTAAGCAGTTATGTAGCACACTGAATGTTTTCTCTAGCACAAACTCTTGCCATTTTATGAATGATACAAATAAATACCTGATTGAGAGTATCCCTTTGCCGAGGATTGAAGCCACTGTATAACAAAAGTTGGACCATCTCAGAGTAGCCTGCAACAATGACAACATAATAATATTAATGATTCACAAAGTGCTTGATGCCATATAGGCTGAGCTGTTCTATTTTTTACATCAAATAGCATAATTGCAAATTATGTGAGTTTTTAACAGAATTTCTAACAAAGGCATATTTGGTTAGCATATCCTGCCAAAACAGTGAGCCAAGAACACATAATTTGAGTTCATGTATAAATGTGATATTTGAGGCTGCCAAGAGCAGTAAAGTGTAATTTATCTATAACATACATACACAAACTAAACAAATTGGTGTGTCATGTGAATTTTACCTTTGAAAGCTGCCCAGTGCAAAGCATTATCCCCATCGATATCTGTAAGATCTTTTCTAGCCCCTTTACCAATTAAATAGCCTGCTAGCATTGTTTTTCCATACTGTGCTGCATAAATCAAGGGGGTACAATTCCTGTTGTCAGTTGTGTCAATTGATGCTCCATTCTGTAAAAGTATATCTACTGTAACAATATGACCATTTACACATGCCCAGTGAATAGGTTTTGGTGCAAGTTCATTGTTGCTTTCTTTGTTTACTGGAGCATTGGACTCAATAAAAAACTTCACAATATCATTATATCCAGCTAGAGATGCCCAGTGTATGGGGGAATGACCTTTTTGATCAACTGTGTACAAAATTTCAGGTCCCTCTGTTTGAACAATTTGACGGCATTTGTTGAGGTCTCTGCAAAAGATAAGCATCATTGCTGTTTACCACAACTATAAAGTTATCATTGACTTCTTATGCAAAATATTGAATTGAGAAAAACAATGTTACTTTAATTCCAGGATACTTTACATTAATTGCAAGAAAAACAGACTCAATAATCCATTTTGGTGCTTATAATCAGAGCATATAGCACCAAATTTGTTTGAAAATTTTGAAAATGTTCATGCACGGTCAGAATTTATAGAAAAATATTGCTTCCAAAACCTAATGTTACTGTTAATGTTACTATAAACAATTTCTTGATGAAAACATCCATTTTTCGATCTTTTCACATTCAAGTAGCCAACTTTTGAGGCACACAATGGTACCAAATTTGAAACAAACATAAATATTTACAGTGGAAAAAATCTAAGTAAATGAAAGTTTCCATAATTTCTTTATCAGAACTTTTAGTTGAGGCCTGAAAATCTCTTGACCTGTTAAGCTAATTATTGTATTACATGTCAAGCCAATTACAAAATTACATTGCACATCAATGTATCCAACGTAGGGCCTTGTTTATTTAAACAGGCTTATTGATCTTAAAGCTTCAAGCAACTTGACCCGGATTACACTGTGGTTTATGAGTGTACACTCCCCTCACAAAAGTATCCAGACAGTTTCGAATTCAGTTGTGAATCTTTTGTTAGAGAAAATTTGCTTACAAATTTCAAAGACAGTTTTCATGAAAATATTTTTATCAATTTCCTCGAATTTTCACTTGAAGTTTTCTTGGCCTTTTTAATCTTTTAATTTGTCAAAAAAAATAATGCTATTGATGTATAAGCAAACCTTGTGGGGGTTTTTTCTCAAGATAGTAGCGACCGAAACAAAATAATTGACTTGTGAGCAGTGTCTAGAAATAAGGTTTTATTACAATGATGGGAAAAAGCTATCCTTAAATTGCTAATATCACTGGATGCACAAAGACTGCCACTTTTGAGATATGCAAAAAATTTTGAGAAACAAGAAGTCTAAGTAACCAATCGAATGGCTCAAAACTTTGCAAATGGCCAGGACAGATGTTGGGTAAGCAAATCGTATCTCAAAATTTGTGTACTTGCTCTGGTCTGTCGTTTATAGCCAAATACAGCTATGAGAGGGAAAAAATTTGTTTGCCAATTTTTGACAGGGTATAGTTTTAAGGGGAGGAGGAATTTGAAAAATCTGAGACACACTTTGGTAGCTAAGGATCTGCTGATATAAGTCAATTTTTTCCACCGCAAAAACAAGGGTACAAAATAGCTTTTAAAGGTGGTACACTCATTTAAGCAATAAATTTTCCTGGAAAGTATCATTTTACAATATTTGCCAATTATTTTGATATGGTTGGAATTGCTACATTCTTGTGCGTCGAATGATTTATGGTTTAATCTGATTCCATCAATAGTTTTGCTTATAGGGAGAGAAAACTAAATCTTGTGCCAAAAACATTTACTGTAACCTTAATTGAAATACTTTCAGCTTAGTACTGATACAATAAAAAAAGTTAGTTTTGTGTATGTCCAGCTAAAACTTGCTTGAACCAAGTTATCATATTAAAAGCATGGGTCATCTTGGTCAAATGTCTCAGATCCTAATAAAAAGTATCAGTAAAAGGAAAAAATAAAATGTTTTGAAAATATTGAGTATTGCAAGTTAATACAAGAAATGAAATCATATGCAATGGCAGCTTTTAGACAAGAAAAATAATGTCTGGCAGCTATCAGAAAGCTAGAATATAGCCTTTTAATTTTCCAAAGTTGTTTTCATAAACATCAGGGCCAGTTAAAAATATATATGCTTATTTGGAAATTAATGATGAAAGCATACAACATAACCTTTTGATCTATGCATACCATACTTTATAGTCTGGCTCCTAAAAAACTTTATCATCGTTTTTTTGCTAACCCAAAAGGAGTTCCTTGTTTACTGCTGCATTGAGTTTTCATTTTGCAGCATGCTTATTTTGCAGCATGTTGAAGTGACAACCAAAACCTTTATAAAGCTGAGCATATACTACAAGGATAGCATTTTGAGAAACATTCTTTAAAGCAACTGCCTTCTGTAAAGCAACCTAAAGGGTTATCAACAAACAATTTTTGTCATATTTCATTGAACTGAGCTGTTAAACACTGAACCTCCTCCCTCTTTCAAAAGACAGGACATCGTTCATGCAGTTATGGAAACTTGCATGGGTCCCTTTACCATCACACTTTCAACTACGAGCATCTTCGATACTTACCCAAGCTGGGTCGCTTTAAAAATATCTATTTCTAGGCTGGAATGATCGGTTGGATGCTCACATCCATGATGACAGGGCTCATTAACTATAGCAGCCATTTAAGCTTCCAAAAGGCCAAAGGCGTTCCAGTAAAAGGCTTCATCTAAAGTACAAACACCAAACATGTAATTCAGTTACTGCTTGCACTCAAAATACCATGTTGGTAATGTCTCGGTTTCAAGCTAAGTGATATAGGAGGCGTTGTTGGGGGGGGGGGGGTTTGCCATCGGGGGCAAATCACCATATAAAATAGTATACGAGATTTTTGGGATCTCTAATATCGGTAAAATCGTTATGGAGATTACTGTGTTTCTGAATAGATTTGACAGTGATTTCCGGACTTTCTTGGGATTTCCTAATGATTTCTAGGGATTTTTCATGTATGTTAGATTTTCTGATATGCCTTTAAAATGTAAAGTATCGTAAACAAATCGGTAGTCTTGTTTTGTTAAATGATATCAAAGCCGGGGATGGCTCCCTACTTGGTTACAATACAACTACAATGTATTTAAAACGGCGCAATAGAGTTCTTGAACGTGACGTCATAAAAGTATAATTTTTAGAGTTTTGAGTTTGACCCAGTCGCCTAAAATAGCACCATTAAATACTTCTGAATAATGCAAAATCGGTCAAATGCGTTAGAAATCGTGTAACATATGGCCAAGGAAAGATTTGGAATTTGCTAACGAATTGTTGAATGTTCTTAAAGTTTGTGTGTTTATAAAGTGTGCGTTCACAAGTTATGAACAGAAAAATGTTACAATGCGAATGGGGGGACTAGCCTGTGCTCATGTGACCATACCTGAGCCACTTCGTAACACCTTTAGCTGATGCTGCAAAACATTTCTAGGACAAGATTTTTATGACGTCATCAGTTATGAACTTTATCAGAACTCTGTGCACGAGACTACATCTATGATAACTAAAGCCATTGCATTGCTATTTTCTGTGTTGTGTTGTACTTATGTGTAGTGTATAGTAAAGTGCAGTATAGTGTAGTATAGTGTAGCATAGTGTAGTATACAAACTTTAGACCTTCCATATATATATAGTATGGATATTTTTGCAGCCACATAATTCTAAGATGCTTTTAAATTCCACTCACCAAAATGAAGAATCCTCTCATTCTACAATCGTTTTGAATCGTGCTTACACTGCCTTTCTATCCACCTTGGTACAGATTTAGTCATGTCAATCAAAAAGCTTCACGCAGAAACTTCAATTTTTGTACCCTTGCTTGAAGCTGTATTCAGTGTGCTTTGCTGCAGTTATGACACTATTTATCTGATTTTTAAATACACTTTCAGAACTATTGCAAAGAATTTGCAAAATATCTCAGATAATGGAAAATTTGATAGATTGCAGGAGTTTTAGGATCTCAGAAAGAATTTCAAAATTTTTAGAATTTTTAAAAGATTTCTTGAAGATCACCGGATTTTTTTTGGATTTCAAGAGAGTGTAGGGGATCTCCAAAACGAAAAACCCTTAGGTGCCATTTTCAAGAAATTGCCCTTGTCCTTATGGGTTGCAGTTATGAAGGACATTTTCACTACATTCAGGTTGTAGTGACCTTTTAATCAATTTTTTTTGCTCAATTACAACATTACTCAAAACGTATAAGCTAAAAGCTAGATCCAAATGAAAGAATTTCAAACACTCTCGAAAGAATTAGTTAGGGACAATGACGGAAATTCCATTTGACTTTGGAATTTTGGTTTTTTTTTAACTGAGAGTTATGCTATTAATGGGATAGCTTCTATTTCATTCATCAAAGAAACACAGTAAACTGCCAGTGCTAAGGCTGTGCAAAGAAGATTAAACTGAAACAGCTATCCAATCAAGTATTTGAAGGAAAACAGAAACCAGAGATTTCCTATGATTTATTAATGCAAAAATCAGGACGTTGAAGAGAATACCGCCAAAGGTGAAAATAAAAATTTTCATATTAAGTCCTATAACAAGGAAGCATTCTCCTAAAGTTATAGAAAGCGAGAGAGTAACAAAAGTAATGGAAACAAGTGATTCCTTATTATTTATTTATGCAAAAGAATCAAGAGCTTATAGAAAGATATGTACGAAAGATTAAAATGTATACCTGAGTATTAGTGTAAAGACATGAAGCATTCCACTGTTGATATAGATACTGGAAAGGACGTACAAGTGTGTAGGGTGTGACAACCCCTAACATTTTGGTAGTCACTAGTAACTATTAGTTATTTAAAATGACATCAGTATTGTTTAGCTAGTTGCGGTTGCAAATTGATGCTACATCCTCCCCTGTATAGATAGTAAGAGAGTAACAAGTTTTGTAGGTAAAATTGTGTTGATTCTCGAAGGCTACATAACAATTATTTTGCTCACCGAGGCACAGGGTATACTAAACCAACTTTAACTGGCATAGCTTTTAAGAAGTTGGACTGATTTTCAAATGCTGGTAGCCTTTGCGCCTTCTCCAAAATAGCAGTATTGGTAGAGGTAATTTCAAGTTCTTTAAAGATGCGTGAAGCAAGCCATCTTTTTTTGAAAATCATAGGTGCTTACTATGATTCATTTGTGCCCATGTATCGCAGCATTTTGGGCCAGCTGTATGATCTTTGAAACAGATGTCATGCAAAAGAGCGATGCAAAACAGAGGCTGATCCAGAACCTTAGTTTTGGCAAGGTGATTCGTAGGTCCTAAGTTTTGGAAAATAAAATTATTTTTTAAGGAATATTGGGCGTGATTTCCTTCCGGATCCACCTATAAATAGCCACTGATTTTCCCACTGCATACATAGTCACTAACAGTTTGAAAAAGACTGCTCAATAAGATGTTTGCTTCCATCTTCCATTGGAGGCACAAATGTTGCCAAACAGTCCAAAGGTTTATATTGCTTCACGCTACGTCACCTTAAAGCTTAATGCAGTATAATAAGCTTTAGGGTAACGTAGATATAAAGGCACTTTGATTAGGTAATTTTTAACTTAAATATCTTTCTTATATATAAAACAGAATCACGTTTCTACATGAAGTTCTTTAAAAACGGAATTTGTAATAAAAATTAATACTGCTTAACGTTTGAGTCCAGTGCTCTTGTATACAAACAGGACTGCAGAATGGGCAAAGAGTTAGAATTTTCAGATTTATCTTTTGTACCTGAACATTTTTAAGTTTCAAAATCCGAAAAGGGATTTAGTTACTAGAGTGGCCCATTTGTCACTCTAGTTACTACACTTCTCTTTCTAAATAGGTGAAGACAGATGTGGGGAAACAAATTTTTACTGCTTGTGAGCCACAAACAACAACTCGTGCCAAGGTTTGCTAGTCTAGGCATATGACAGAAATTTGAACTTCGATAAGACACAAGAGGACTTGCAGCTGCTCTGCAAAGCATACAGATTTGCAAAATTTAGAATGATATATACCTGTTAGCAATTTTCATTTAAATCCTAATGATCTAATAAATTTTGTATAGACGTATCCATAGAGATGATGCTTGTGTTTATTGTTTACGGTGCTAAATGCATCTAATGTTGTGTAATCACTGATGAATAAATATTGAAGATTTGCCCAACCAGCATTGAGGAATGTCGTCAAACTGAGCAACGAAACCAGTTGTTTGATCCGATTCAAGGCCTTATGTAATAGCAGACTACTGGCGGTAAGGAGATACATGTTTTTCACAAAATGTGTTGTATTCATTGTAGATTGGCAATTATCGAATAAAAAGAATATCCCGTGAAAAGCAGAAAAACAGAAGTTGATTACCTGACGAAAAACGTTCTTGGCTTCTAAAAAATCTTCATTGGGTTTCTGTTTACGAAAATGTGATAATGCTAATACCATGTGATTTGTACAGCTGACAACAAAAGAAGTCATTGTTTCTATTCTATTTTTCAGCAACTCCTGAAGATGAATCAGTCAAAGTGGTGTACGACAGCATACTTAACAGAGTATAGACACTTTCCTGCAAACATCATCTGTCTCATTGTTCTCAATGTGGTAGTTGCTGTTTTAAACATCCTGATCAATGGTTTTTTGATCTATGCATTAAGGAAGACACAGCAGTTGAAGAACCTATCAAATCAATTCATTGCCTGTCTTAGCCTTTCTGACTGTGGTGTGGGACTACTAGCTCAGCCTCTTATCATAGCTACCCTTTGGAATAAGCATATGGGTGTAATTTCTTGTAATACCGAGATGGCAACGCAGGCCGTTGGGTTTACTTTCTGCCACTTCTCTGGAGTTATGCTGGCAATTATTGCTGTTGATCGCCATCTTCATATCAAGTACAAAAACAAGTACAATTTCTATATGAATTCGTCCAGAGCTATCAAAGTCGTTGCATTGAATTTGTTTATCGCTTTAATTGTTGCAGGAGGTTCTGTTCTTTCTAGTACACAGCACACATACATTACTTTTGACCAAGCAATGATGTCGATTGACACAATCGTAGTACTCTTTATTTGGCTGAACTATATATTGATATTCAGATTAATTAAAGAACATATGAGAACAATTCATAGAAAAGACAGTGAAGGAAATACACAGGTATTATCAAAAGTGAAGGCAGATGCAGCTTTTGCAAAGACAATGGTCCTTATCATGACATCCCAGGCTATTTGCTACTTTCCATACTTTCTTTCGAGTTCTCTGCGGTCAAAGAAAGATGTGGTACACAGAGAAAGCTGGCTCGGTTCCTTCAGATGGTGGAGCCTCTTACTAGTGTATTTGTGCTCCTCACTTAATGCGCTGATATTCATATTTAGGAACGCAAAGATAAAAAGACACTTTTTTAGACAATTTTCAATGACCACTGAGCTTAACAGCTCAAATCAAGAGTAAAATTATTCGCAAATATTTATGCTACTATATAGCTTTTGTTCAATGAACTTCATGTTTTGTTGTTGTTAAAACAAAAAAAACGTTAAAATCTATATCCTTCACTCAAATTATTTACTTTGTGCCTTCATATCTACTTTAGCTACCTGTGAGCATTCTTACCTGAGCCGCAAAAAAATAAATTCACCAACAATACCATAACAGTTTTAGATTCGAAATTTGGTCATTGGATTTGGTATGCAGTTCGGGGCTGGCTCTACTCACTAAGCACCTTAAGGACTGAAGCGTCAGGTACAAGCAAAAACAGTTTTGCTTAAGCATATCATCAACATAGCTCAATTACATAAATCAATTACATAATATAAACTGGTTTTGACTATATTTTATAACTACTATATACATAACTTGAAAATTGAGGCAACACAACTGAGGATGTGACTTTGCATACAACCGGAATAGTAACCCTGTAAAATTATTTCGTTGACATGAAATCTTCGCAGGCATTCCAAGGAACATTTGCAAAATGTATACCTTTTCGCATCGACCTTTTAGAAAATATTTTGTTTGCTAATTATAATCTTTTGTTCGATTTGAATTGATATTCAATATTATAACGAATCTTATGACGTCACCAGCAGGTTTTTCGGCTATTTAAGCGTAATGCTAAGTTAAGATTGTGAATAAGAAATTCAACTATTGACGTAAACGGCAGTAAAGCATTTTAATACAACACGAATCTTGAAGATGCTATTGACAAGCAGCCCACCCGTTCAGGCTCTGATCATGAAATAGGAGCCGATTTATTCTAAAAAGCTAGAAAATGCATGGTTCTTATCTGACACTGCACGGAGTTAATGGTTAAAGGCAACCGACAGATATAAAAGTGGCTTTAGCTATCTGTCAATCAATATTAGCCAATCAATGAGCATGTGAGTGGAATCACGCCCACTGATTGGTCATTTTTCATTGGAAGATGGCTTCACCCACTTTTATATTTGCTGATTGCCATTAAGTTTCACCAATTCAGAAGGTTGCTGTTTTCTTATTAGGCCTGCGAATGAGGAACTAACAACTTATGTAAGCTATAAAAGATGTTTAGAGATTAACAATATGTTTTGTTAGTCAAAGCAGCATTTTGCAAATTTTTTCTTACCTTGCTTTCTGAAGCAAAAAATATTTTTTGAAAACAGGCAAACTTTTGGTGATTGCGATGATGGTGAATACAATTCTCGAATTTAATTCATTTTTTATAGATCTGTGCTTTTTTGAATCAGGATGGTATTCCATACTAGTTATGTTAGCACAAAAGAATGGTATTATTTGCTTTTAATAACTATCATAAGAGCAGCTCTGGCACATTCATGAATATATCTAAGGGCTGTTAAACCCAACGCTTACATGCTTTCACCATTGCTTTCATGAGCCAACTAGCCTACGCTAAGCAAGGTAGATCGTTAATAAAATTTAAATATAGGACCTTTTCAAAAAACTTTCTAATCAATCTCTGTTGGACCTGTTATGGTATTCGATTTTTTAATCCAGTGAAATTGGACTGTGAAGGAGGCGTCAATCCTCAGTGGATAAAAAGCGGGGTTATTTACAATACCAATGAACCCTCTGAATAATTCATCATTGATACAAAACAAAGCCACAACAAATGTTGAATTTCTTCGTCTGCGTTCTTTGGTATGCTTTGCTATTCAATATGCATAATTTGTTATTTATTAAAATAGATATGCTGTCTCTTTGAAGACGTATTCCCATGAATTTTGAACAACTACTCAGTGTATGAGTCATACACTCTATTCCGCTGGACCAACTTCGCCGTGGAACAATCAGCATTAAAAGGGCAAAGAAACAGAAGGATACCATGCCAAATAATGCCATTGCCGAGAGCAATTGGTGTAAAACTGCATACCCAACGCAGGGTAATATTACAGCACTTAATGCCATTATTCTTATGGCATTCAATGTTGCCATTGCCTTGAGTAACATCTTCGTAAATGGTTTTTTAATATTCGCTCTAAAGCGCACAGATCAACTGAAGTCATTGTCAATCAAGTTAATCGTTTGTCTCAGCTTATCGGACTGTTCAGTAGGGCTTATTCTACAGCCGATTGTTTTGAAAATACTTGCTAATGAGTACTACGGCATAAACTCTTGCAGAATTGATCTTGCAGGCCAAGCTATATCATTCGTTTTCTGTCACTTTTCTGGCGTGATGCTAGCAATAATTTCACTGGATCGATACATACACATCCGACATGCAAGCAGGTATTCTTCCTATGTGACAAAATCAAGAGCAATTGCATTGGTATTGATCGATGTTGCTATTGCTCTTACAGTGGCGGCAGTATCTATAATTGCAAGTCTACAGCAAACGTATTTCATCTTCGATATTTTCCTGTCATCATTTGACACAGTGGTGGTAATTTTTATCTGGTTAAATTACATATTAATGTTTCATTCCATTAGAAAGCACACAAATTCTGTGCTCAGACAAGACAATGGAGGAATACCTAGAATCTCTAATAAACTGCGAGCTGATGCTGTAGTTGTCAAAACTATGATTTTACTGATGACGTCACAAGCTATATGCTTTTTTCCATACTTCATCGCAAGCTCTATTTGGTCATACCGTGTTCGAAATATCAAAGAAGCTATTGATAGCAAGCTTGCATTGTTGTTATGGTGGAGTTTACTGCTAGTCTTCATATACTCCTCAGCCAATGGGTTGATTTTCATCGTTCGAAACCCGTCTATCAGAAGAAGATACTTTAGGAAATTTTGCAAACTTCAGAGGCCAGTAGCTCCACAAACAAATTTTTCTGAGAAAATTACGCTAAAATCTAGAAAGAGTAATTGATTGCTGAAACATCTGTTGTTCAACAGGATGTTCTGCTTGCTGCTACAATATGAGATAACAATGGCCTGCTCATAGAGTGTGAGCTTGTCTGGTACCCAGAGTATAGCGATAACTGCATAACTTCTAATTTATAACAGCTAAAGCGTACACAGGGGCGTGTCGGCTTGGTAAAGATGGCAGATCCGAAATTCGGACAAAAGTATTCCACTTGGTCATAAGGCCAATAAGTGTTTACTTATCTCACTAAAGCGCTGAATTTATTACTTTCACTTAATTACACGTTGGCGATGAGAATAAATAAAACGTAGAATAGACTAACTATGCAAATTGCTTATAAAAGCCAACTAACTGCGTAAGTTGATGTTGTAACTCAACTGTACACTATGAAATAAAAACTTCTTCGAAAATAGCACGGAAATACTTGTTGGTATATTCGAAAAGAGCAAAATTTAGGCCAGGTTGCTAGAGGCACTTGTTTCTCTCCCATGCAGACACCAAGTGCGTTAGCAGGAGCTATAGCCCCTCCACTTTTTGCAATAATAAGTTAGAAAATTTTTTGAAAGTTCACTCTATGCTCTAACGCAACATTGGATAGTATACTCCTAAGTAGTAGCAGTTCTTCTTGACTGGAAACCCTTTTTCTTCATTTTCTAGGTATTTTGTTATCCCCAAGCTAATTTCATCTATTTTTATAGCTATTGATATCTTCTCTGAACCAGACTGTTTATAAAACTTCAGTGGTAGTTTTTCAACGGTTTTCAACGTTTTAGAGCGTGTGGCCTTGAAAAATTTTCGGTCACGCCCTTTTCAGCTCACGGTCCCTGCAGCCCTATGAACATGATAGCCGAGCCCGTTCAAGTCACAACCTAGTAGAAAAGATGGTTTCCAACTTTTTTTATTTTGTGGTTTTCCGCAATGCAATTAGATCAAAAATCAATCCTTTGTGGGAATCGAAAGTCATCATAGCATGTCGGCGTTCATGCATGGGTTTCAGAACTACGTAATCATATTACTCAGAACCCTGCAAGGCTATTGGCTTTTACTTCTCTAATGTTTCCTGGAACAACAAAAACAAGCCTACATGAAGCGCACTGGAATCAAACGAGAGATAGCTCAATGATGAACCTGGAAAACTTCTGTTTCAGAGAAGTAGAATTATCTTATTGGTCAGTTAATCTTGTTGAAAGAATTTCGCATTTAAATTTGTTGGTCTGTTTATCTTTCCAATACAATTCAAAACTGAAAGTTTTTTAAAATAATGGAATGAACGGGTACCTGACAAGTTTCAGTTGTATGTATGCAGAACACAACAACTAAGACAAATAATGTAAATTACATGACAATATTTTCTTGTCATTGATGTTCAGGTAAAGGAAACCGAAACAGACGGTAGTTAGAGATTGGACTTTCCATTCCTTGCTGCAAAAATACAAGATGGACAGTGAGAAAATGTGCAGAACTGTGTACCCAACTCAAGGTGGCATGACAGAAGAGCACTTCCTCGTTGTTACGGTTGTAAACTGTATTGTCGCCCTGAGCAATATTGTTACAAACAGTTTTTTGATTCATGCCCTAAAAAGAACTGGCCAGCTTAGGACACTATCAAACAAACTCATCGTTTGTTTGAGTTTATCAGACTGTGCGATTGGGCTGATTTTACAGCCCTGTATTGGCCTATTGTTGATAAAAGCCTACTACGAAGATGTCTCTTGCAATTTGGAGATCAAAATTCAAGCATTTGGGTTTGGCCTCTGTCATTTTTCTGGCGTTATGCTGGCAATTATAGCACTTGATCGATATATTCACATCAAATTCGCAAATAGATATTCGTCGATCATGACGTCATACAGAGCGGCAGTGCTTGTTGCAGGGAACGTGGTTCTTGCCGTGGTTGTGGCTGGAGCGTCAGTCATTGCCAGTAAGCGTGGGTTTTTCTTTGTGTTTGGCTTGATAATGGCATCAGTCGATAGCTTGATTGTGTTTATCATCTGGTTCACATACTTCCTAGTTTATAGATCCATAAAAAAGCACGTGAATCACATGAACAGAATCACCACTCCTGGGAAGCCAAAGGTTCCCTCAGCATCAAGAACTGACACTGTCTTGGCAAAAACAATGGTTCTCATTATGACATCACAACTTTCCTGCTATTTTCCTTTCTTCATTGTAATGACAATTCGGTCATACAGGAGCTTTCAAAACGAGGGAAGTAGTCACGCACTCGATGCTCTCATACACTACTGGCCAAAATTAACAGGCCACTCTTCGCAATTGTATGAAGCATGGGTAAACTTCTACAATTAGACCACCACAAGTCGTCATTTTTGATTGAATCGAAAAAAGTTAGAAAGTTCTACGCAAGGGGAAAGAGAGTGGCTAATTTTTTTTTTTATTTCCCACTATTTTCTGAAATTCTTTGCATTTTGAGAAGACTTGACCGAAAACACTGCTGTACATTTTTCATTTGGGGCACGACTGCCCTACATTTTGCCCTTTTCTTTGGGTCTAGCAGTCTCGTTTTCAGCAACCTCTTTCTGAATATTTGTTGTTACTTAGGCCCAAAATATCGTAACAAGCCAAAAGTAACTCTATTTCATCGTTTTATAGCAAGATTTTCAATTTTTTGGAAAGATATCTCGTTTTCATTGGTAAGTGATTGAAAATACTATAATTTTTTATTGAATTTAGTATCTAAAGCTTTCATTGGATTTAGTTGTTCGATTTAAAACCTTATTTATTATTGGTAAAACCTAATCGAAGTCTTAAACTTAAGGGAAAGCTATTTTTATCATTTTTAGACCATGTCTCCTGTACCAAGATTGAGCACAGACGATCGAATTAGGGCAGTAGTTTTGCACGAAGATGGGTATAGTTGCAACAAAATTGCCTTAAAATTGAAAGTTGCACGATTCACAGTGCAGCAAATCATTAAAAAGCATAAAGAGACAGGTAGTGTAGAGGACAGAAAGGGCAGAGGCAGGAAGAGGATCACAACATCTAGGGAAGACAGACTGATAGTTAAACAGTCATTGAAAGATAGAAGAAAAACTTCCAGGATTTTAGCAAATGAACTAAAAGATGCACATGATATTAAAGTTAGCTCTAGAACAGTGAGGAGAAGACTAGTTGACAGTGGTCTCAAGTATTGCAGAGCAAAAAAGAAGCCCTTACTGAGTGAGAAAGCAAGAGCAAAAAGGTTGGATTGGGGAAGGCAGCATCGAGACTATGACTGGAGCAAAGTTATTTTCAGTGATGAGAGCAGATTTTGCTTGATAAGTGACAGGCCAGTTTATGTGAGAAGGAGGAGTGGAGAGGAGTACCTTCCACAGTGCTTAAATCCAACTGTTAAACATGGAGGTGGTGGGATAATGGTTTGGGGATGTATTAGTAGCAAGGGTGTTGGCCGTCTACACAGAGTTGAGGGTACAATTAATGCAGCACATTACATCAAAATTTTAAAATTCTGTGCTCTGCCATCAATGAGACATCATTTTAAGGATGGTGATGGTATTTTTCAACAAGACAATGCACCATGTCACACAGCAATTACTGTTAAAAAGTGGATGGATGGGAAGATGCCATTATTGCCATGGCCCGGCAATAGCCCTGATATGAGCCCAATTGAACATGTTTGGGACTATATTGGACATAAAATCCAGGATTGTTTATTTAAAAACAAGGATGAACTGTTTGAAAAGGTCAAATTGGAATGGAACAGAATTCCCAAGGACTACATTTCTAACCTTTACAACAGTATGAACAGGCGTGTTTTGGCACTCATTAAAGCCAAAGGAGGCTCTACCAGCTACTGAAAACATATTTTTAGTGAATTGTGTTAAAATCTTACCAAAATGCATTTGAATTATATTCAGAAACAACCAATGTGTCTCTCTCCACTGAAAAACTCACACATAATGGTTTAAATCTTGATTTATGTAAGGTAATTGGCCAAATATCTTCCAAACAACAGGGTGGCCTGTTAATTTTGGCCAGTAGTGTATGGTGGACCACTAATCTTGTATATATGAACTCCTCCATAAATGCACTGATTTTCATTTTTCGTAACACAAAAATCAAACAGAGGTTCACGAGGCCTGTTGTCCCAGCATTCGAAATTGAAAACGGCGGCGACTCTCATTCCAAAAGAACAACTAACACGCTATCAGACTCGACTGTCCTAACCAAAATGTAAAATTAAATCAATGAGAATCCATTGGTAAAGTTCTTGATAGAACACTGTGGATCACAAAATGGTTACTTTGTATCCAATCTTATTTTGTCGTATTTTATGCCTGCCCAATGTGGTCAGCTAGAACGCAGCTGACAAATGCAAGTAGTACAATTATTGTAGTGTGTGAATTGTAGTATTATTGTAGTATTAGTGCAAGAGGAGCCTGTCTTGTTGGTACCTATTCCCTTTATTGTTAGAATATTATGTTAAAAGAGACAGCAAAGTTCGTTTGAATGACTTCTGTCAATAAAGAGCGGTAGAAACAGTGTTTTAATGTAATCAGCAATTTAAAATTCTGGTGCGAATTCAAGAATAATTATTTTGCTCTAAAGTATTCAGTGCTTAATGATATTTATCTTTAGTTGTATGATAATCGTTTGAATTTAGTCGTTTTCACTCTTTGAATAGGCATGTAAAGGCTGCTTTCTTGGAATCGGAAAAAAATGTAGACTTCTTCAATCATTTAAAACTTCGTCTAAATTAAGAACGAGGTCCAAGACGGCAATTTATCACATAATCGATCAATAGGTAAGAAAAGTAGGCTTATTTGACAGTCAAGTGTTTGGAAATTAGTCTCAGAAAAAAACCACAAATATCAATAAAGAAGACAGTTTTTGTCCCTAAAGTTCGGACGCTTGTTCATAAATTGTCCTAAAAATGTCCTGAAATGATCTATAACCTGTCAGTTAACCAAGTATTAATGTCAAAATCTATTTGTTGCGTTCTTGTTGATTCTGCCCCTCACTCAACCATAAAATGTGTGGACGTTTTGTGACATTGCTTTGAAAGTTTTCTGTTGTTCAGAAATGGTTTAATCGGAATTAGGGCTATCGTCTCTTAGTTTTGGAGATAATACACCATAAGTTCTTTATAAAGCGCATACTTGCATAAACGCAAGGAGATTAAGGAGTGACTTCCAATCGAGCCTTAGGGGTTTCTCGTCTCTGAACCAGGATTGTCAAATCTGTTCCATACATATTTATTGCATTGCATATTACCCAGGTATTTTGCATAAGGTTACCCAGAGTCTCTTATGTAAGGTTAACCAGCAGCGGAATGAAAAATATCTTATTGGGATGGCTCTCATTGACAAGCCTTAGGAGGCCAAAGTGAATTTCTGTAACATCTTTTTGTACCTTGCCTACCAATCCTTCGACTGTGCACCTGCTTCACTAAATCACCACAAGGTAGGTGATGGCCGTAAGTTTTTTGGAAATGTTAAAGCAAAGTAATGATGTTTAAACTGTTCACTGCAATTAATCAGAGAGTCTTCAAATGAATTGGGTAGTTCTAAAAGCATGAATTTTTATTTTGTTATGAAAGTTTCTCAATATTAAACCAATGAAAAGTCGGAACATAAAGTTTGAATGCAAGCTAAAAATTATTCATTGTTTGCTTAACATTTCAACTTGCAGCTGCTTTTATTTGTAAAAAATATTTGATCACTGCAATTGTGGATGTTTGTATGTAATTATGGATAGTGGATGTTTGAAACCTAGCTACAATCAGAACCAAAACTAACAATATGATTCTTTGCACTAGGAAGCAAGTTGTAACAAGAGGCACAATTTTGCTTTGTACTTCTTATGAAGTGACTTTGTGGACATTAAGTTCTGTTCGGTGTTGGCTGCTTCAATCAATGGTCTCATTTCTTCGTTATCGTGTATTTAAAATTCTCTTTTAACTGTTTTTCTCCGTTTCGCGCGCTTTTATTTTCAGCTTGCTTTGTTTCGCAACACTAATCTGCCTTTAATATTACAAAACAATTACTTTAGATCAGGCAGCATTGGCTAGAGCTGTCTGTTAATGGTAAAATAAGAGAGAAGGATACTGCAAAAGATCTATCCAAAGTTTGGAAATGTGCCAGTCAGCAAAATAGGTTTACGGTTTTGATTCTAGGTTGGATTCGACAAAACATTGCACAAATTGGAATATAAATGAGTGTATTGGAAGACGTCTCGATCAAATCACATCACTTCTTTTAATCTTCATCTTAGTTTTAGAAATTTATGTTTCTTTTTAAAGCTTGCACCTGGAATCAACATGAAGTAGAATTGTGGTTGCTGTTTCAAGAAATAAAATAGTGATCACCAACTGTTTTAAAATTCAGATGTTTTCAAATATGTTGATTTTTGTTGCATGCAAAAAAGAAATATTCTACCAATTGCACCATCGAAGAATCTGAAGCATATGAGTAGAAATAAAAAATAGCTAATAAGAATTCAAATGATAGTTGGTGGACGTTTAAATGTTTTTCTAGCCGATGTTTACTTTGAAATTTGCCAAGATTACCTTTAAAGCCAAACATTTTTCTTGGATTATTCCAAGGAACTAAAAAGCTTTGGTGTCAAAAATGCGAAATTACAATCAAGAAAGAGAGGTAGGATAAAATTGCACCTGTTTTGATTTAATGAAAAAAATTTCATTCATGACCTGAATTTTCTTCATAAAGTATTTCATGCAAAATTTATGTATTCATATGTTTCCACACTATATACAAGTAGATTTTTTTGCAAAAATTGATAATAAATTTTCAATCTGTTTCCATTTCTTGCTATGATCGCTATTAAGTATTACATGTTTATTTTCCTCAAGGTCTAAAAGTCAATGTTATTTCTTTATCGCATATCAAAAATAGGTACCGAAATGGTCCCCTGAGTCCCAGATTTTCGCTACGTTTTCAGCCCAATTCCAGATTCCCGACCATCAACTACCGAGTTCTAGAAAAATATGCCAATTCCGATTCCAGACACAAAAAATGATGATTCCATCGCTGAAAATATTGGTACCCTCTAAAGAACGAAAACATGTTAGCCTGCAAATGTTCTGGTTTTGAAACTCATCATGTCTGGCCGTGGCAGAGTAAGACATCGCCAAAAGACTCATTTAGAACATGGTTAATGATTTCTTTACGCAAATGCTTGTCTTTCCATCATATAACATCTTTGAATAATCACAGATTTTTACACTGTGCATTAAATAACCAATAAATAGAAACAATGTCCATTAAGTGATGTTGCTTACTGTATCTCTTTCAGTTTATGCGTTAAAGAATTTGGATTAAAGATTTTTGACTGAGTTCCATCCGTGTTTGAAACGAAAATCCCATTGTTTCAATTCATTCTCTTCCGAGGCACAAAACGTTCATTTCCGAGTTCTAGGATTGACTGCTGTTGTCCTCCATAGCGTCTGGAAAATCGTTTCAAAACCATGACAGAGAATAAGGAACGAAAAGGGCGAACGAATTACATCAAACTATCAATTTTAAGATTTTGAAGGGACTGTGATGAAACTCGGAATTTTTAGGTTTCACTTTTTTAGTTTAAATATTATTTGTTTCAGGCAACACTATTTTTAGCTATATGTCGGATAACTGACTGAGTTCTGTGCACCAAGGAACTCACTCTGGATCCGCCTCTGAACAACACAACACAATATAACACATTACGATCATTCTGATTGAAAACATCCTGCAAACAACTGGTTGTTTGTAGAAACACCCAATTTTGCCTATTGCATGTTGAACTGAGAGGACAAAACAATTTCAATTTTGGCGCCGTTTGTTCGATAACTACTGCAACATAAACTGTTTCTAGACCATGAAACGATGGGTCCTGCAAAATGGTGTAAAACTGCCTACCCGACTGAGGACAAAATTTCACCTGGAAATCTCATTGTTATAATGACAGTCAATACTGCAGTCGCAATAAGCAACATATTGGTAAATATATTTTTAATTTATGCATTGAAGACTACGGGGCAACTCAACACATTATCGAACAAGTTTATCGTCTGCCTAAGCATTTCCGATACTGGAGTTGGTCTGTTTGGACAAACGTTTTATTTAGCATCAATAGTCTTTATGTATCACGGCAATATTTCTTGTACAGCTGAACTATTTACCCAAGCATTTTCATTTTCTTGCTGCCATTTTTCCGGCGTTATGCTCGCGATCATATCTATAGATCGATATATACACATTAAACACTCGAGAAAATACAGTTCCTTGATGACTGGAAGAAGAGCAACTGTTCTTATTGTCATTAACTTGGTCATTGCTTTGGCTGTGTCATCAACTTCTGTGGTTGCAAGCATAAATAGGACATTTCATATTTTTGACTTCACAATGTCAACAGTTGACGCCTTCGTTGTGTTTTTTATATGGTCTAACTATATATTGATCTTAAAGTCGATAAAAAAGCAAATGAAGTCTATTCTAAAGACGAAAAATCTTGAGGGACAAGGGCTTTCTCCAAAGGTTAGAGCAGATGCTGTACTTGCAAAAACTATTCTTTTAATAATAACTGCACAAATTATCAGCTACTTTCCGTATTTTATATCCAGTATCACATGGTCTTACATGTACCAGAATAAGAAGGAAAAATACAGAGATATAGTTGCTTTGATCGTATTCTGGAGCATAATCTTTGTCTGTTCCAATTCTACTCTCAATGCAGTCATTTGGATTTATCGAAACCCGAAAATAAAGCGACGTTTCATGGTCCAGATTTTTTCACGCAGTAGAAGCGAAACGACTTAGAAGAAATCACAAGGATGTAGGAAGAATTTCACAGAAAGGAAATTTAGTAGAATTAGTTAATAATACTCTGAAGAAAAAGGCCGCTAACGATAAGGTTTGTTTAAGTTGTCTTTGATTTTGATGGGACACTGCTGTAAAGATTGTGACGCTAAGAAAATTGTACAATTCTTGTTCAGGTAGAAACTTTAAGTCTATGCAAAGCTTGTTAACACTGTGCTTTTGAAATGATAGTTACGTATAAGAACAGAAAATATTATATCGTTAAACATAAATGGAAAAGCAATGTTGTTGGCAGTATTCTTCAAACCTGTAAGTATTGGCTTTGAATCTGCATGTTAAGTTCTTCTGCTTTTTCATTTTCATAAGATGCTGCACGAATGAATCATTCATTTTAAATACTATTTGTCTGCAATACATAATCTTTACATTTAATGAATATCAACAATTGCAATTTACATTAGACTTTACATAATAATTAAGGCAGCAAACATTTACATGAAATGAAGGCAAATTGAAACAAATTTCTATCTGTCATTTTATTTACAAACGTAAAACCTGCATTTTTTAAATATCAGCACCTTCATCTTAATTCATACCATCTCAAAAGTTTTAATACTTAGATTTAATGTCCATTTTATCTAAAAGTTAAACCTAAAATCTAGATTCACATGCTAATCAACAAAAAGTAACAAGAAAAGATTATCTTGAATCAATAACATTTAGTCGTTGGTAAACTACTGATCACATTTTACACGTACTGTTATGGAAGCAGAATTCATAAAATTAAGTAGGCATTCCTTTCGAACTATGTGAATATTGTCAACATGTTACTTAGACTAACGTAAGCTTGATTATAGGCAGGTTTGTAAGCTGTATTGAAAGTGTCTTTCAGTATCATTAACAGCAAGTCAATTCGATGTCCCTTTCACATAAAGTCAACCTCTATAACTTGCAACAATACGTGATAAAAAATCTGCGAGAAATACTTCACATGAGATCCTCAAGATTTCAAAATGTTGATTCAAAACTTCAGATTCAACCTTGATAAACTACCTTGTTTAAATGACTATTTTGATGCCTAAAATTACATTATCAGTAAATATATTAATCAGTTTAATATAATTTTGTTCATTTGGCTCTATTCAAAGGCATTTGCACAAATTTTGTCATGAATCGCGATAAACAGTGGAATGTAGGCAATGAAGTCCAAATATGATATCTAAAATGAAAGAATTTGTTCATCTTCCAAAATGATCGCCTTTATAGATACACAAAGTAAAAGTGTGGATATCTCTATTGACGAGGATTTTAAATAGATTAAGTAACATAAGTTGGTCACTTGATAATAAATGTTTTAAAAACAGTTATTGACAAAAATATAATGCGAAATAAAGCAGAAGTGCCAAAATCCAAAGGGACGTTAAACATATTGGAAATATCTAGATTATCAAAACTTGAATATAAAGTATTTTTAAAGCTACTTAGGCCCGATTCATGATTATAACTATAACGTGCCTAATTGCTCACTACTAAAGTAGTAGCTTGTGTATCCCTTTTGCAACGTAAATAACATCTGCAATACGCTGCATCAGGGAGCATATGGGGACTTTGATATTTTTCATTTTAATTTTGTTTTGCCTTTTCTATAGGCGCTTTGCCCCCTTCCACGCCCCTATGCCTGCAGCCCTTCAAGTGTCACTGAGCACTTAATTCCTTCCAGGACTCCTTTCTGCTCCTTTTAACGTTGTCTCGTTTGAGCAGATATTAATTGATTGCGCAATTTTACCGTTTGTTTACCTTAAGAAGTGGAATCAACAAACTGACTGCAAGATGGACGTTCAGAAACGAGGCTAAGGTCCGTATCATTTTATCTACATGCTATAAAAGTCTTTTTAACGATGTATTAATTTTCCCAGAGCAACTTTATATATAATTCTTTTCAAAAATTACCAAAATGAGAGCCATTGCTAGTGTTTGTATTTATACCTGAATCAACCATTAGAAGATTTTAACTTATAAATAGTTAATTTTTTTGTTTTGGCTGTCTAAATGCAGTACAAAGGTGGCTGAGATTTTTCAAAAGGTTTTTAATATCTTCTCAGATTGAATTCACCAACGTACTGCCAGTGTTTAGTCAGGTGTTTTCTACTTGATAGATATCATTTTCCTTCCGCCCCAAACGATGTAGTAAGAAGACAAACGGCATAGCGTAGGTAAAATTTTCCATTCTGAGCTCATTCGTTCGGACAATCATGCTGAAATATTGATGACAACTGCTTTTTCATTACAAATCACCCAAGCAAATAATAGCTGGAAGAAAAGACCCGATTCTGTTCTTCCATCTATCAATTTATGAATAAATTCTCAAACTATCAGGTTGATGCGGGGTTAAGAAACAGAAGCACATCGGCTTAAGTATAGTTATTTCAATGAATGAATACAAAGGGGGCGGTACAATTTGATACATCCCTTTCCAAGACAAAGAAACATCAAACTTACTTTATTACTGTCCTTGTCAACAATCTTTTCTGATATTTGCTGTTCCTCTTCTTTTCCAATTCCTCCGGCAAAAAGTTCCAATTTCACTGTCTCTAGGCCGACAAAATTTTTGTCCAGCTCCGAAGAATCGTAAAACATGCTCTACAGATGAGAAATAGATTGATCATTGAACGAAAAAGAAATCAACGACACATCTAGTGGTACTTTTAATTATTGAGCCGAAGAACACAAGCTCATATGATTAAGTTGATATTTTCTGTTTTTGCCAACAAGTTTTCAATGTATTCCAATTGACCACAGAACAACACCATTTTTTGCAAGACTTCACATAAACACTTTCATGCTGGTAGCTAGTTCTAAAGAGAAGCTTCAACTTGTCGTGAAAGGCTACAGTTTCTAGGGGGTTGAGCTTTTAACCCATAAGGATCCTGATTATTTGCAAAATCTTAGGCGACATTATCAGTCACGAGGTTTAAGCCTCGGGGTGAATTTTCAACTGAATAAATTTGAAACCACCTCATTATTACTTTATACACAATTTTATTAAATGTTGAACCAACAATGTCAGAAAAGCAGCTCTGATTGAATTGGAAAATGAGGTGCCAGCATTTGTCATTATACGTAACAGTGATTCATTTGTTTCATTACTCTACCTTATACCAAAATATTTTTCCCTCGCTCATTAGGAGATTCAAAGCGCCAACCGCATCACTGATAACAGCTCTGAAAAGAAATACAGAAGTCATAAACATATTTTGTGTAGATTACTTCTTATAAATTCTACCTAATTCTAAATAAATTCTACTTCCATAAATTGCCAGCTCTCTCACTACTTTTAATGACATTCAAGTCACGCAATTTTTCGCTCATTTTTGCGTCAAATCTTTTCTCTAAATAGCTCTTTTATTGAAGGTCATTTCAAAAGTAATTTCTATGGCCATGAAAATATACATCATCACCAATTGTTGACAGGCTACACTTGAAGATGATTGAAATAAAAAATTGATGAACCTTTTATCAATGACTAAAGAATCGAGCTAACAAGAAAATAAATGAATGGTTTGATACGAGTATCGCTTACTATGAAGGTGATCAAAAGTTGCAACTTTTAGTTAGAGATTGAAATTTTATTTTCCCAAATATTTTCTCAAAAACGGCTTTTGAAAGAAAGTTTACCAGGCTTACCCTCCTTCAAGCATTTTCTCCAACACCCCACAAATCACACAAAACATTTTGAGTGTTATCTTTGGCACAAGGAGTGCGTCGAGGACCTGAAATGGTTATTTCAATAGGGTAAGATGTTATCTAAATTAATTGATAGGGAAAATTCTGCACCGATATTTGACATTTAACATCTGTAATGAAATTGCAAGTGTTTGTAGAAGTTTCTGCTTTCATGCTATATACTATATCACAATCTTTTATTTCTGAACAAAAAAAGTCAAACATTTTTAGCAACAGTGTCCATGAAATATAGCGTTTTTATCAAGTATATTTGTATGTTTGAAAATAGCGCATAAACGGAAGCAAAACAATGAAAATACTTTTTGCCTCTTCATGATATGAGCATCGGATAACGACAAAAGGTTAGTAGAAGTCTCACGTGGATCCAAGCTTAAATATGAAATTCTACTAACGTTTTGTAATTAATTGACTTCTTTACTCTGAAGAGTGTCTGAGTGAAATTTTTATATAGATTTGTGTTCGTTAAAAGGTGTAAAAACAATACTAGATCGATTAAAACTCATATAGGAGCTTATTCATTTACAGCTTACCTACCGTAAGAGCATATTCAATGAACTTTGTAGAACAAGAAGCCACGCTGTCCACAAATCTCACTGTCATTCTCACCATCTATGATGACAAAAAGCGTTAAATCGCTATCTGTATCCAGACAAAGATTGTGAATATGCAAAAGATCAAAACTGATGACAGCTCAAAAATTTAGCAGTAAAAAAAGCCGATGTCAATCAATCTTTAAAAGCGTGTAACAGCTTTCAACGTCACATACTAATAGAAATGGGGCAGAAGACCACGAATTTAAGTTGAATAACTCTAGATATAAAGTATCATTCTGTATCAAATATTCCATCTTTTCGTAACTTTCTTTCTGTTTAACCTAGAGACTAGTTTCTTTTTCTTCGGATTACGGGCCTGACGTGCGCTTCGCAAGAATATTTGGCGCACAGATACTAACATTTTCAAGAAAAACTTTCTGCATGCAATCCACCATATTATCTTTGCAATTTCAATGAAAAAAAAATCTTTATATGCACCAGATTGATCATCGAAAGCTCGATTCCCACGAAGAAATGATTTTCAACCCAGACTGAACCCATTCTACCTCTGTTGTTTCAACGAGTTTAACAGTATAGACAATACACTAGCTGCTTGAAAAGTGCATAGCTTATCTGGGGGTGCCTTTACCAAAACTACAGCTATATCTTTGAAAACCAAATTCAGAGAAAAATAAATCTAAAATTCCTGGTTACAGATTTCTAGACAAGCGTCTCTTTCTATGCGCGCAGAAATCTTACCACAAATCTACAAACAAAGTGAGCATTGAAGCAAGCCAAGTTCTATTCAAACGAGCTTTCCAGAAAATTTTTTTAGGTGAAATGAAAACAATGTCAAATTTTTCTTAAATTGGATGTAAGCTAAGCACTGTTTTGAAAGGTCTAGCTTACGTCAGGTGAGATCCATCCTTTGTCTTCTTTGTCCATTTTAGCAAATGCCTTGCAATACATCTCATAGCGATTGGGCTCGATCAATTTGAAATGTGAAATATAATCGGTCTTTGCATCTGTTGGAATATCAAACATGTTACAAGACAATCAAAATAAAAAATAGTATAGTTCTTTGTTTAGATTCATGAACTTTATTGGTTTTGAAGATTAAACTCAAATTGTAAACCTTACAAATTAAGATTTGACATAGAAATGGATCAGAAATTTACAAACACCATATAAAAGAATATTTAGAACAGAGGTCTCACACAGCTGCATTTTGCGTCTATTACTTCCCCATATTTTGCATCTATTACTTTTCCATAATGTCAATCTACAATCTTGGACGGACACTGTAAAGTTATTTCACCCCTTCCCCCAGCTCAATGTTGATAGCTGATTTATCTGCTATTAAAGGGCGTGCACCTCAGCCTTAACTAGAGAAGAGGCTATAGAGGGAAGAGGCTAAGTGAATCCTTGCACGTGTTTATTTGTTTATCTTATTTGTTCTCTCCAAGATTGCATCTTGTGGAAAAACAGATTTTAATGAAAATCGTAATTTGGAAGCATCTTACAATTGGAGCATGGGGCCTCAGAAAGGAAACCTTAACCCCAATTTAGTGACCTAGTACAATCTCTTGCTTGATATCTATTCTATCTGCACATTTAGAAAACATTGTTACATCACAAAGAAGTAGCACTGCAAGTAAATGCTCCATTTTAGCGACTTTTATCATACCTCTCGATGCCTTGATGTCATCTTTGCTCTCAGTCTTATCGTGTAAAGAGCTAGAAAACAAATATATTGTATCAATACAGACAGCTCATTGAAAATTTAAACAGTGAGCAAAACATGTTATAGGCAAGTTAAAAGGTTTAGAAATACCAATTGTAGCAAGACAGTCTACTTTAGCAATATTTTTAGATTATCATCTACTGGTCTGTCTTAATGTGTTTGATGCCGTATAGGTAGATCGGTACACCATTTTAGCGAATGGATCAGGACGGTTCTAAATTGCTACCCTGAGTTTCAGGCTTCAAATGCGATAATTTTGCGCAAACAAGATTTATTTTGATTGCAAATTTCAATACCTGAATCTGTATTTGTACTTTCTTGAAATCTAACCTAACTTATAAGCTGAAAACCGCAGATATCTAGGTAAACAAATAAATGAAGGACATGAACACATACAAAATAAAATAACCAATTTCATGAAATTTTGTCAGCTTATCCATTAAAGTAAGGCTTGTTTGACAAACCTCATTAGCCTCTGGATCTTGGGATACAAATCAAAGTTCTTTTGTAGCTTTGAGCTAATTCTTCCTTTCAAGAACTCACAAACTACAACAATAAAGTATCAATTTTACTAGATTACAAAATCCATGAAGTCTTGAAGGAATTTGAGTACGAATTATTGCAATGACTTTTTATTGTTTGAAAAACCTTTCTAATGCACTTTACTGGAATTTGAAAACAAACTATTTATCATAGATATCTTTATTACAATATATATATATATATATAATGATCATATGTAAAGTAGTATCTGCTTATAAATATATCTGGTTTTTTTTAAATACTTGAGTTGCTTCTCAGTTTTTCTCCTGGTCTTAAGTTTTTGCACATGACTGTAGTTCAAAATAGAAATCTGTTTTGGGTCTGGACCTCCCCAGTTGCATATGCTTAGTCCTGGCTTTGAAAGACTGAAGCATCAGCTTGGGACTTCGAAAACTAGAACCCTCACCTTTCGTCCCCCGAGATCTCCGTCTCTGTTTTCTTAATAAATTTTCCCCTGACTCCTTTTCTACATCAGCATTTTGTGAATCATGTGCTTGCGTTTCACAATGCTCTTGATTATCATCCCCATTTGCTTGAAGTTCATGTAACACTGATTTCTCTTTTGAAACGTGATAGTCATGCAGCTCTCCTGAATCAAAAGAAGTACTGACGGAACTCCTCGAGGGAGGTGTGGTATCAAGAGGATGACACTCTCTATTATGTATTTTCTGAGAATTTTTCTTCACTGTGAATGTGTTCACATGCTGTAAAAATAATAACAAATTTCTACATTCAGTTCATGAATGGTAACAATGCTATGCCAAACAAATATTATTTCTTCAATCAAAGCATTTCTGAAAAGGCAGCCTGACTATTTTTACTAACGATAGACACCAGCTCGACAAAACTAATATGATTGTGAGATAACTTTCTCCCATAAAACGCATCCCTATGATAGAACACCAAATTTCATTTTCAATGTTCGCATTGTTATCAAGTGTACTCTTTACCAACAAGGCCGATCAAAACAATCAACAATGCCAAACGACTGGATATGCTGACTCGTCAGAAAGTCTTTTTACCAGGTAGAAGCCACAAAATTAATACTCGTCTGGTTAAAAATTAATACTGAAAAGCAAAAACGATACAAAATTCTGTTAAAATGGCTTAAGAAAATCTTCGTAAGCAAAATAGAGAATTAGGCAAACCTTAAATCCGGTTAGGCAGAGAGATTTCATTTTCTTCTTTTTTGGTAGATATCTGGGGGGAAGGTAACCGCAATGAAGAGGTAAACCAAACTTAAGAAAAATCTTTATGAAGATCATATTTGGATGGTAATACGATTACAAAAAGTTTCAATAAAAATACAGGGAAAGGCTTTTAATTACATTAGTTTCTAAGCGAAATATTTTTGCTATGGTAAAGATATAATTTGGAAAGTCTGATTATTATTATCTTGTTAGTTCTAAATTTATTTGCAAATTGACCGAGCCAACTTTCTTTCTTTTCTTATAAGAACTTCTTGCATCTTTTGATCCTCCATGTCGCACTTCTGCTGTGGGCGAGAGGTAGTTTGAAGATCAGATTATAGTGTTTACCATTGGATCCTTTCTGATCACTAGTTGCTGAATGCTACATGTCAAATTGTTTCTCTATGATTCCTAGCATCTTACTATCGTTTATAGCTTCAGTACATGATGCTATTTGTATAGGATGTCGGAGACGAGGATCCACCCAGTGCACGTGCCTTCGAATATTGGAAAAAAGTTCCCTTTTGTAAGAGGTAACTCCTCTTAAAACATTGCTACTTTTTTATTAGATGGTGCCCCTTATACCCCGTGCCCCCTTCGACTTTGAAATGCTTCTGACGTCTCTGCTATTTGTTTCACGTGAGAAATTACAGACTACCATGACTGTTTCTGCTAGAACCCATGAGGATACTGCTTTGAATTAACACAAGAACCGGTACAGCAACATTTCGATCTTTTTTCTGTATTATTCATTGAGATGTTGATAATGTAAAACAATCAAAACTTTCTACAGAAAATTGATGAACAAATGTGATCAATGGATTAGATTCAAAAGGAATAGTAGCCATGAAAATGGTACATATACGAACTAAGTTAACATTGTACCCCACTGAGCAGAACACAAGCATTTTGAAAAGGACCCCATTTGAGTTGGGTCTTCGAAACACCTCACTAAGTATGAGCCTCTAAATTACCTTGATTGGATCAATTAATTTCAAACCTCAAGGAAAGGAGGATGGGGATAAATTGAAACAGCCTTTAAGTGGTTTCCGTCGAGTGAATAGAAATATTTTTTGATAACAGATAACGTTTCAAAGCAAATCTTCAAAGCACTGTATTTCAAAACCAAGCGCATTTTCACAGCTGCCTTTTTACGTTTCTTTCGACAAATTCCAAAATTTTACCTTCTTCGTAGAAGATAAGATCTTCTCCATCCCTAGAAAAAAGATAAGCAAAACTAGAGATAAAATAAATTCAGCTGCATTGAAATCATCATACATTGTATCACCGTTCTACAACGTACTTTGGGACTGATAACCTCATTTGCAAGTAAAGCTTTCTCTTGACAATAAGGTTTCGGTATTAACTGAGCTTAGGGTGCCTGGCAAACAGATATTTCATTTATCATTTGATTGTTCATGCTACTTTCCTAATCAAAAGAATACAAATTTGTGAATGTGAAAATTGTATCATACATTATTTGTAGCCAAATCCATGGCGTTTACAAGAATGCTCCTCCGCAACGATGCTATGGAAATCGCTTTTCTTTCCAAATATTCTTCTGTGTTTTCTGTAATGTGAAACAAAAATAAGAATAAGAAACAAAAAACAGATGATAAAAGCAAGAAAAAAATGAGAAAGATTCATGTGGGAAACAAGATAGAAGAAGCAGATGAAAAATATAGTTTTTCTACAAATTACTATTTAAAGAAGATGTAACGTATTCACTACAATTTCCCTGTACACAAATGTAGGCCAAAAGAGCAGTTTTGCTGCCAAATTAACAGAATCGGATGGGTTTCAGCAATATTTCATCCTCGATGCCGTAGTATGAAGCAGGTAGGGTGAAGAAAATGAGCACTTAACGATAGCTAATGAAAAAATATATGTAGGTTATTGAATGGAGGAAGGTAGCGGCAGTTCTGATAATGGAGCCATAGAACGAACTTTATATCCTACTTCAAAGGATCTTTTGCTGAAGAAAATCGTTTGAGATTGACAGTTAACTTTTAGAGATTATGTTTGATTTCAATTTCCTTTGATTTCAAACCTTATTCGAAAATTTATACAACATGTCTACGACTTACCTCTTTTTATACGTAGTTTCTTTGATCTTAAAAGATTTATTCTCTTCTTTTTCTCTTTGTGGCTTGCAACGTCATCTACAACTGTTTGGCTATTCTTGCAGCCTTGGTTGTATCCAGTGACGGAAATCGACGGCATTTTTCCAACAACAACACCCCGTTCTATGCAGTCGATACCAGTGTCGAAATCGTTCAGAGCCTCTAAGAAAGAGGCCCTTTTCTCCTGCTTCAGGATCTTTTCACAGCGATCAATAAACTCTAACACTGCATTAAGAAGCGACAGTATTTCTTTCCTTGGGCGCACCAGAAAACTTCCTGATATCGTTTTAGTGTTGAATGGATGAACTGCAAGGAGAAGCTTCTTTATGATGAGAAATCTACTAATATTTATGTCACCATTTTCTATTAACTGCAAAATCTGCTGGTTGGAAAGCAACTGGGAGCTGGCTGTGACTCTTGCTAACAACAGCATAGTTTCTCGTAGTGAAGTGGAGTTCATTGTAAGAAGGTTGTACAAATCAAGACCACATTGCAGAAAATCTTCACAGTCACCCTGAGTCTCTTCCAAGTTACTTTTTTGAGGACACAGTATCTTCATCACTTTAATCTCTGACTCGGCCGATTTTTCTTCTCTATTTTCAGGCTTTTTTCCACTTTCTGGATATTCATTCGTTCGCTGTTTTGCTGTCAGTTGCAGAGATGAAACTTTAAGATTTTCATTAATATCATTTTTCCTTTCATCTCGTGTAAAAGCCTTTTTGCTTTCGAATCTAAGCTGACGTGAAAGGTCTACCTTATCATTCAGTTTGCTGCACTGCTTTGCACTCTCATCGCCGGTTTCTCCTTTGTTCCACTTTGTTTCATAAAAAGGGTACAATCTAATTTTGTTTGCCTGCAAAACATCTTCATGACAGGCAGTTATCCGCTCTTTGGGTGCAGATTTAAACCTTTTTTCGAACCTACCACAGACTTTTTTCTTTTCTTGACTTCTAGCCTGACTCGCATCTTCACAATTGTGTCCCTTATAAATCCTTCCCTTGAAAAGATTTACTGTTATGTCATACTCAAAGGACCCTCTTGTTTGAGCACTTCGCCTCTCCGTTTTTTTCGTCGACACATCTTGCCTCTTTACCAGGTCCATTCTACGAGCAACAAACTCCAAACAGCTACTTTCATCTGTTTTAAGGCAAGAACTATTTTTGCTAAATATGTCAGCTTTCACATCATCATTCTCCACCGCGATCCTTGCAGGACCCTGAAGTGAAACATTTCCAGCAGACGTCTTTCTTCCAGATTTAGGGATTTTCAATAGATCTTTGCTGTTTTTACTTAAATTTGCTCTAGGCTGGAGTAGAACCTCTTCGGAAAAACTTTTTGCCATGCTAACATCTGCACTTGTCATACTCACCAACTCGAAAATAGCTTGATGTTCCTCTAATTCGACTTGCTCTTCTGAATTCCGATGCTGCATATGTTCCTGTTCTCTTGAGAACATCAAGGGTGCTTCGTTCTCTTTTATTTGTTCCTGTGCAAACATTAAAGATTGATGAGTTGGTAAATGATTTTCGTACCTAGCAGCGCAAATTCGAAAAATAATCTCTTGTCTTTTGTTTATAAGTTAATAAGATTAGCCCAGTTTTTGAGAAATCAAAACTATTAATTCATAAAACGAAATTTTGTGACCACAAAAAAGAATAAAGCAAAAAAAACCAGTTTTGGCTACTTAATCATGAATATATTATCACTAGTTATTGGTTTAAGCTAGAGCTACAAGACTTTTACAATACGTACAATTGTTTCCTTGCACCGTTTTAGACTAGTGTAACGAAAGCGTATTATAAATTCAACTTTGTTAGACGAATGTGAATGTGGAAGAGCAAAAGAATCTAGTAACGAACAATTCAAACATTTCCTACAACCGAAGCATACAAAAATGTCACTTCTATAGTTTTGTTCATGTTCGTACAGATATCAAATTTGATAGGTCTCTTTGCTTCCATTACAACAGATCCTTGTTCTGAAAGCTTTGATAAGCTGTTCAAATCATGTTTCCTTTGCTCAAGTTATGAACAATAATCTAGCGGGTACTTGCAGCAGTTGTTTGCTTAATGACCTTAGACGGGGAACAGACAAGAGCTAAGTCTATTGCAATTATAATGGGACAGGGGAGCGGGTGATATATTTGTAGACCACTGTTACACAAGAGAATGTCAATCGAGAGAACTGGACACCAGCAGAAACAATGGCTATTGTCACATTAGAGAGATACTTGGAAAAGTATGAAGATTAGGCCTAAACAACATGTGACTTCAAGTGTGCCATTGATAAATAGTAAACTTGATTTATCGCCATGTCTAGACAAGCATAATCTGCAACATGTAAAGAAACAAAGTTGTTAATCTGGCTCAGGTGTTTCTATTGTATTGTTAAAATGACTAAGGTAGCCTTGTCTAGAATCAATGAGAATGAAACAAACATTAAATTCATTAGGTAGAATGTGGTAGAGGCGACAGATGATGTTTCTAATCTTTTGTTTGGTTTTAGCCGTCTAGCACTGGTAATCCTTGTCGAAATACAAAGATGACCGCATTTTACGCTTATAACCAGTGCCCCTGTTTATCGTCGATAAAAGGAGCACCAAAATTTCGAGAAAAAGATCTACGACTCATAACGAACACGTTAGGAAGTTGGGAGGAGCTTTCTTTTCCTTTCAGAAGTCCAAGCTAGAAGGTTGCAACAGCTTCGATGAGACTTACCATAGCGTAGACGTTATGAAAAATGTCTTCCAGCCCATTTAATTGTCTTCCAACCCTTTATCTTTCTGATGTCCATAAATGATTTGCAACTTATCAAAATATGAAGCCTAGCTTGTAGAATATTCATACGAGAAAGCTAGTGCTGACTTTCTAGGTCTTAAGTTTAAGAGAAAGTTAAAAAACGATAGATTTTTTAAGATACTCATGGGCATTGAATAAACACTTGTATGAACTTAAGGTACCAACTCACGTGCATGGATCTTGCAATATGTTCCAGCCAACGTGTGCAGATGTCATGGCTTGCCTGTTAAGACAGTTAGAGTTAACTTTAAAAGAACGATTAGTTTCTAATACTGCTGTTGCGGAAAAAATTCATTATACAGATATTGAACTTTAAATCACTAGATTGATTAGGTATTATTGCATTGGGTCTTGATATTGTGTCGTTGGCACGATTTAGACTTATTTACCTTACTCACCTGTAAAGTTTAATTGTACAAGGCAATGAAATAACATTTTTGCAACTGTTGTACTTATACGGGCCTTGCTCGATTTCTATCTAATTGCAACCCTTCGCAAACCTTAACTAGAAAGCTAAATAAACATGTTTAAAACCCTCAAAAGCAGAAACATTTTTGGATACTTTTATCTCATGTTGAATCAAGCTTACTTATGTTCTGCACTGGTACAATCTTTCTTCGGCGCAAATATAAAAAAAATCGGTTTTGTAAAACTAAGTATTACAGGATTATTAATAAAAACTTACAATCCAAGATTACAGGTCAATCAAATTAGGTTGGTATTGTTGTCTCGTATTAATCGCTTTTTTAAAGGACAATTCACAAATTTGTTTCTATGTTACAACTTCTATTCAACGTGTGAGCTTTCAAAGGCTTTAAAAAAGCAAATGTTTAGAATACCCAAAGCTAATGGCACATTAGTAACCAGCCAACGTAATACATTTCTGTTTTCCTCATATACGAAAAGACAACACCCAAAGTTTAGTAAGAAAAGATCATACCAAAGTAACATAATGGAGATTTAATCACATCAAGCCTTACCTGTTGTGATCCCCTCACATCGGTTTTTGATACAAACTTCAGTTCTGTTGGTGGATTATCAACGATGCTCACAAATTCCAGTGACTTTTTTAAATCCTCATGTCTCTAAAATTTTGAAAGGCCGATGGTGAGAATGCCCTGCTTATGCCTAGGATTTCAAAGCTCAAAAACGTACGGAATTTGATGATAGTTATATTATAAGTTAATCTTAAGATCTCAGTTATAAGTTAAGTTTAAGGTCGAGTTTGTATTTTGGTATTGGAGACCAGAATAATATTTTAAAGACCACTTTTGGTTGGGATGCAAAGATGCTCTCAATTGCAAAACTTTCACGACAATTTTCTCTGGACAGTCGGCATCATAGAACCTTCGTTGCAAAAAGCATTCATCAACAGTACTTCAGTGAAAGTGTCCCTTAGTTTCTAAACTGTACATAACTGGAGTTTTGCTCTATTTATGCTTTTCAACTTAATAAAAACTTTTAATGAAAATACTTTTGATGAATGCTTTTTTAAATACTTCCAGCACCAATGTAAGGGCTCGAATGCTCTAGGATGCTGACTATCTAGAGCAAGTGGACGTGAAAGTTTTGTAAATGGATTTTTAAATCCATTTCGCTCCCAAGTTCCGTCGAGTCGTCATCGACTCTTTGCTATATTATGCACAAACTGTCTCCATTGATTGCGATCTCTCTCATCTTCTAACAGCATCACAAGCGATTTACCTGTCACTCCTTCCACATCATCATTGTATTTTTTCCGTTGTCTACCTCTTCTTCTGACCTCTTCACAAATTGCCAACATCAGATTCTTTTCTAAATTGTTCTCATTTTTCATTGTATGACCAAATAGTAAATAGTACGTAACTGGAGTACATAACAGGCTTCTTAAATAGTAGATCAAAAAGTTTAAAGCAGCAATCGACAATACATACTTGCTTGCTGCTACCTGGTTTGCGCTTGTTCTTCAGTTCACCCTCTTCATTCAAGTTATTGTCAACTGCAAGAAAGTCGTTATTTGGAATTAGGTTTCATAAAAAAAATTTATTGAGTTATCTTCAAACATTAAGTGTTTTTTGTTCCAATACCCTTACAAATTCATGAAAATGCACTAAAACTATGCAACAATCTCGGTTGTCTTGCTAGCTTAAATAAGTTTATTGAATTGGAGCAAAACCTGATTGCTAATGATGGTACTTTGCTTGTACTGATGGTACTAATGAATGTCACCTTTGGTATTCATTCCATTTGATCGAGTTTTGCAGATTGAGTGCAGATATCATGATTATATTGGCCAAAAATACAGCCTCCAAAGAAGAACAGTTTCTGTGATATTTAGAACTGGCGAAGAACAACTCTTGCTAGGATGACTTACGCTAGCTGACTCTAATGTATATTTTGCACAGCAAAAAGTCGTACCTAGAGGGTAACGCAAGCCGTAAAATTCAAAAGTGGAATTAAGGGCACTTTGCCAGAAAGCGTATCATAGGCTACTATGGCATTTTATAAGTATTGGATCTGAGTTCATGAAACCACAAGATGATGCCAATGAGCCTGGGTTTGCGAACAATTTTCTAAACAATTTTACTTGCAACAGCGCTTTCTGGACACATCCTAGCAGAAATGCTGATCTTTCTAATAATTTATTCCAGGAACGCTAAAGACCGACAAATTCAACTTTACCACGCTGCAAAGAGATTACCAAAAAGCAAGAATTTTGTAACATACTGGGTTTTTTGGGTTAGGAACAAATCCTAGAAAGGCATCTACGGGCTCTTTATGTGACTTAGAGTCGATGAATTTCCGAAATTTCTCACCATGAAACTGCTGATTGTGATCAAAATCTAGGAGACATGACAATATACTGTGTTAGAGATTATTTTTGTAAATAGAGTAGGGAGCATGAAATTCTTAGGGATGCTCAACAATCATTGTATCTTGCATAGCCATGTGCTTTCAGAATCTGCACTAATTTTTCCATAAGCCTATTCGCGTAAGAATTTTATAGTGAAATTAAAGATATAAGACTATCCTTCATAAATTCCTCAAGTTTTGGAATATTTTTTTGTATCTGCATCAGCAGCTGACCCCTTGTCACTGCCAAAAAGTAAACAATGCCTTTCTCTGCTATTGCTCTTTGCAACATTTTGCACGAGAGCCCTTCTTGTTTTTTGAAAACACTACACCACAGACTGGTAAGAATATGTTAAGAATAAGACTTCAGAACTATATCAAATGGTTGGATATAGAACTATATGCTACGATTTAACTAATTGATTTTGGCTTATCTTCATTTATAATATCTTACCAAAGCGATACGACACTCAGTATACTTTGCCAAATATTTGGAATAATAAATTGTAAACCTACTAAATAAATAAATCTGGAAGTAATCTATGTGCCACAACCAAACCGGAGGAGCAAAATCTTCTACTGCTTTGCTGTAAACCTGAGCTTCGTTATTGAATTATTGATGTAATTAAAATATTTACTCAACAACTATGTAACTTGAAATGTCGTTCTTACTCGATTCAACCATTGGCAAAAGTTGCGGTTATGGTAACTGCAGATGTTAAGTGTCGCAGCAGATTGAAACCAATATGGTTTCACTGCTAAGGTTTTACTGCTAAGTCAAGCTTGGGCAGAGGAACAAAAAATCATCTAGTTTTGGAGCCTTAAAACTGTGGTAAAAGTAACTCGAAAACAATTGTCTTTAGATCGGCTCTTGACAATTGCCACTAGACAATTCCATTTGCAATTTTCACTATATCACTGAATAAATATCAGAAATCTTCTTTATATTTATTCTCAAAAAATGCTTCACCTCACTTGCTCCAAGTCACCAAAGAATAAATATGTCGTCTTTATTTCTTTTCTGGGACAGCAATTACAACAGTTCATGACAAATATACTTTGCTAAATCAAATTTGAAAAAAAAGTTCTTTCCATCCACCAGAGTTTCTAAACCTTTTGATAAAATTCGACAATCAGCTTTTTTGACAGTCTAACGATTTTATAGTTCTGTGACGTCACATTGTTGATGATGAATCTGGGAAAATGTGGCTGTTCGGAAATTACGACTTTCAATAGTTGTCAGGCGAAAGTTTCTACTAATAATTGTCAGGCGAAAGTTTTGCATTCTAAATGACCTGTTGTGTCCTAATTAGGTTTCAAATAAAAGTATTAGAAAATTAAACCAAAGCCTAAATTGCTATCAGCAAAAACTGCCTGCTTGCGGACACCAGGCTGAATTCTATCGCATTGGAAAAGTGAAATCAAGATGACCCCATCAATTTGAATTTGAATAAAACTTACTTGAGGCATGTGTCACTTGCAAATTAGGCAACTTTGTATTGCTTTCGGAAGATTTGATCAGACCATCAGCTTTTGGCGCGTCAGCTAACATTTTATTGCACAGTATTATACCCGGCAATAGAATTTCATTTTTGGTCACCCTTTCATGCAAGGGCATGTTGATTAACAAATTCCCAACAATACGACAGACAACAGTCGATTCTATAGCTATGTTACTCTGTATAATCTCGGATTTAAAACTTTGGTTTGAAGTATCAGGGATTTTTATTGCAAACGGATTCTTGGATTAGCCAATCAGCTGTCTTTCGGTTGTAAAATTATCATATAAAGCCCCATGCATTCATTTATTGTGAGAGGTCCTGTAGACTTGACAAAATTAACATGAGTAAATAAAATTGAAACTTTGTCAATAAATACCCGCAAAAAACATTGTCGTTAAAATGCGATAATAAGATTACGCAAATGTTGAATTCAGTAAAGCACAGCTAATTTATAGAAAAAGTTTAGAAAAGATATAATACGGGTGAGGAGTGCAATTCTATGGTGAATATCTTAAAAAAATTAAAAACATTTAAACCCTGATTAAAACAATATTTACATTTAAACCCTAAATTTATTTCTTTTTACTTTTAATTCACTATCAAAACATTCTTTACGCAGCGAAATTGTATACTTTATTAACTTCTAGGATTGCAACATAACGAAGAGTATCTGATAAAATGCATTTATACCAATTGATTATAAATCTACCATTTTGATAACAAACATACTTCGTTCTTATCCAATAGTACATGTAATAGAGATCTAAAAAGAAGCCAGGGGTATTAGTGCGGTATGAATGTAAAATGAATTTTAATACTAAGCGATGGATGTGAATAAGCAAATAAGATTATCGGAGATTTTTGGCTTGGTTTCCCCGAAGGTCAAGGCTACTATAATACCTTTGCGTAATATGGCTATCAAATACCATGCACGACCGCTAAAAATTCATACTGACTTTCCTTTTCACTGCTTTTTATCATAGCCAAAAGTTTCATTATAAGTTGGAGGTGGAGGGACGTTTGGATCTATAACTGGCGGCATAGTTGGCTGTGTGGAGGAGAAAGCATTAGCAGGGGCGCCTTGTGGATATGTTGAATCTTGCGAGTATGGTGGTGCAGTCGGTTGATACCCAGTTGCCATTGCCGGTTGCCCTGGTTGTGAGTATGGAGGCTGTTGATAGGTGTCGGTTTGCTGATACCCAGTAGTCATTGCTGGTTGCCCTGGTTGCGGGTAAGACTGTTGATAATTGCCAGTTTGATAGGTTGTGGGGTACGGTGATGCCGTTGCTGCTCCTGCTCCAGAAGGGTATTGTACATGCGTAGCTCTAGAAGCCTAAAAGGGTATAGGCGGCAATTTTAGCACCAAATAAACAGATAAACATCCTTAAAACAAGAGACCTGCCTATTCCGTGCTTGTTCCAACATGATATATTGATGCGTTTCGTATTCTTCCTAATCAAATGAACACTTCTACCAATTCAATTATTAGTCAAATAACATAAGTGCTCAAGCTTCTATCTCTACACTCAAATTATGCCTAATTTCATAAAAAAAATAATCTGTATTAGCACAAGCCTTTCTCGAAATCCTATCTTCTTTGAGTTTTCACTCGACGGGTTTCAAATAAAATGCATCGTGTTACACTATTTCAGCATCTGGGTACTAACAGCAGGCAAATACAAAATTACGTCACACATTGAGGCATTCGTTTGAAAAGAGCAATACAGCAACAGTATCAGCATTATTGATAACATAAAAATTGTAACGGAAGAAAATTTTGATGAGCCTTTAGAATAAACAATTTCAACGACTATCAAAATTGAATTATCTTTACGATGAACCTCAATACATACAAATTATAAATGTGCATAGCAGTTTTATAAACTACCAAAGCTCAACATCCACACCAAAAAAGCTATCTACAAAAGGTTTTTTATACACTGATCAACTATGACTTTACTTTACAGAATAAAATCATTAGGTAGATAACCTTTTAGCGGTTAACATTTTGTATTTTTGAGGCTATATGATAGGTAAATGTTAAAAAAAGCAGCACGGAAAGAACTCATCCAAAGCACCACAGCAATGAGGTTAATGCTTCGATTGGACTAAAATAGCTACCCATTCCGGGGATACTCTCATATTTCAACAGCAACGGCGTAAAGCAGTTTAGGACACATATATCCATGTTTTTCAAACTTTGTTCCAGATCACTTCATTTTCAAAAACTTTTGAATTTCGTCACCTGACATTTCAATCAATTCTAGTTAGAAAAATATCCTTGATAACAAAAAATCCTCATTTAAACATTTAGGTTTTGTATTAGAGATGCGCTGCAGCGTTGCATCGGATCGTCTGTTTTTTCCTGAGGGCCCGATGACTCCGTTACGCCACTGGGATGAGAATCAACATTGCAGCTAATGGAGAAACAAAATTTTGTGGTACAGTAGAGATGTTAGCATTCGAATAAGATGAACTCACTTGCAACTGGGATTCATTCTTGGCATCCATACTCTGCACGACCAATGTAAAGATTGTAATACAGATGACTATGGGTAGAAGGATGCATAAAGCAATGGCAGGGGCGGTGTTGTACTCTTTACAATCCAAAGAAAACAGCTGCCACCTACAGTTCTCCCTCTTTCTGGTAGTCTCTTTGATGGCAAGACCAAGCCCAATGAACTGCACAATCAAAGCAACAATGCATCCAATGGAATGAGCTATAAGCTAATAAAATGCCAAGTTATTACAATTCAGTACCACAAAGTGAGGTCATCAGAAATCTATTTACAGAGGTTTAGCCCTTTGACCAACGTAGCCACAAAAACACCATGAAATAGGCTACCTATTAATGGCAAAAACAGTTTAACCCTTTTGCAATTTGCTGAGATGTAGCAAGTGAAATGACTAGGTTTTCCTATAAAATTACTACTGTACCACCCTTGTTTTACTTGATCTAGCACTTTTAGAGGTACTTCGTTACCCTCTTTCAGAATATGCGGTATCGAGTGACGCCACCACGTTGGTACTCTGCTGGTGAGAACACAATGCGTTTTTGGAGTCTTGTACACTGGGAGAGATGTTACCCTTAGGATTTGGGGAAACCAATGTCATTAAAAACTGTGGAAGAGTCTGACAAATAAGTTTTTTTGCATCAAACATAGAGTACTTTTCAAAAAGGTATGGTACATCCAAAGTCGACACGAGAAAAAGTCTGTGGGTTAAACTTTCAATCTGCTACTTGCCTATTTGCAAAAGTAGCACAAGGCACTAAAACTAGTTATTTTCCTAAGCTAGAAATTTCATAAATGACATTTATGAATGATGCAAATCATTTTGAAAGCAGCTTCAAGCAGTATCAACGTTTCAATCAGGTATTTATGCAATAGCAATCAACACACTATTTCTTGGCACTATGTAACTTTGAATGTAAAAGTGTCGAAAAAGTGTACTCACCCATTTTTTATTGTCATAACTTCGAAGTGTATTTAAACCAATGCAGCAAACAAACGTTGTCTGGAGTAGAAGGTCTGGCTATTAGCGGTATTCATGAGAGCATTACAATTCTAACCCCTTGATAAAATTGACTGTTCATGCTGTCACTTTTCAAATTTTAAAAGGTTTCAGGATGGCGCTTTTTCAAGGGGAGCTTTTCAAGGATGGGTGCTTTTAAGATGAAATACGGTATATATACATTTATATACATATATGATTTTGGTGAATAGAAACAAGATGATTCCAACTGCAAGTGCATTTTTTAGGCTATATATAAAATATTTATATAATGTATCAAATATTTTAAAAACCTTTTTTATGTTAAGAGCTATTGAATAACTTTGGCTAATAGCAACTCAGTTTACATAATAGGTCAAGTATAGCCCTACTTGTTAAGGTTTAGAGGTTTCTGGCTCTTTTGTAGAAAAGCTTACTTGAAAATATCATATCTTACAATAAATCCAGCAAACACTGATCCAACTCCATATGGCGCTGCAAAGCTACTTGCTGCTTCTCCAATGCATACACCACCAGCAATAGCAATGACAATCCCACCTATGAGCTGTGCAGCTATTAAAGCAATACGCCTTTTCTTAGTAGTATCCAATCCTGAAATTTGCCATTCCTGCCTTGTTGACAGCATGTCTAATGGGCTTTCCTAAATGCAAAATTTGTTGAGCCTGTTGTAAAAGAAAATTGGCTGAATCACTAATTGTCACATTTGTAAAAACCTTTCTCAGTTTTTTTCTGATTGTTGCTAATTGATAGATCCTATTCAATATATCATTAAGTCAAAATACATCTTCTCTTGCTATTACACCTAGACTTGCTTCATTCTTCTCCCACTGAAAAGTCATTTGCATGACATGGTTTTCTCTTTCCTCCTATCCTAAGTCAGAATAAAACCCCAGGCAATACAGCGAAAACGACGCTGACCTAAATAAAGGATTGTAGAACCCCAGTGTTCATCTTTTATGCTAATGCCTTTATTTATTCAAATTTGGTACAATCTCTAGCTATACTCTAGCTAATTAAAACCAACTAATTTAAATTACCAATGCTAGATATAATGTAAATTAAGTATAACAAATGTTGAATACGTATTTCTTGCAAAGATCACAAGTACAATTTAACGATGATAATTCCAAGACTTTTTCTTGAATAATCATAAAGTTGTTGAGCATTTTATTTCGTTTGGAACTGAGCTCCATATTTCGCTGCGTCTGTATGATACGTTATTGAATCCATATATTTTTTCAAAGTGGCTCCACTGTGTTGAATCTGGAGTTTTTTAAGCTATATGGTGGTAACTAATGAGAACTAATGGCAATATGCCCATAATGTGTAAGAAGGAAGAACCGCAGGATAGGCTGTCCGCCGGATTCTGTGAATTTTGCAATGAGTGATGTTACGAAAGATATCAAGGAACAAAGCAATACGACGACAAGGAACAAAGCAAATCAAATTTAAGGAATATACTGATATTTCGCCCGGCATACAGGGCTTCATCAGAGTAAATGAAACGAACGAGTGAATGAATTTAAAATGTGAGATGGTGATGCCGGATTGGTGGATGTTGAATGATGTGAATGCAGCACAGTGGAGAAAAAATGGGATAATGGAATGGGGGAGGGAAGGGTGGTGGGTGATGTAAGGGGATGTGGGTGGTCCTGTGGAGATTGATGCAATGGGATGATAATGATGACTGTGAATATGAATATAAAAAAAAGAATAACAATAATAATAATTGTGATGAAACTGAGAATAATGGATTGTTGATGATAGTAATAGTGGTGATGATGATTATAATGGTAGGGAAAATATGGTGTGGGTTGTGAGGACGGCGTGATAACTGATTAGTTGTTTTGTTAAGGTAATGGTCGGTGGTTCTGTTCATGCCATTGGGGGTGAGGGTGTTGGCCAGGCCAATGAGATAATGCTCCTTAGCTCGACGAACACTCTCTCGTTTGTCATTAAGTCTAAGTAGTGGTGTGATGGCAAGGTCGTTGATGGTGTGTGCTGGGCTGCAGACATGTTCTGCAACTCCAGACTTGTCTTCTTTTTTGTTGATAATGTCTCGTCGGTGTTCGTTAAATCTGTCTTTAAGTCGTCTGCTAGTTTGTCCGATGTATGATATTCCAATAGCCTTTTAATCCAGTCTTTCAAATGTTGCCACAAAAGACTTCAATGATACCCGTAAACTCAATTTGAATTTCGGGGCCCCTTTCTCGATGGATTTGCCTGGGCCCTAAATTTGGAGCCGGTCCGCCCCTGGCGCTATTAGGTCTATTTGTGTAAAAGCTCTTCTCCCGTTATTGCTATTTTTGCAAGTATTTTTTGGCTGTTGGGCGGTTTTTGTTATGATAATCACGAACTTCAATCTATTTGGAAAAGGATAGTGAAGCGAAAGGTATGTTTGCAGAGTATAAAACCTTCCAATCTTATAAAAACAGGCATATTATTGGTAGGAAAGTCGAAGAAACTGGTAAGAATTGTGGATTGGGGGATAGAATAAACACCAAGGCAAGAAACAAAACTTTCCCTCAAAAAGAATAGCTTACTTGATCTTGCAGATCAAAAATGACAACTGAAACAAGCAATTCCACAATCGAGCAACACTTACTGGAAAAGTCATATTGCACAATAACTGTCATGGTGACTCGTTTCAGATTGCTGGTAGAGCCCGGTTGTCGTTCCATCTACCAGTTTTGGAATCTATCACCTAAACATCGAAAAGCCAGTATTTTCTAAATAGAAGGAGTTATTTTTCACCTTAGGATCCACTGGTAACGTTTTCCATAGGCAAGCTGCACTTATTGGGCATACTCATGTAGTCATGTGCTTGTGTTTCTGATTGGCCTATTACTATCCACTCCTGGCTACTGGGTATATACATTTCCTAGCGTAGATCTTTTGATCAATCATCTGAAGTTTGATACTCTGAAGAGTTTTTGACGAAAAGCTTCAGTATGACTCAAAATGTTTGCTTTTTTCAAAGCATTTTTAATTTTTTACAACAACAAAATGCTTGGTAAGAATACTGTTATTTTGGTGTTGTGCAAGATTTACACAAAACTGAAAATTTATATTCTTTTAAATCCTTGGAGTCTAAACCATGTCTAAACCATGATTAAAGCATATATAAATTGAACAAAGTAAAACAGCATACTCCTTGACTTCAAGACTATTTAAAAGAAATCAACAGATACTAAAAGCGCTTAACAGGGATCTGTTGATTGCGTTTAAAATACATTCTATGTGTTACTGATTTAGCTTGCCACAGGAAATGAGGGGAGCTATTCACAGCTTACCTACAAAAATACAACCGGCCAGGCCTGATTAATTCCTTATGGATTGATGTTGAAAAGTGTAAATATTAAGCAGAATATATAGAATATATTTTAATAATGAATAAATCATAAACAAATGCATGTGTGTGAGCTCGGAGAGCTAAGTTAACAGCCCTAAAGAAAATAACAAAAACATTTCCCCCTTTATTTTTCCCCTTTATGTAATAAAATTTAAAATCATCTTCAGCAAAATGACAAAATTGCCAGACTCACCAGTTATCAGGACCAAGTCAATTCGGTCCATTTTGGAAACCATTTGGAATTGCTAAACAGTAGTTTTGGGTTTTACTATATATAGTTTGGATCGTTTTGGGTCCTTTTTTAGCTGGTTTTGGTTTGTTTTGGATGGACTTGGCTGGTATTGGGTGGCTCTGGCCCAGGCTCAGCCACACCAAAGATCATCAAAATACGTTTTAGACTTAAATACTTAAATAATAATAAACCCAATTACTATTTCAGTACTGTTCTTTTTTATTTGTGGCTTTGAGTTTCATAATTTACCCAATTTGTAATTGGTTAATCATCCCACTGCTCACATTTCTCTTGAACCCTAGCAAAAATTGGTTATCAAAAACAACCTCTAGAGCTTTTAGGGGAGCCCCATACAAAAGGAAAATGCACCAGTGCTTCATATGGCTTTAATATTCAAATGAAAACTGCCCTCTCATTTGTCAATTCAGCATGACTCTTCATTCTTTTGGGCTAGTTGAAAAAACAAGTTCCATTTGTTGAGAAATTACAGATAAATGCTTCTTGCTGCTTCAATTAAATCATGATAGCCTCGTTGACTGGAGGTAGTTTTTTTGTAAAAAGAAGAAAAATATTTTATCATTCTCGGCCTTTCATGTTTATGGCTTCAAATTTCAAATATAACATATCAAGTCAACCTCAAAAAAATTTATCCACAAGCCACCATAGACATCAATGTGACAAGGTATTAATCCTTTAATTGTTTAACAAAAAAAATTCAAATGGAAATACCAAGCCATCAATCCTAGATTTTGATGATCCTAGATTCAATTCTAGACGGGGATTCTGGTAGCCTAACCCTTTTTTTTAAATATTTATTTATGGTGAGACCTTCGAGTACAGAAATTGAGCAGAAATTGTTTACAGTTGCTGTTCAAGATAAATGACTATCTTTTCAAATACCCAATATTAGAAATGTAGTTTTAGAGTTGTTAACTTAACCTAGTTAGTAATACATCCTTTTTTTCAAGTTAACCAATAAATTTTAGTTCAGGCTGACTGTTCTTAATTTTTTAGGAAATCTGAGGCTGGATTGTCCTTAATTTGTTCTTAAATTAATCGGTTGTAAGCAGTGTGATTTCTAGCTTTCTCGCTCTAGGGTGGTGTTCATGCCTCATTTGCCACAAGGAAAGCGAGACAACCTTCATTTTCAGACAAGTTTCAATATTCACCAAAAAGCACCAACACATGACTAAAAATTATCATTTTTGAGATAGAACATTGTTCCATGATTGATTTTTACAATAGCTCAGCCTTAGCCTGCTCTTAGTTTGTTCTTTACATTTTGACCAATTTTGAGGGTCGTGTTCTTATAAAATTGTTCTTATGACCTCAGGTGTGTAGCATGGTTCCATGACCTTTGAACTGGTGGTCCTTGTCACAGCTGTCGAAAAACCCACTGGCTTACTACTTTTTAAATAATTTGTAGTATTTCGAAAAAAAAATTTGACTGCGAAACTCCAACCCAAGATGGCTGAAAATGCAGGAGTGCCGAGTGTGTTGAAACTGCTTTTGCGTGGGCCTAATATACATCGACGATTATTTTACCCTGAGAGGATAAGTAAAGGAAATCTATATTGGCAGTCAAGATATACTCACAAGAACGTTTCTTCCTTGTTTCGAGAGGAGAAATTATTTGTGCTAATTTTCAATTTCAAGTAGAAGCCGATGTGTGTCACGTCCGCGCTTAGTCAAGTCGCCCTATTGTCTGATTGTTGTTGTTTGTTACTTCGGACACAAGAGCAGTAGAGCACCACATACGCACGTCGTTTTGAAACGTACATCATTTCTGCAATGATTGCAATTCCGTGTAAAAAATAGGGAGTGTCGTAGGCGTGCGTAGCCAGGGTTGGAAGATTGGAGGTTCAAAGAGGTATCCAACAGCAGGGGTCCAGGGGTTTACCCCCGGGAAAATAAGAATCAACAGAGGAATTCTTTCAAGTTGATGAAAATAGCTCCCTCAGAAATAATATTGCCGCATCCCTCATCAAATCAGACATTGAGGCCCAGGGGGGCACTTGGCACACAGACATACGGGTCCGACATTTTTGGGTCAAATGTTTGCCAAGTGATATTTTTGGGTTAAATATTTGTCAGAAATGATATTTTTGGGTCCTGCGAAAATAGTAGATACAATTCTGATATTTCTAGGTATCAAATTTAGAAACACTGATATTTTTGGGTATTCGTGAGATTTCCACATCCGAATCAAATGTATTGTTCATGGATCTAATTCGCTGAGGTTTATTTTACCCACTTCAAGTCACGTCGGGAGTCATGTTACCATACTCTTTGGAAATTTTAATGCAACTTTTTGTACTCACTGTAAACTTTATATGGCACGAAATATGCTAGAGATAGTTTCAATTGTCGTGAATATCCAAATTGAACATTTGCTCCATGTGTGGTAATGGCAACTGCAACTATTTACGGCTTTTTTGAATTGCAGATCTTATAAATTACAGCTATGTCATATTATCTAACCCAAAATTCCAATTTGTGACATTTTTGGGTACAAGATATAAGTAAAACTGATATTTTTGGGTCTTATTGAAAATGAGCTGATATTTTTGGGTGGCCTTTAAATTTCTTGCACTTGCCCCCCCCCCCGTATGTCTATGTGCAGAGTGCCCCCCCCCCCTGAGCATTGAGGCTACATTCCCTCATCACGGGGAGCAACGTTGCCGTTGGTGCATCGGCACAAGTTGCTCCACCTAACCTAAAGAAAAACCCTAAACTTTAGATATAGCTTGATTAACTCAAGTGCAAGCAGTTTTAAGTTCTGGGGAGGGAATGGACAAGAAAAGTTCACTTTTCCTAAACAGGGAGCCGATGCACTAGTCCTACCTTACATAGGGTATGAGAGGGAAAAACAAAATATGACAGAATAAAATGCCGGATCCACTCTTAACTAAAAAAGCAACAGGACCTTTTTAAAAAATACTGTTATGTAGATAAGCCCCAACCCCTAAGAGAACGAAAGAATTAAAAAGGATTTGAAAAAGAAAACACCCTTTGCTAGATACCAAAAGGGGAGGGAGGGTACGGGAAAAGAGAACAGCGTTGAAAGCGCCTACCAACAAGCATGATAAGCCCCACCCAAACGCTAAAATACCCTCGCCAGAGCCAAGGGACCAACAACTCCGTGTAGAAACACAAAATAAAGAACTCCTTTCCTACTACCCTATTTCCCAAATGCGTCGAAAACAGCACGTAAGGACGTACTACAAGAATGAAAGCATGATAATTTACACCCAAATAGGGTAAAAATACGGATAAAGATAAAACCCCAGAAAATTAAATTTTACAACAACCCTCGTGAAATTAACTTTGATAAAATTGCATTTGATCAACATTTTACATGGCAATGGTTGGCTAATCAAACACAATAACCGTCATGTGTAGCTTTTGTGGCTCTAAAAACTGATTTTCCAAAGTTGTGAGCTGATATCTAAAAATAATAAACAGTATTAAAAAGTTTCAACTAAATCCGTTCTCTTTGGAGCAAATCTGCAAAATCCCCGACCAGCATTTCAGAATCCAGTTTTTTTAAAGATTGAAGCGCTTTAGCATTTTAGTTTTATTATTTTATCAGGAATGTCTAAAGAACGTGACTGGCTTTTCTATATAAACCCTAAAACGGGGGAAAATTGTAAAACATTCTGCAGAGGTATAGAATAGGGTCCCCAGGGACCGAAGCAAGCAGAAAATTTTTGCGACCACGTCCTTTATATAGGTTTAAAATACATTTCAGAATATTTCTTACAGTCGTTTGCTTGCAGTGTTTAAAACGTTGGCAAAATTTACCGAATAACACAGAAAAACTGGGGGTGTCATACCCCGCTACACCCCCCCCCACGCTTAATCCACCCCTTTCCACCCCCTTGCCCCCCTCGCTACGCTACTGCACACATGACTATCCCGGAGGGGGTTCGGGCTTTCAACACCCTTGCTAAAATTTTTGCTAAAAGAGAGATTTTGGGGTCTTCTCTCCAGCGAACTCATGTTAGGTTGGACGTATTATTTGTTGGCAAATAGCAACCTTTATCATGCTGGAGATTTTGTGTTGATAAATGGGCAAATTCCTATTCATCTTTTTGAACCGGTGAATTGTTTGGAGGTTACACAATAGAAAATCCTAACGCAAATGCAAATACATATGGCGTGATTGTGGGCGTCGTCTCAGGTGTGGCTTCTAAGTTGCTTACAGCACAGCCCATAGCTAACTTTTTAGGACGGTACCCCTGTACCCAATCTATGACGTAACGGAATAATGTGCTCTATGGCTATGCGTTCTTAGGAACCACATTATAAGGAACCCAGGACCGTTGCATTGGGGTTGAATGTGTGTGTGTGTGTGGGGGGGGGGGTGTGACTCACCCAGAAAAACCCAATGATGGTTCTGTAACTTTAAAATAACAAGACATTTTATGCGTATTATTGAAGTTAAATTGAACATGCCAAAATAAAGCATTTAAACTTTGTAGCACTTGTGTAATTTTTTCTTAGAAAATCCTATTTTCAATGGGAAAATAAAATTCCATTTAAATAAGCCCTTCCTTGTCCCCACGTGATGAAGGTAGAGGGCTAATTGTATTTTATGTTGGGGGATGGCCTATTGATTGCATTACCCTTAAAACTTTTGATGCCCATAATTTTGCAAAGCATAGAGACATGCACATAAAAATGGGAAAACATTGCTATTTTAATGGACTTAACCTGAAGACCAAATTTCATAAGAGTATGAGAATTTTGTGTTTTATGGTTGAGTTGGTTTCTAATGAATGACCATCCAGCATCAAATTTATTAAATGGAGACAAAAAACTTTCAAAACTGGCATTACGTGCAGCTTTAAAGCTACTACAAACTGCTTTTCTTCTCACTATGCATTCTTGCTTGCTACCCTCCATTCTGATGACAGGAAATAAAAAGGGCAAAAATTTAAAGGTAGCCAGCCATATTCTAAACACATGACATTTACAAAAAGGAAATTGATGAAAAGTTACAATGGGAAAAATTCAAGTCTCCAGATTCTCAGTTCTTGTTTTAAAGCTTTCCAGTCACTTTCATATCCAACCAGAAGTAGTTAAATGCAATGAACCATCCAAGTCTGGCAATATGTGTCAATTCTTTTCAATCCAGGCATTTAGTAAATTATATCATGGGGACAAGTCACCATGAGAACAACTGGATGTTAATAAAATCTTTTATTGACCTGTTGACACTTACTTGGTAGTTTATTTCATGTAAAATTCTTGTGTCTGGATTCCAAATTCAAAGGCAGTTTACTAGACTGCTTGACAAAAAAAGCAGCTCATAACAATTGCAAGGATAAAACTGTGAGAGGTTATAACAATGCTAGTCCAACTTATTATCCCAAAAAACACCTTTTTAATTCCATTTAAACTGCTAGTGCCATTGTTCTAATTCAAAGATCACTGCTTTCAAATACTTAAATTCTAGGCTCATGAAGAACAGAATAAGCATGAGTATCGAATATTCCTTTCTTCAAGTTTGAAATAAGGCTGGTGTAAATTTTTTACGAAATTCAAATCAGAGCTGATAATATAAGCTGTTTTAAATCATCTTAAAAGGTGTTCTGTGCACTTTAAGAATTCATCTTCAAAAATCTTTTCTGAAAATCTGTGTTGAACTGATTCCTTTGCATTTTGCCTGATTTCTTCACGTTCCTCTCTATCTTTCTGGAAGATTTCAGAAATTGATGCTGAATAACCAGTCACATCAGATGCAAGGAATCCAGTCTTCTCCTCATTCCATTTTGTTACGATATCTAGCTTTGGACCCCCTGAATCATGAGCCAAGGCAATCACTCCAGCAGCCATGAATTCTACAACTCCAATGCCAAAATGCTCATTCCACATTGTGTGAATACCAATTGAAGCCTGTGATAAGAGTTGCTTTAGTGCAGGAAAGGGGATATTTAGGTGAAAGTCAACATACTCTGATATCTGCAGTTCTTCGCATAAATTTTTCAGGTCATCAACCCTTTTTTCATCATCTGTGTTTCTGCAGCTTCCAACAAGCAAAAGGCGGTAAAGACTTCTACATTTAGATTTTTGACTTTTTAAAAACTTTGAAAATGATTTAATTTGAAGCTGGTGGTTTTTCTCTGGTCTGAATTGACCAATAGATATAACAACTTTAATTTCTTGATCTTCAGACACATTATTCAGTACTGCCAGCTCTGCAGTATCACAAGGTGGGTAGACAGTTGCCATACAAGCTGGCTTTTTCCATATTTGAAGGATGTGATTGTATGTCCAAGAGGAGTTCACCATTGTTATTGATGAACAGCTACCCACAATGCCATATAACAGTGCAAACATCTTATAGTACAACAACTTTGCTTGGGTAAGGACAATGCTTTTTGAAATAATACTGGCATTATTGAAAGCTGCTTCACGGCGTTTCACCTTTGTCAGCATGTCTGTACTAATCGTCGGATAGTGAACATAACAGCCAACATTGCAGCCTCCTAAAAACTTAAAAATTGGAAAAGTGAATGCATATCCCATTGTGTCTATGTATACATCAGGTGCAAACTTTAGCAAAGCTTCAAGTCCCAGCAACATTGACCCTAAACTTTGACCCAGCAATGTGAAGTATGGCCACATCTCAGCCTCGACCCACCGTCGTTTCTTCAAGAAAACAAAATGGACTGGCTTATGCAAATCAATATTGAACCTCTCCTTGGCTCTTTCTAATATTTCTTCAGGGGTATATCCACAGTCGCCCGTGTATACCACACAATGGACGAAAAGGTGACGGCGCTGCAATGCTCGGATACTGCACCAAAGAACCCTCTCTCCACCACCTCCAGCATTACAGTAAGGATGGAAGAACGCAACCACAACTGGAGGTCCTACTGTTGACGAGCAGGTCCACATCGAGGGATAAAGTTCCCGTGTTCGCCGCCTCAACCTCATTCTCAGCAACAGCAGCAATGGAAGCATTATTACCACCAGGATTAAACCACATAATAAAATATTGTAAAGAAAGCTTATCGGAAATTTATCCATAATATCTTCTTTGTTATCAAGAGGGAGATCCATGGCATTTAATCTAGAAATGGGCTTTGCAGCTAAAGCATTTCCACAGTGCCAATGGTATAGTGGCTTATTAGGCCGAGTTTCCCTCCTGTTCAGCCATCAAAATGTGAAGTGAAACGTAACAAAGCCTCGTTATGATAAGGTCTATGCGGAAGTAAATGACTAAGAAAGTAATTGACGTGGTGCAAATAAGTTCACATTGCAACGTACCGCACGATAGCCCCCGACGGCTTATGACACCAAAACAGGGAGGGCTTGGGGGGCTTTAGCCCCCTCCCCATATTTTACAAGAAATGCCAAATATCAAGTAATAAACTGACAGTAAAGGTTCTTTTTATACGGTTTTAGCCCCCCTACTTTTTTAGACCCCCCACTTTTCTCAACACTTCGCGGTGCCTGATAAGTGACTGATAAATATATCTCTACTATTATAAAGCATTTTTAATGGTAAAAATTCAATCATTTAGGCTTATGATACATATGCTTGATCAATGGATCGTCTACTCTTTGCCAAAGCTAAGTTATCGGTAGGGTGAAAAATATGAATATTTCGAATGAATAATTTGATTCATACTTATCATTTTAACGGCGTTATTGAATAATTGAAGGCAAATGGAGACAAAAGATTGATTTCCGGGATACAGCTGTTTCATCGCTTGTTTTGCTGTTCACACGACACGATACCGGATTCATTTCATATCAGATCGCTTTTCATATCGGATAGGATAGGCCTTCTGTTCACACGATGACGCTTGAATCTGATACGCTCCGTAACGTTTTTGAGGAGTCAAACCATTGCGCTGTGAATGTGCAATGGAATCATATCGGATCGCTTTTGAGCTCGTGTGAACGCATGAATCCGATACAGTTTCGCTCCGGAACCTCTGTTTCGAAAGGCAGCTTCATTTTCGGGGTTTTTAAAAATAGATTGGCATTCTTTTTAAGACAGAAAATGACAGTGGATCGCAGTTAAACCAGGGCCCGCGCCACAGGGGGGCTCGGGTAGCCATGGCCCCCTTACTTATTTGCGAAGAAAGTAGTTTTAGAGCTACAGTAAAAGGGGTAAAAAGTCTTGGCCCCCTACTTTTTCTAGCCTAGGCCTTCCACTTTCAAATTCGTAGCGCGGGCCCTGTAAATGTAAACAATAAATATGCTCCTTGCGTATGATGGGCTTCACAAGATTAAAGCAAAGCAAAATTAGATTGATTGAACATTGATTTTGAAATATTTCTTCTTCAAAACAAAACAGCGTATCTGTTCCGTCACCTCAACGAATGCATTCAATCAGAAAAAGAGAAAAACAGTTTTTTGGAGCAGTGTTGAACACTGATGTAAAAAAGACTGGCTCGAACAACCTATGTTCTCTTAGGAAGCTGATCGAGTCTCTCCATTTTGAGACCTCTCGCGCCTAAAGCTTTGGGCTGCCATTTGTTAAAACGGCGCATACACAGTGCTGCGCCTTAAATTGTGCATTAATAATTAAATTCTTAGGCCAAGAGCCTAGGCCCATTGAACGTAGACCCAATCAATCTGGTCACAATCAGCTTGAGCTCAATCAACCCAGGCTCAATCAACCCGGGCTAAAACAACCTAGGCCAACTCAACCTATGCCCACTCAACCCAGGCACACTCAACCCGGGCCTACTCATCCCAGGCCCACCTATCCCAGGGCACACTCAACCCAGGCTGACTTAACCAAGACCTTTTCAGCCCGGGCTAACTCAACCACTAACGCAACCGGTTTTTTTAGATCAGTGGAGGAAATTTCGCGATGCCGTCCAGCGAGGGCTGAGAAGATATTCAATGTGTTTTCGACATTGGTGGACATCAGGTCACGCTCTATGATCATGATTGTCAAAAACACAATAGAAGAGTCACACAATTCATCGCTTTCACTTCAACACTTCGAGGCTCGAGGCTGAAATTTTCGGTGTGCGAATTCTCCGTTCCGGGTTGACGTCATTGATTTTGTATCTCGCTATCTATGGATCTTTCTCAAAAATGGACTCCAGAATTGAAATCACATCTTTAAATTAGTTTATCATGTTGTTTGGACCGTTCGGTCGCGAGTTACTTTGTTTTGAATATTTAGATATTTCTTTAGATTTGACCGAGCTAAGTGGGCCGTTGTTGAGCCAGCCCCGGATGAGTAAGCCCGGATTGAGTTAGCTTGGGCTGAAAAGGCCTGGGTTGAGTCAGCCTGGGTTGAGTGGACCCTGGGATTAGTGAGACTGGGATGAGTAGGCCCGGGTTAAGTAGGCCTAGGTTGAGTGGGCATAGGTTGAGTGTTGGCCTAGGTTGTTTTAGCCCAGGTTGATTGAACCTGAGTTGATTGAGCTCAGGCTGATTGAGCCCAGATTGACTAGGTCTAGGTTGAGTGGGCCTAGGTTCAGTGAGTCCCAGGCTGAGTCAGCCCGCTTTGAGTCAGCCCTGGCTAAGTAGGACCAGTTGGAGTCAGCCCTGGCTAAGCGGGCCCAGTTTGAGTCAGCCAGGAATGCTATATTGGTTAATAATATATAATATGTCTAACTACTATGATGGGGTAGTTTCAAGAGTTGGGCTTTTTGGTGGCAGAGTAGCAGGGTGCTGCAGTTTGTCCGCTGTACTGACAAGAATGTTCATTTGTACGGAACGAATCGTGCCTCTCTGCTGCTCTTCTCTGTCTGAAGTCAAATCGCAGAAAGTTCATTAAACAATTTCGTATAGTTATGAAGTGTAGTGCACATACTGTTCTTAAAGTGTAGTATAATAAGGTATTGTTGCTGCTTTTTGAGTATTATGCAAGCACCAAAGCTTATATGATTATAATTTGTACTGTGTAATTTAGCAGATTGATTCAATAATTGCACTGTTTTAAGATGATTTTCATTGAATTTGAACTGAGATGATAAAGAGGGTCAACTGCCAATGTTGCCTTTTCATGGGTGTAGCAAGGGGGCCAAATTGCCCTTGACATCGTCTGTTTATGATTTTTAAAGAGATAGGGCCTTATTCGTGACGATGTTTCTCTAAACCTTGAAGAAAATTCTTACAAATGTTAGCCAATTTTCAGGATACCTACAGAAAATCGAAATAAAATGAGAGTTACGAAAGAATTGCTAAAAGCTAGAATTACCTTTCAAATACAGTTTGCAAATTTCAACGCAAATGGTCTGTGATAAATAACCAATATGCTAGATGCGCTAGTTCAGTGCCAAATACAGGTACAAACATGTAACGAATACCCAGATTTAGGGCTCAGAGTCAAACTTCGCGAGAGAGCTTTTCATATAGTCATTAACTTCAATTTAGTTAATGTAGTTGAATAAACAACAGGGTACGGTGAAAATATCGAAATGAGAGTATTCCAATAAATTGAAATGAGCTACATCAAATCCTGCACGTAACATCAAAATCTTGGATAAACATGCGAGTCACGATGATGGGTGGTAGAAAAAGAGTGGAATTCTTAAATCGTGACTTATCCAGCCCCAATAATCTTTAAAAGGAGATAAGAAAATTGAAAAAGTATCAAAATTGATATACAAATAAACAAATGCCCATAGTGTTCATTTTGGCACAAATCTCTTAAAGGCCTATTGATCTAACAAATTTCGTTTTTTCGCTTTTTCTTTATGCACATAACTTATAAGAAAGAATTGAGACTTTCCACCATACTATTATGTTGTCTGCAAAGAAAAGTTTATTAAATCTACAATGTTTCCCAAATTGTATTTGAATCATTTCATTTCCTAATCCCGGGACAAGGTTTTCCTTGGATCGTGATGTTTGACATGATATGCTTGATAGAAACCAAAACACAATGAAATGAAATTAGTATTATAATACAACAAAGAGCCTAGGGGGTGTTTCTCGAAACGTATTCTTCATTCACTTCAAATACGGCTTCATCTCTTTATTCTGCTCAAAGTTGGAAAGATATTCAAGAACAATGTTTGCAATTTACAAAGAAGGAAGCGTTTCAGTGAACCCTGAACGCAGACCACAAACTGTGGAAAGTGATAACAAGAGTCAGAAGACTTCTTCAAATGTACTGAGAAATGCTATTTTAGCATTTTGTCTTTTGTCGTTCATTGCTCTACTGGCGGTTACAGTTTGGGCACTTGTCGCAAAAGGTGAAACCCTCTTTGCATTTTAAATTACAAGGTTTATCTGTGACATTGAAACCTTAGCAGAGATCCAATACAATTATTAAGACTTCTTATCTGATACATATATTCTGCAAATGAATCCCAGACTGTAAAGTATTTTTCTGCGCTGGGAACGCCAGAACAATGAAGTCAAATTTGCGGATAAGAACGCTCCGTTGGAAAACGTGCGCGGAAACTGTAGCAAAAGCTTTCGAAAGGATCTTGTATTTTTCTTTTTTTTTGTAATCAGATGTCAGTTGCTTAATTTGTGGAATATTCGCAGAGAAATTGACCAGATGAACAAATATTTTCTAGGATAAAGGGTGAATATTATTGTGTGGGGAACGGGTTCCCAGCGAAACCTAAACGTTACAGCAGAGTTTATTTTGATGTTCAACTTTAACCAGTTTGTGCAGCGATGAGTCGTAATTATGTAGTCACAAGCCAGGAATTTGAGAAGTAATATAACTAAAAAGATATACTGTATATTCCTTTAGAAAAAGTTGCTAGATTGCAACAACTACCAGTAGAGACATAAAACTGTTAAGAGAGCATTACAATGTTAACATTAACCAACAAAAATGACCAACTTTTGTCAAATCTCTATAATGAATATTTCAATATGTAAATGTTGCCCAAATCATTTCAACTTTCCTTGCTATCCCTTTAAAGATCTCAATTTTCAAAAACATTCTGAAAAAAGATCTCAACCTTTCAAGCTTCTGTTCTGTCCTGTACTGAAAATCTGCTTATAGAATTATAACTTTGTGTAAAAACGGTAATTAAACCATAAGATACCGTATTTTTGTCATATGTTATCTATTTGTAAAATGTAGAATGAAAACTTAATGTAAATAAAGAACAAATAACTCAGTTTAAAAATATAGTGCAGTTTACAAAAATTCACCGAAGGAGCGACCTATCAAAACCTCAATTTATTCAGAACATATTTTACAAAATTACAATGACTAAGGTCCTTCAGTTTTGAATTTCCCTACTTTGTCAGAACATACAAAATTAACTCGCTTGCTAGCTAGTATTCAAGATTTTGATCTTACCCCGCAAAACTTGAAAATGTCCGAATTTACGCCAGACTTTAACAAAAGCGTAAGACGTGACGAATATGAAGACTGCCTGCCAGCCAATATTTGTACGGTTTTTTTCTTCGATCTTTTTCTACGGTTCCTTTTATTGAAGATTCATTATATATCTTATGAAATAAGTAGCCGAGACTTTACCAGCTTTTAGGACTGAATCTTTACAAGTTTACTTCTACCATACTGTTATGTTGTCTGCAAAGAAAAGTTCACTAAATGTACAATGTTTCCCAAATTGAGTTTCGGGACAAGGTTCTCCTTGGATCGTGATGTTCGACATGATATGCCTTATAAAAAGCAAAACACAATGAAGTCAGCATTATAACAACAACAAAGAGGCCAGTGGGTGTTTCTCGAAACCCATTCTTTTTTCATGTCAAATAAGGCCTCCTCTCTTTATTCGCTCAAAGTTCGAAAGATATTCAAGAACAATGTTTACAAGTAACAGGGTAGGAAGCGTTTCAGTGAACTCTGAACGCAGACCAAATACAGTTGATAAAGATAACAAGAGTCAGAAGACTCCTTCAAATAAGCTGAGAAATGCTATTATATCATTGTGCATTCTGTCGTTCCTTGCTTTACTGGCAGTTACAATTTGGACGCTTGTCGCAAAAGGTGAAAACCCTTTATTGCATCTTAAATACAAAATTTAATTATAAAATTGAATATTTAGCAGAGACTCAGAGCAATGATTAATTATGGTTTTTTATCTGATACATGTATTCTGCAAATGAATCCCAGACTGTAAAATATTTTTCTGCGCTAGGAACGCCAGAACAATAAAGTCAAATTTGCACATAGCGTGCGATATTTGCGAGAAACCGAGCAATGTTATTAAATTGAAAAGATGAGCAATGAACCATTAACTCTGCCCAATAATGAGCAAATAAACAATTCAATGATGTAAGGGTTTCTGTGGTAAGGGCTGCACGCGTGGAATGCGGACGTAAAGGGGAACATTTGGACGCCCAATAGAAATGCAGAAGTACGTCATCTCTTTGATGCGCCCCTGGGGGTTAACTTCCACATGTTTTGGGTATCATTTTGAAAAGAAAGGTTATTTGTTTGCATTAACGTGATTAAGTTGTAGGATTTTCGCAGATTTAATTATATTTTATTTGCTTAACAGGACATTTTGTTTTCTAGATAAAGATGATGAAAAGGATACCCCGTCAGCTAGCAAAATTACCACCGGTCGCGCTGAATGCAAATTGGATGGAAGTGCCGTTACTTGCAGCTGCACGCAATCAGGCTTTCAATGGAACGGCACACACTGCACAGGTACCAACCAACATTCAAGGCTTTTTCCATTCGGGTACCTTTCTGTTCTTTCTGTAGCTTTCTGATATTTTAACACATTTTTCAATCGGACCCATCATGTCTAGGCTCTATTTCAAAATCTTCAGAACTTGGTTTCCCTCCTTATTATTTGCTCACAAAGTCTATGCCTAAATAATTTAGTTCACGGCTATTCATCTTGATTCAAGTCCTTGTTTCCACAAATGACACTGTTTCTATCTGATCTGAACCTGTACATCCTGTTTTAACTGAACCTGTACGTCCATGTACATACATGACTGAATAACCAGTATCGATATACATATTCTACCCAGCAGGAACAAATCTTGAAGGTGGTTGGTGTGACTGGCACGAGGCAGAAAAATGCAGTGCATCCTGTGGCTATGGTTACCAAAAACTGGTACGCTACTGTGCCTGTCCAGCTCCAAAATTTGGAGGAGCACCGTGTGTGGGTAGTGATCGAATATACCGCCCATGTCACAGAAGAAGCTGCCCAAAGAAACCTGGAGGTTTGGCTTTTCACTTTAACTTTTATATTTTACTTTTATAAGATATTTTACTTTAACTATTATACTTTTGTAAGATATTTTTAAAAAACAAATTTTTGTAAATTTAGAATGATTAACAAATGGCTATTCTCTACGAAAAGTATTTTTTCTACATCTATGTTTATCTGCTCTGTAGAAATAAAGGAAGATCATAAAGTGATATTCTGTATTGTCCATTTCTTAAAACAGACTTTTTGTAAACAATTTGACATATGTTATCTTTATATATGCATAAAACTTGTTTTCTAATGTTGAAGAAGAAAGCAAGAACAACATTTTTTTTATCAGCAGGCTGCAGAGAAACTTTCGTTGATGATTATGGGACTGTGGCTTCTCCTGGGTATCCAAACAACAACCAAAGAAACATTGAATGCACTTATACAATCATTGCAAGTCGCAACGAGAAAGTGATTTTGAAACTCAATGCTCTAGACATAGAAAGCTCAAAGGATTGTACGAAAGAAAGACTTCGGATTCATATGAAAGGATCCTTGAATGTTCCCCCTGTTGTGACGCTGTGTGATAATCAAAAGAAAGGAAGCAATTACACATCGGTCGAGAACAGGCTAGTTGTAACATTTAGGAATGGCTTTGCAAAAAATCCAAGTGGGTTTCTTGCGAGCTATCATATTACCAAAAAAGGTCAGTAAACTTGTTGCTGTGTAAATCAAGTTGCCATTTGACAAGATATAATTTGCCATATATTTAGGAAAGATGTTTGGACATTTCCAGATTTTAGAGAAATGTAGGGCAAAATCACTTCATTTTCATAATAATTCTGTACCAATAGGTTCTTGAAAGTTTGTAAAAGATTATGAATGGTAGAAAAGATGCCGAGTTGATAAAACCAGCTAAAATGTATCCGTTTTTAAAACGAATCAAGAGAAATTGCAGATTACTTTACAAGGACCGAGAGACCGGGGGGCCGGGGGGCCTTGGCCCCCAAAAAACTTAACTGGTATAAGTAAAATACTTTTGTTTTGTAAAATATGACTGCTTACACCTATTTATCAGGCACCCTCCCCCGCGCCAAACAAAAAGTTGTATCTTGGTCTTTGCTTTAACTCGTACTTACTTCGTTTATGGTTTCAACACAGCTGGGTTAAAATCGCCACTTTGAAATGTTTTGTTAGCCTTCTCCTCTTTAGGTCATTAAATTTCGAGAATTAACAAATACCAAATCACATAGAGCTGCAAGATAAATCAGTTTTTGAAGCAATAATCCTTAGATATCCTTTTAAAATGCTGGTGTTATGATGGGCCAAAAGAAGGGTCAAAAGGTTCCGGGTTTGGCGTTTCTACTAACCCACAAGTGAGTTTAAAGAGATCCTTGCCATCCCTGATCCACTCTGAGACCCATTTTTAGCTTTATCCTTCTTCAAGTGGGTTAGTGGAAACGCAGCGCAAAGATGAATAACTTTTAGCCCGTTTAGATTATAACCTAGGCCAGTGGAAATTCTGCCTTCAACTTGAATGATGGACAGAATTTTCCTCTCAGTTTAATCTGTCCTTGAACAATTTTTGCCAATGTTAGTTTTTTTGTGATATGTTATTATGTTTTTGATAGATGACTCGATGGTAAATGGTGGTTGGTGCTACTGGTATCCTGTTACAAAATGCAACGCAACTTGCAGTTCCGGAAAGCAGCGGTTCCAGCGTGATTGTGCCTGCCCGGTACCTGCTAATGGAGGAAAGCCATGTCTTGGCTCAGCAGAACAACTCATTGATTGCATTGATTATGATTGTATAACCCCTACACGTGGCATGTCGGGTACAAGTAAGTCTCTCGATTTACCCCAATATCAATTATGCCAGAATCAAATGGTAGCCATTGCTTCTTTAAATTTATACCTAAAACAGATTCATAAACATGATAAAATTTCCATTTTATTCCACTAGACCTGCTAACTGTTACTTTACTTTGGAGGAAATTTTTTTCTCAGAAACATGTGATTTTGAATATACTCTTGGAAAAGAGAGATGCCACTGGAGCCAGGATAGCTCTGATGATTTCGATTGGACGAGACACTCTGGAAGACCACCAACTTACAGCTCTGGGCCTTCAACAGACCATACTTTTCGAAACCGAACAGGTCAGGGTGATTCTTGCTGCAGTAGTTTTTCTATATTCAAATGTCAACCATTTGATTTTCCATGTTTGCAAAGTCAAATTTTCGATTTGTGATAAGCCGGTTATTTATATAAAACCCATTGATTTCATCTTTTTCTTTCCTTTTGAATGTATGGTGTCTTTTCTCCGATCCTGCCTGTCATTTTCCCAATGTCCTTTATAAATATGCGAAAAAAATTATCAAAGCTATAGAGTAACTGACTATTAATCTAAAGAAGATGGTTTCTAATATTCCGTGAATAGCGATGTGATTTTTCTACATCTGTGTATATGGCTAGATATAAGCTCATTTTTTCCTAAGAAAAAAGGTCGAAGTTGAGTACTCCAATTTCTTAACGCTGTGAAAATTTGCATACTTGTTGTTACTTAAGAGGTTCTTGAATTTGACGTCATTAATTTTGACATTTCCTTTCTATTTTCAATTTTTTCACGCTAAGAAAGTCTCCAACAGAAATTTGTTTGAAGGACTTTCCTCACAACAAATCGTCAATATTTCTTTTGTTTTTGATTGTTCCTGACATTTCATTAAAGTTTCGTTATAGCTTAGGGAAGTTATCTTCAGTTTCTTGAGTCTAAACTTTTGTGCCAATCAGACAATCGTGATGATAAAATTTCACAAATTGCTGAAACCTGGATTTTTTCAAAATTCAATTGTTTCTTCCGTTTTGGCATCGATTAAGGAAGTTTCTCCATGCTTCCCCAGTACTTAAAAAGATTAGTGTAAATAACATAAAAGAGTACCGTAATGTGGCGTCATCAAAAATATATTTTTAGAATTTCAACATAAAAAACCTTTCAACATGCAAAATCAGCTAGATATGTTCAAAAATTAGCGAAAAGTGGTCAATAAAAGATTTCATGTTTTTCAATGGATAACTGTTATTCTGGTTCATAAAGTTAAGGACCTAGAGCAAATTATAAATGTTTAATGGGAAAAGCCTGTGCTTATGTCGCCTCGCCATATCTCAGCCAAATTGTAACACATTCAACTGATTTCGCATATTTAGAGTTATTTTGTAATGCTCTTTGGGATATATGGTCAACATTGAAAAATTTTATCAGTGGAATTTTGTGATGCCGTCATTTCAGTACTTTTTGACTTTGATGTTGTAGGTCATTACATGTACATTTACAGCAACAGACGTCCCTTTGGTAGCAAAGCCAGCCTGCTGTCCAATGAAAGGGAGTCAACAGCTAAATCATGCTTATCGCTTTGGTACCACATGTATGGAAGTCAGATTGGTACCCTTTTTATAAAGAAGAGGATGGGAGCATCAGTTTCTACATTATGGTCTATGAGTGGTAACAAGCAAAATGCTTGGTGGCTTGCAAGTGTACCCTTCTCATCATCTGAGCCATATAAGGTGTGATAATTATGACAGCCTCTTTATTTTTTTAATAAAGTTAAACTATTAAGCACAAGACTTGCCGTTAAAATGTTCTGTTTTGTTATTTTTGGCCTAATTTATTATGTTTGAGGATTACACCAAGAGTATGCGAATAAGAGACAACGTTGTCCTCCATAATGCCTTCGTTGGTAGATTTAAACCGACTGACACTGAGGCATAGAATAAAATACTAATACAAAAATAATAGTTATTAAAATCAAATGAATGACAGTAACATTTGATTTTTCTTACAAAGCTAGACATTGGTTTTTAGATCCTATGAACCGAATTTTAGATCCTAAGAATCATATGAAAAATGCTAGTGCAGTTTCAAGTACTGTTCTGTCAACCACATATGACAAATCACCACCCCCCCCCCCTCCCTGCTTCATTTAGAACATATAAACGAGAGAAACAACAGCAGCGTCAAATTTTCGATGACAGTTTCTTTATATTTGTTGGTCTTTTATAGCTTGTGATTGAGGGGACTGTTGGAGGATATTATGGTAACATTGCGATAGATGATGTCACCATTTCAGAGGGAAACTGCCCACCACCAGGTAAACATATTTTCTTGTATCTGTTTTAAGAACAGCATAATGCTTCCAATTATTTTCTTGGTTGCATTTTGTCTAATTTTTCTTCAGTGGAGGTCATGGGAATATTTTCATTCTAATGTTTACTTCTATACTTATATATGTGCCAAATTTCAATAGCAAATGTATGAGTTTCAAGATTACACTCTATTAACGATTTATATTCAAGGACCGAGATAAAAGGGGGCCGGGGGGCCCTGGTCCCCCCAAAAATTTTAGAACCATAAGTATAACACGTTTGTATTACTATTTAGTACTTTGAGAAATACGATCAAAAGGGTCAAAAATCGCTGTTTGCACAAGTTATAATAGTTCTGAAGCTGTTACTTGTAATGCCTGCGACTAATGCCGTTTCTAAAAAGAGTTTTCCGGACTACGGGGAATAAATACATATTTTCGTACAAATATAAAGCAGTCAAAATTGAATCATTTGATGATATTACATGCGCACAAGGAAACAACAGAAAAATTGATATCGGTGGCAAATGATTTTGCCACCGATGATTATCATCTGGGTAAATTTTCACCCAGCGATTTGTCACATTTGTTGAAAGATTGATCTTTATGTATAGTATAACTATGGTAATTTATACTCTTATTCATTAGGACCTCGAGGGGATATGGTTCCACAAAATCTATTTCTCTTAGCGAATGCCCCAGTTAACCAAAACTCCGGGTAAGTGGGGGCAAGGACGAGCATTTGCTCTTAAAAATCCCTAGTAAGTTTATATTGGCGGAAATATCATTTGCACATTTTAAAGGAATTAAATCCCATGAATACTGCAAAAGTTCCAATTATCGAGGTCCCACTTACCGGTTGCAACGTCGTTTGGATACTTATATTTTTATAAGAAACCACTTATAAACTCCAATACTAAGAACAAATCATTTTAGAAACTTTTTGTCGTAGATCTTTTAGTCTAAGAAATCTAATGGCGTATCTTTATTTAAGTTCTGATATTTCTTAGAAACTCTCAGTACAGATACAATTATGTAGCTTCTTATAAGAAATAGCTGTTTTGCCACATATTTTTAAAAAATTGTTGTTTGTTAAATTTTGTTTTGTTGGAAGTCGGTGAGGTTACTTATTAATCATCAATCTTTTTGTTGTTTTGTTGAAAAGATTACTACATAGTTAAGCAGAGTTAAGCAGCCATAGTTGCAGTATGGTTTTTTTCAAGGGTGTCTCACACCCCTCATGTCCCCTTTCATGCCGGCCCTGCTGGTTCCCCCAAACAAAAAGTTTCTCGGTCCCTGTTTATATTATAAAGTTTATTAAAGTTTACTCTAAAACAGCATGTTGATTATAGTATCCTTAAAATTATCGAATAGACTAAAATAAGACAAGCTGATACAAAATTGAGCGTTGCAATTATTGGTTGACCATCCTTGACCAGATGAGACTGCAGAATGACTGCAAATTGTCAGTCAGTATTGCTGAATCTAGTCTATCGGCATTGTTTGTTCATTTTACTTGTAGAGAAATGTGAATCCTTTCTACAAGTTTCTTACCCTGGGTAAGAAACTTGTAGAAGTTGCCTCTGTTCAGTGACTAGTTTAGAACAATATTTCTGAGACTAACAGATGGAGACTCTGGTACACAGGGTACATCTTTCTGTTCAATTTTTTATTTGCTATGCAACAAAAAATGCAATTACTCGGGATTCTGTGTTTGTTTATGCAATCACGACCCAATCTCCAGTGAGAAAGTCTTGCGAAATTTCGCTGCGAAATACTTCACGCGAAAAAATTACTTTGAACGCATTGGAAGCGTGACAAAGGGATATAGACTTTGATTGGCTGCTGAAGGATTTCGCAAGCGAAAAGCGAAAAAAGTTAAACTCATTTTAACTTTTTTCACAGAGAAATTCTCCGCGGGAACCCCAGCAATAGTTCACTGCGCATGCCCATAACTACCCTGGGTACCAGACTCACTATATATGAAATTTTATATAGTGTGTCTGGTACCCAGGGTAGCCCATAACGTATTTCGCGCGAACCTTTTCGCATTTCGCCGATTTTTTTCTCACTGGAGATTGGGCTTAAATAGAAGCAAGTCGAAATGCGTGTATTTTTAATTCAACAACACAGCAATTAAAGATAATTGCTGAAAAGAAACTTGAAGGAATACAACATATTTAGCGCCAATTATTTAACTCGTTTACAAGATTATGGATTTTGCAAAATTCCCCCTGGCATTTTCATTATTCTGTTGGTAGTGCTCAGTTCCTTACTGATTAATTTGCGCTTACGTGAAAAAACTCTATGTTCTCCCGGAGAGGAAATTCCTTGTATTCCAGTTGCTATGGCGGTGATGGCTTATTAAATATTTTTTAACATGATTTTTCTTAATGCAGAGCCGGTTCCTTGCAATAAGACATTCAACGCATCATCAGGATCCATTACATCACCCTACTATCCAGAATATTACCCACACAACGCAAATTGCCATTACAGAGTTATAGTTGGAAATCAATCAGCCGTCAGGCTTACATTTTCAATGTTCAATCTTCAAAGCAGCCCATCGTGCGAACGAGACTCCTTCAAAATGTATGAAGACAATACACTCAAAGCGACCCTCTGTGGCTATTCATCGAGAACATTATACTCGCAGGGGAATGAGGTTCTATACGTTTTCAAGTCAGATGGTTCGATTACGGCACCGGGATTTAATGCATACTTTAGAGAGGGTAATTATAATTGTGGCTTCTAAACATGTTGAGTCATGGTAAAATGGCATGGAGATCTTTAGCTTTAATCATTTTGTTTTCGTGCATTGACCATTCCCATCTTCTGAAGTCTGAAGTCTTGTTTTTGGCTGTCAAAAGCAATAGACAGCTACTGTCGTCTTTCCCTTAAAAAAAACCTATTTAATAGCCCTATAGATACTCGATTTACAAAAAAAATAGTGGCTAAAGCCAGCTGTCAATCAACGATTAATCAATTAATGAACACCTGAGTGGTTTAACGCCTATTGATTGGTTAATTGATGATTTATTGATGGCTGCAGGTCACTTTGGTACCGGCCGATTGCCTTTAATTTCATTAAGCTTTGGGTGTAGCTTCGAAATAGGCTACCAAAGAATGTGTTTTCAAGTGACCAACTTTGCATTTCCACACTTGAATGTAATAACCTCTTTCAAGAAATGATAGAAAAGGGAATTTCCTCGATGTATCAATCTAAAGATAATCGAATAAAACATGCTTGTTTGAATTCAAAAGATGAATTGCTAATGTTTAACTTTATTTAATCCTATGTCAATTAGTATGACATTTTCAGAAGAGTATGTCTAGTTGCCATCCTTTTCACATTCTTCCTTTTCTTTTCGCTAGAATGCCGTCGAATGAACCTGACAGGAGAAAGTGGGTCGTTTACATCACCTGGTTATCCAAGAAATTATGGGAATTCACTAAATTGTCGGTATATGATCACTGTTCCAGCGGGAAGACTTATACAAATTACCTTCCCTATATTTGACACAGAAAGTTGTTGCGATCATGTGACAATATACAATGTAGTTGGGAGGACCAACGTCTTTGCTATCAGATTAGCAGGATCAGGAGAAAAGACATTTAAATCCAAAACAAACAAGGTTCTCCTCCAATTCTACACAGATTCAAGTATCACCAGAAAAGGCTTTGTTGCTCACTATACATCAGCAAAAGGTACGAAATATCTTTGACTGAATAAAAAACAGCTTGACATCCCACTCACTTGAAATCCCTCTCACTTCAGACATTCCTCACACTGATATCTCGATTTCATCTTTCCCTTAGAGCATTTGTCTTAGCAACAGCGCTCATTATTTGTTATTTCTCGGTCATGTTTGTAGCCAACCAGAAACCCCATAACCTTCCCTTGTCAGCGGATGTCTGGTATGGGTGAATCCTTGTATTTCCTCTTTTTATATCCCCCCAATCCTTATAGAAAAGTTCCCTAAAATCTCTAAATTTAAAAAAACAAAGAATTTAATTAAACATGTTTTGATTGCGAAAAGCTGTTTCCACAATGTTTTCTTTCACAGCTTCATAAAATAATAAAGATGAGAAATAAACTATTATATATGGTGTTTATGTGACTTCCAGATAACCTTTTTAAGCCTTCTGCGCAACCCGTTTCGAATAAGCTGCCATCCAAAAACGTCCTAAATAAAGCCACCAGGGAGCTAAGTACAAGTTGCGTGTTGTTAGCAACAATTTCAACCAATGCTTTCGACCGCGTTTTACAAACTACTAACATTAACCTCTCAAAATTTTCCCATTACATTATAAAACTAACATTAACCCTTAATTTTGGAGTTTGAGGGAAAATGTCTGCATTGTGGAAAACAAGCTTAATTGGATGATTTATTATACTGAAATTTGGTCGAAAATTCATTTCTCTGCACCCCCTCCAACCCTATTAAAATTCGAACATTTAGACACAAGGATATCGAAGGAGAGCATCGATGACCACTATGCTCAGACAAAATTAATGAATATACTTAGACACGTGAATAAACGTTGAATTTCATGTTGATTTTTTTTCTTTTTAGCTGCAAACAGCTCAACGAGTTGTCTCAATACATCACAATGTAGCTACCTACTAACTGGCCCCGTAGGAAGTTTCTCCTCTCCTGGATACCCAAACAACTACAAGAATAACGAGTGCTGCCATTATAATATTACTGCTCCAGCTGACAAGAGGGTAAAAATTGATTTTCTGAATGTGTCTATGGAAGGCCAAATTGGGGGTAAATGTGATTATGATTCAATAAAGATCTACGAGGGTGAATCAGGAAGCGAAGTACTGAGGTCGAGTTTATGCGGTAAAATCAGCACAACAAACTTTCTTTCAAGAAGCAACAAAGTTTACGTATACTTCAGAACAGATGGAACTTTCACAGATAGAGGGTTCTTTGCAGTTTACAACACTACAATAGATGCACGTAAGTGTCTCAGGGACGTTGCAAAAGTTTGGGTTTCGCCGTCAGGGGTAAAACATAACTTCTGAGGTCCTTTCTAGAATTTTTATTGGTTTCTTAGGTGTAGGGCCACTTCTGGCTACCATAAGCGTAGGGCCTGGAGCCGTGGTCCCCCAGACCCCATTAAATCTACCACTGGGGGACATTTCATTTCATTTGATATGGGTACACAAAGCTCTAAATTTATGTCAATGTCTTGAAATGAGCTAGTATGAAAACACAGTGAAAATAATTTTGCATAGAAAGTATTCAGTAAATAGTACCCATTGATTTGGATCATTCTCTCTCGCAGCCCCATATTCTAAAGTAAACGAGCCAAATTGTGGCAAATCAGTAGTGGCACAGGCACATGTAATAGGTGGAGAAAATGCAAGCAAAGGTGCATGGCCTTGGCAGATTGGACTGTATCGATATGGCAGTTTTGCTTGCGGTGGCTCACTCATTGCTCCTGACTGGATACTCACTGCTGCACATTGTGTAAAATACTATAGCGCTTGGAGTCTGACGGTCATTGTCGGTGATCTGCACAGAACGATCAATGATACAGCAGAAAAACGACATCGTGTTTCTTTGGTGAAAATCCACCCTCTTTATTCAAGCTCAACGATGAACAACGACGTTGCTCTTCTTAAACTGCAAACACCCGCCGTTTTGAACGACCACGTCAATACTGTCTGTTTACCGAACAGAACCAGTGTTATTGCTGTTGGATCTTCTTGCTACATAACAGGTATGGCAACTAACTTTACTAAGGCTCCGTTTACACGAGCCAGGGCAAGATTCCACTACGGGTCAGCTCAGCTGGCTGCAGTAGAATAAATTTATGTTTACATGAGCCCAGGTTATTCGGTTCCTTTATATGGTTGACCTAACCCGGGTCAGCTCAAGTGTACAAACGACTCCAAATCTCGAATTGTTTACACGATCCCGAGTTTAGCTGACACGACTTCACCTAAAAAACTTCATTAAAAATCAACCCATCTAAACGGTTCTGCCCAACCCTAGTGAGGGTTACTAAGCAAGACTAGCTGACCCGGGTTGACTGTTGCTATCTTGTAAATTGGAAGAGGTTTGACCGTAGACGTACTGATCCTCTAAGGAAAGTAGCATCCAACCCGGGCTCATGTAAATGAGGCCTAAAACGAATTGTAGCCAGCTAGTCTTTTTCGTGGTTTTTATAACCAAGCTTAGAATGTTAAGCATTTCAGAAAAACCCATTTAAGGTTGCAAAACATTCCTTATAAACCAGAGATATGTTTAAAAGCTATACATGCAGAGGCGGCTCAAGAGTGAGCTCCTTGGTCCACAGAACTCAGTCAGTTTTCAAAGCAAAATAAAGCTCAAAATAGTGTCACCTGAAAGAAGCAACATCGAAGCTGAAAAGTTTTATTACAGTTTTATCAAAAGTTTTTAGTTTTATCAAAATCTAAAAATGCTAGTTTGATATATTTTATTCGCCCTTGTCAAGAAAAGAAAAGATCAATGTTTGTGTAGAATATCTATACACTACACATTGAATTTTAACGGTTTTCCCATCATTCAAGGCTTATTTTTATTTTTATTGGTCTCTAAGAGAATGAATATGTATAGGGCTTCACGAACCTGTTATCCTTTTGATTGACCTTATTTCAATGTTTACCAATTTAACAGGTTGGGGTAAAATTCAGCACCCCGGCAGTTCTCATCCAATGCTTCAACAGGCACGACTGTTTATCATGGATTCGCAAGTTTGTCAAAGAAAGCTGAGCGGGAGTTCGATCTACCTTCGCATAACCAATAAGATGGTATGTGGTGGTGAAAATGGAACAAACAAAAGTGGTTGCCATGGAGATAGTGGAGGTCCACTGGTGCACCAAGATACAAATAACAGGTTTATCCAGCATGGAGTTGTCAGCTGGGGAAGTCCAAGGTGTAATTCAAATGAATCAAGCAGTGTTTTTGCGCGTGTAACAGAATTTGTGGACTGGATCAAAAACACACTCAAATTTAACTGATTTGCCTTAAGCAGTGTTGCTTTATATGATCATGACCATTTCCTTTATGCAACCAATCGCTATAATGTTGCCAAATGATCTTAGTCATTTGACCATTAGGACGAAGTACAATAGTTAGATAATGATAGTAAAGCCAGGTTTAACATTTAAAAATCAATTTTTAGAAGACTAGTTTTGCAAATCCATTATTATTTGCTTGTTGATCAGTATGCATCAAATAAAGGCTTTTACATAGTTTCATGCCTGAGCACCCCTCAGCGGAGAGTTTAGATATTCAATTTTAGATTCTATGGCACTTGCTACACATATTTCTAATGCCGACGGTCTACTTTCTAAAATTATGGATACCTGTTCAGGCGGTGCCCATACGCACGCCCTGTACCATGCCCTCTTTACAGTGCATATCCAGGATTTTGTGTCTGGTTGTATCCATCCCCTGTGAAACTTTTTTAAAATTTCATTTGTATCCTCCTTGAAAATAGTTGTTAAAATTGAAGGCTGGTTTTCATCATGGTTATTTGATGGATAGCTTGAATTTTGAATCCATAATAACAAACAGAGAAGTAGTTTCTTGCAAAAGGTGGTTGAATAGATTAGTTTTCATGCTAGAAGGCATGAATGTAGACTTGACTCTTACCCAAACATCACAGCTCTTTCGGTTTACCCCAAGAGAAAAGGGCGGTGAGCCCTTACGAATGCGTACCAATTTCACCTACTGATAGATAATTACTGTTGAAAATCACCATCAGTGCTCTTATAGAGGCACTTACAAAATTGTGTACAGGTCAATTTGGATATAATCTACAATTGTGAGAGGATAGACTTAAAAATAACTATTTTTAGAGTATATAAGTTTAACTTTAGCTTTTAATATATGTAATGTATGTAATGCATTCTAATTTTGTGAATAGATGAGGGACTATATTCTGGTATGACCTTTAAGCGCTATACGTAGAAGAAATTTTTGCTTGTAATGGACGTGGTAGCAAGAATATGGTAGAAATACAATGTACATGTTTTTTTTTACGAATGAATGTTTTCAATGGTTTATCAATCACGATTTTTGAAAATCGGCAAATGAAAATGGCAAAGGTATTTTCAATCTTCAAGAAAGTAGAGATAACTATAGGCCAATCATTGTATTGCCATCAACATCAAAGATTTTCGTAAGAATTGTGTTCAACCAGATACATCATCATTTTGGGCCTATTTTTCCTTGTCTTGTGGATTTAAAAAAGGCTTTGGCAAACAACATGCCTTGCTACGCTTGCCGACTTATTGCAGGTGTTTTCCTAATAGATCTCTCCATAGACCGCAGAGTGTTTGTTTATCTACCTCAAACTTTTTTTTTGGCTGAATTGAAATCATATGGTTTTAATTATAATGCAATTTAAGTTATGTATAGCTTATTGAAAACAGAATGCAAAGAATGAAAATAATTTCTATTTATAGCGATTGGATTAAATAAATCAAGGTATTCAACAAGTATCGTTTTTAGGTCCATCCCATTTTAATGGCTGTATGATAACAATATAGATGAACTAGCGCAATATTTTGACTCAAGGTTCTAATCAAATGGTTAAGTGACAATTTAACGGTACTGTATGGAGACAAATTCAAACTTTAAGTTAACTGTTCCAAATCACAAAAAGCTGCACTAAAACTAAATGAAACTATTAATAAAGAAAGTAAAGTCCAATGTTAATTGGTGTAACTCTGGATCGGCCCACATTAAGATAGGACCACATGACTACGTGAGTATAGGCTTTCACCGATCAGAGCACTGTACATTGGTTCTGGGTCTAAAGTGTGTGTAATTCAATTTAAATTTCATTGAATCTATTTCAATAATAACACTTGCAAGAAATTCTTGAAGATAACCCTTATAAAATCTTTTCAACTAACAGTGATGTTTTGTAGGACATTGAAAATTTCCCATTAGACACGATAGTGTGTAACACTCTGTTCAGGCCCTTTAGCTTTAGGTGTTTTGATCATGGGTGTTTTTGATCAGTTAACAATTAGTATCAGAATTAATAGAATTAGTAGAATGGCAAGAAAACAAAAATTAAAATGTCAAAAAACAGCGAAAGGACGATAAAGCGAACAAAAATAAAGGAAAAAGGAAATGTGTTAGTGTGCTCATGATCTTTTATTTACATAAGTATCTTACACAATTTTTAGTTTTGTTGTTTCTGCGTCATTGCGGATTGCAGGATGATAACATATTTGTCACACTCGTGGTACGTCTGGATTTTTCTAGCACTGGCTCCTTCATCCCGTCTGCCTATTACTTCTGGAGAATAAAGTGTGGAGACTCTCGCTTCAAGAGTTCTCTTCATTTGACTACAACCCATTCATTTTCCATTGTGGTATATCTGAATTTGTCAGGGATCGAATCTGTTCGACCAAACACATTCGGTCCAAACACATTCGCCGACTCCCAGGGATGGAATTGATTTAATTATGTATTGATTAACAAGGGAAAGAGCTGTTGATTTACTTCAGTATAATTTTTTCTAGACAGGGGTGATGAAAAGGATGCCCCGTCAATTAACAAAGTGACCAACGGCGATGTAGAATGCAAATTGAATGGAGGTACGATTACTTGCAATTGCACGCAAACAGACTTTCAGTGGAATGGCACACACTGCACAGGTACCAACCAACATTTAGGGTTCTCTTCCATGTCCTTCCCTTTTTTAATCGACCCTCGAAAATTTCTAGGCTCTTTTTCAGTTTTTTAGACCCATGTGAAACTTTTCTTTTTTCTGCAAAATTTTTGGTTGAGGCTTTTCGCATATGTAAACGTCTTTTTTTCCAAAATGGTGCACACTCCTGTTACTATCTGATATGGATCTCTATCTCCTGTGCTGTATCAACTGCATGTACACCTGTGCTGTATCAACTGCATGTACAATGAATCTAAATGAACAACATGTACGTATTTAATTCTGCAGAGGGAAATCTTGACGGCGTTTGGTGTGACTGGCACGAGGCAGCAAAATGCAGTGCATCCTGTGGCTATGGTTACCAAAAACTGATACGCTACTGTGCCTGCCCAGCTCCAAAATTTGTTACCACTGTTGCTTTGACTGCATAACCAACTCATCATGTCGTCTTCCTGTTAAGCAATACTAATAAAGAGAATCATGACGTAAACTGTGCTAGAACTCTGGACCATACTATAATCAGCCCAGAGTGACACCTCAAGGGTCAGGCCGAAATAACCTGTCAGTAAACGTTGAATCAAAATATAATCATTGTAAACCTGTGGCTATGGTTTCTAGCAACTGGTACGCTACTGTGCCTGCCCAGCTCCGAAATTTGGAGGTGCACCGTGTGTGGGTAGTGATCGAGTATACCGCCCATGTCACAGAAGAAGCTGCCCAAAGAAACCTGGAGGTTTGGCTTTTCACTTTGCATTATTTACAATCAGTGTCAGTTATCTTGGAAGACGATTTCACCTAATCTCAAATGTGATTAACTATTGGCTACTCTCTGCGAAATGTATTGTTTCTACAACTATTTTTATCTGCTCTGTAGAAATAAAGGAAGATCATACGGTGATATTCTGTATTGTCCACTTCTTAAAACAGACTTTTTGTAAACAATTTGACATGTGTTATCTTTATATAAGCATAAAATTTGTTTTTTAATGTTGAAGATAAAAATCAAGAACAATATTTTTTATCAGCAGGCTGCAGAGTAACTTTTGTTGATGATTATAGGACTGTGGCTTCTCCTGGGTATCCAAACAACAACCAAAGAAACATCGAATAGACAATCATTGCACGTCGCAACAAGAAAATGATTTTGAAACTCAATGCTCTAGACATTGAAAGCTCAAAGAATTGTACAAAAGAAAGACTTCGGATTCATATGAGAGGATAATCAAAATAAAGGGAACAGTTATACATCAGTTCAGAGCATGCTCGCTGTAACCTTCAAAAATGTGTTTGCAATAAGGCCAAGCGGATTTATTGCAAGCTATTACATTATCAAGAAAAGTTAGTTAACAAACAAAATACTGTTTGAAGTCCATTTGATTACAAATGTAGGCAAAACTGAATTCTTTAACGCTAGGTTTCACCTAGCATTTTTAAATGATAGCCAAAATGATTAAATAAAAAAATAATTTTAACATTATTGTAATTTTCTCTAGATTCTTAATGTATATATATAAAAGTCAAAATCTTGAAACATATCGGTATCCAATGTTTATTGTCTGCTTCACGATCTTATATGTTCTCAATCCAAGTTTTTCCTCACAACCTCTTTTCCTTTCCAAAACATTAATTACATACGGAATAGGAATACATCTCTTTTTGTCACAACCTTTGCAGACAGCAGTTAAAAGAACCTGAGGAAATCGATCTGGATTGTTCTTGCTTTCTGTAAAGTTGAAGCTGCAGGGACCAGTAGCATCTTTGTCTGCACCCGATAGTGGCAGAGTATTCCTCGGTAGAATAAATCTTTCCAAATCTGGATACTTGACTAAGATGTAGTTTGAAGCGAAGTGCTGAATAGATGAGACTGACCCAAGTTGAAGACCGCAGTCTAAGGGGGCCGCATACAGCTGGCAGATAAGCGCAACCAAAACCTGTGATTTGCAAGAAATTGAAGATAGGTTTAGAGGTAGAAACTTGCAGTATTACAGTTAAGCCGAATAACAGTTAATGGAATTAACAAGATATTAACAAGATAACGACCATATTCTGTGCGCATAAATCGATACGACTGGTAAATATAAAGGACTGGATGGATGCTAAGGACATTTTAATTAAACAACTGTTGAATGCAAAAGAATATTAAAGAATAAATGAATGCAAAGGTTCAATTTAAAAGGTTCAAGGTCCTGGTTTTAAGTTTAATCATTATACGACTACTAATAACATGTCTATTGCCGATACTCACCATTATGTATATATTTGCTTTATTCATCTCTTGAATGCTGAATTTCGTTCTCATTTTCTGGTAAAAAGGCTCTTTTTTCTTGGCTGTTCGTCTTTCGCAAGACAGAGTTTGAGTGTTAAAGCCATGCTCGCAATTTTTATACCGATCTACTGAGAAAAACTCTGAAGGTGCTTCTACAAGCGTTACCACGCACCTTATTTTCTGTTGCATCATACAGGCTATTGTGAACATTATTATTACCTAATACTGTAAGAAAGCTGCTCTATAGATTCGATGCTTTTTTCTATAAGTTCTGTTTATAATAAAATGGTTTCAGATTAGAGTACTTTCGAACGAAGTCATTTCAACAGGCAAAGCTTCAGAACTCGTGACCTAATCCCGCGACGGTCAAAACACTCCTTGTCAAAATATTGAAAAAACCAAAAAATGAGTAGGTTTTTTGCGAAAAGAAAACACGAGCAACAAAGAAAACATAACCGTAAGAAATCTTATCCAGAAACTTTGAAATGTTGATAGCACACTACACAAATAATTGAATATAACCAAATACTTAGGGTCCATATTCTGGTGCTCCCCAGAGTTTGCCAGACCAATTTCTACAATCATTAAATATTTTAAATAAAAAACATTCATTCCAATAAAAGATCTAGTGTTATTCCTAATCCTTCAAAAAAATTTTAATCAACGGCCAAAACAGTTGGCTTATTCGAACACAAAGTCAAGCGACCTTTAGCTGTTGTATTCATACAAAAATTTTTGGTCCTAAGCATAATAATGAAGATCAGGTGAAAAAAACTAATTAAGATCTCAAAATGGCGTCCAATGCACAAGAAAACAAGAGTGAATGGTGATTACATCATTTCATGTCAGTGTGACTAAAGAAATTTGGAGAATTTGAAAAACAGGATTGAATTATCTGAAAAAATTTTCAAAATACTGGTTGTTTATTAAAGAAAAATTACCAATACAGTACATAATCGATTATCCGGACTTCTCTGGGCACGGGATTTCAAGATGCGTTCGGATAATCCGAAAATTCCGGATAATTGAATTTATACGAAAAACGGAAGAAACAAGGATAATTCTACAAGATGAGTGTTGCAAAAGTTAGTTTCTTAAGCAAAAATCACAAATTATACACTTTTTTAAAAATACCAGTAAGGTTCTTCATTTTTCAAAAATTTGAGGCTGGACTTTTCCTTTATTTGTTTCTTAAATTTTTAGCGTTTAACCACTGCAATCGCTAGCTTTCGCGTTCTAGGGAGGTTTTCAGGCACCTTGTGAAAACAAAGTGAGTGAGACATCCTTTATTAGGGGAAAGATTTGAAATTTTACTAAAAAAGAACCCCTAGATGGCAAAATCTAGTTTTTGAGATGAAACATTATTCAAAATCACATTTTACACAGTAGCACAGCCTCAGTTTGTTCTTAATTTGCTCTTACTTTTGACCCATTTTAAGGCATTTTCTCATAAAATTGTTTTTTAAAGAAAGAGTTTAATCTTTGATTGAATTATCAATGCCTTGAACTTCCAGGCGGCCATTTCCCGCAAAGAAAAGCAAGAAATGCGCTCCCGCCATATTATCGATAATGCCGACAATTTTCCATACGATTTCTTCACATTTTTATGGACCGGATACTCGTAGTCCGGTAAAATGGTGGGTAGGATGATTAAAGTCCTGTAAATGATTCCTCGTTGACATCAGCACATTTACATTTCCAGGAAAATTCGGTAATTCTGTAAAGCAACATTCTAATAGAAAAACGACAGAAATAACGTTGACATCAGCACATTTACATTTCCAGGAAAATTCGGTAATTCTGTAAAGCAACATTCTTATAGAAAAACGACAGAAATATGGAGTACTTTTAAATAATTAGGTTCTTTCTCAGCTTCTAAGAAAAAGACATTACTAAGTTTCATACAAACTTCAGTAGTTAATGACATTTCATTTACTCTAACAAGAACAGAGTTTCCGCACTTTTGTCAACTCAACCACTTTGTTGATAAATTTCTTTCTTTCTCTTTCAAATTACAATAAAAACATGTTAAAGAACTTTCACTTTTCATACAAACACCAACGCGTAGCCAGCGCATTCAAAAGTAAACTGAAGGTCATGTTCATAGATGATTTTTGTTTGTGTCATAGGCAGACAGGCTGAGGGTCGGAAAGGTCCCTATGGAAAAAACTGATACACCAGTTACAACTTGGCTACACAGAAGCAAGACATTGGCTCTGGACGAAAGCTGCTAGCTGGTTGACATGGTTATTTGGGTTGGCTTGTATAAATCGGCGTTATATCATTAGAAGTGAACAGTTTCTCAATTAATCGCAAGACGTGTTCTTTGAACCATCCAAATTACGATGATGGAATCTAAAGTTAAGTATGTGCATGTCAAGTGTGTTGAAAGAGAAACTAACAGCTTTTTATAACAAGTGAATAAAGCAACAACAGTACGCAGTACCCAAAGGCAAGTAAAGGATGAGAGCCACAATGAAGATGAGGGCAAATAATGAACGTAATGACGGCAGACATGATGAAAAAAGGGATCATAGCAAAAATGACGACGATGCAAAAAAAGCAAAGACAGAAGATTACAGAGACAACCCAGATGAACAGTTGCCAAAAAGACAGTGAATTATAACAGGAGAGGGTGCAATGACCGGGACACTGGATGACAACAGGGACAGTCGCTGACAACAGGACAGTGCGATAACAGGGACAGTGGGCGATTATAGGAACAGTAGATAAAAACTGGAGTAGTAGACGGTTACAAGGACATTAGACGATAATAGGGACATCAGAAGATAACAAGGACAATAGACGATAACAGAGACAGTTGGTGATAACAGGGACAGTGGACAATCATTACAGGTACCGTGGATGATAACAAGGACACTGACGATAACATGAATCTGTGCTATCTCTCATTTTGCTGAATCTGTGCTAAATGAAACTCTCATATATGTGTATTTCCGTGGTCTTTATTGTACCACATCGTTAGATTTTCTTGCTCTTTCAGTATTATGAAATATGGGTTCTGCTAGGACATAGGAAGAACAAAGCATTGCTGCTAATGACTGTGTTAATATAGGGAATGTGTTATTGGCTATCACGAAGCATTATCCAGTTTGTTTTAGAAAGAAACACAATGCACCTATAAACAACGTAGGGCTGGTTTTTGCATTAAATAAGTAAAACATGCAGATTGAAGTTAGAGAACATAGGCAGTTCTATTAAGGTATCATAGTAATTGTATGCAAGAGTGTTATTGCCATCATAAGAATAAGAAATTTCGTGTTTATCATGATTTGTATATCTACAATTGCGTGTTACTTGCTAGAAAAATAATTTATTACTACATGTCATACATCATTTTGTAAGCAGATAAAGCGATGTTGCGATATTTTCTATCATATCTCCTGTAACCATGGATCTACCGGTATCCCCTGGCCTTTCAACTTGAAATTTATCATACGTGAACTTGTTCAGATATTTAACCAGGGAGCAAGCAGCAAACGCTCCGGACACTGCTGCAGGTGCAGGTATGCTGCAAGATAAAACAGAGAAACTCTTTAAAAACTATAATATGCTTACATTAACATTATAGCTGCTTTAAAACAGAAAAGGTGACTTGGAGTCTTCTTTACTGACCGAACCGTGCATTGGCTATTAAACTCAAGCGTACGTTCTGTATACTTACTAAAACCATACCATAAAGAATTTCAATATCCTTGGCTGGCTCAGGATTGTCATAGACTTGCTTATACTATAATGCTTGATATATACCTTTTTCTTGTAGAGGCCCAATGAATGAACGTGCCTACTGCCCCAGCCAGTATATCTCCTTGTCCACCACATCTTCTAGGGCTTCCTTTTTCAGTCACTTTGACAACTGGAAAACCAATACTCGCAACAATAAATAAAAGCAATTGGATACGAACGCAGAAATGTTTCTGAGTAACGTTTACATTTAATGTGTTCCTATATTGTAAAATATTGTAAAAGATAGTGTGTTCCTATGATACTATTATAAGGCTATTTTGTTGTACCAAATAAACACAGTAGAAAGCGTGCAAAAAATAATTATAGTAGGAATTCCATCCTGAAAAAAAAGGTTGAACTAATTTCTAAATGTCGATATCAAAATATTGCCTTACATATAGAAATGTATAAAGAGTTCAAACAGTAATGGTCAATATTATTTATCTGGTCTTCATCTTCGTAGCATTTGTAGTACTCTTAATCACATAACAGTGTCTTTCTAACTGTGTCATGTCAACCCTGTGGCTTATTAATTTTCCACACGAAAAATCGCCAAAGAATATTTTCCACTAAAACAGGAATTTTCTCGAAAAGCAATTGAAAACCAACAAAAAATCAAAGAAATTTTCAAAAATCTTAAAAATCTTAAGTATCTTGGGTTTTTATATTACCATATTCTCCATCTGTGATTATATCAATTTCTCCTTTACCAACAAGAGTTACACCACCTAGACTCCGGCTAAGGGAAACGAGCTCTTCAGTCTTGCGATTCGCATCAACCTTTTTATTGAACTGTAAAGAGAAAGATGGTATTAACTTGATAAAATGTCTAGAAGAAATTATTCAATACAAATAGATGTCTCGTTGAATTTCTCTAGCATGAAATCATACTCTGAAAGAGGAAAAAAATGGATGACAACAAGCAGACAACTAGAATTACGAAAATGGTGACAAATACCTCGACTTGCAAAAGGTTTCGTTCAAAAATCAGGGAATGCTTACGATGTTTCAACTTAACATATTGGCTGTACTTTTTTAATTTGCGCAAAGCCTGAAACATTCGATAAAACTTGCAACACGGATATAAAGAGGCACGACATAAATTCTATTCATTTTAAGATCTAAACCTTATTTACACCTAAAAGAAATGTTTAAGAATCACATTAAAGAACAAAATGCAACATACCACAGCTTGAAAAAGCCTCTCGAATTCAATCAGATTAGGAGTGAGAATAGCTTCTTTATAGTTGGCCACTAAATCAGGCTCTTGTGTTATCAAAAACAGACCATCCTAAAATGAGTTCAGACGGTAGCAATAAGAGATGGTTTTATAACCCAGAATTTTAGCGAAAATGCTTTAAACTAAAAGGCAATTGAAAGCGTGCAAGCAAAATACGACCTCTTCCTGCAAAATTGCAAATCACAGTTGAGAAAGCATCCTTAACTGATTTGCAACAGGTTTCAATCAAAATCACTTCATTTAATTCCTGGTAAAGAAACGATTTGACTGAAAATTTTGCATTCCAAGATTTTGGGAGGTGTAAAATGCGATGATTAAGATATTTCAAGGGAGTGGCCTGGTCACGTTTTAATGTTTTAGCACTTTTATTCCCTTTGAATTTTCTTTAAGATACCATCAAGTTTGAAAAACTTCAAAGTAGAAATTTTCCAGATTATTCATTTTTTGTGCATCCGGTAATGTGATTTTCAAGAATTTGCAAAAATATTTGCTTAGGTCGGTTACTAGATTGTTATGCTTCACAGTCATTTTGGGTTAGAAGGAAATAAACTCTTAAGGTTAGTAGGAATTAATGTGGGTGACAAAATGAGTTATGAACACATTTGAAGTTATACAAGATAAAATCAAATTTGAAAAAACTAGATCACAAACCCCATCTATAACAACAGGCTTCTTCTGTTCCTTAATAGAGTTGAGAATTCCCTAAAGAAAGAATGCAATTTGCAAATCACATTAATTTCATTTCATTGCATTTTATTCTATAATATTTCAACCAAAAAATTTCCCAAAAAAAATTACTAAAAGTATTATCTAATCAACTTGAGCAAAGTTGAGCAATGGTGGAAGATGACTAAAATTGTGCCAAACACCATTAAGCAATATCAAACATTTTTGACGAAGATCAAACTTTGCTCACCAATACTCAACATGACTCAACAGGCACGTCAGAGCTGGAAAGGCTGGAGGAGAAGGGGGATATAGCCTCCTCACTTTTGCTGAACTTTGATATTCAGGTAATAGCATAAAAGATAATGGGGAAAAATTACCATCAAAGTTTGCCAATTTGTCTAGAGCACCCCCACCTCCCCCCACTCAAAAATTTGCTCCAGTGTCACTGTTTATTGATGCTAAGCAAGGTGTTAAAAACTGAACTCTTAACCTAACAATTCACTACACAAAAAATAAGTAAAAAGCTTAATGAAGGTTTATTGAGATGTTTAGTCATCTTGAAAAGGGTAAAAACATTAAAAAAGCATACCTTGACATTTTGAAAAATTTGCTCATCTCTCCCTAGCCCAGGGCCAATAACAACAGCATGTAATCTTGGTAGCCAATACTTTACCTGATCCACAGCATCAGATGCGTCCCTTTTAAAAGAATGTGGAGTCAAACATTGTTAGAATAAGCCACTAGACTACTGCAGGATTAAATGTAAACATCTAAGAAAATGATTGCCAGGTCATTGAAGAGTTGCCACATGCCATTCCTAGAAACAACGGCTTGTTTGCTAATTTTTTTCAGAGAATCTATTCAACTTTGCTTCTATCACAGCTTACTTGTGTTGAGAGACTTCAAGATGAACATCATAGTCTCTTAAAAGGAAATTCTCAACATCCTGAATTTTGTTTTCCATTGTAAAATGGCTTGAACAACCTTAGGAAAATGTAAGAGCTATGATGTTAAGGATGTTTAATTGAAGCAAAAAAGTTAGCACCTTTGACCTCCACAAAATATCTACATTGCCAGGTTATACTACGCTGAAATGGAAAGAGGTGTCTTCTCTCACCATTGATGGTTCAATCAAGTGAAGCAGACAAGATCCGGTTCATAGGATTCTTAAAGCTTGGGATCTGTCTGTGAAAAATGCATCCTGGAGAAAAGTATTGTGGAAAGAGTCATGCACATTAAGGAGCGTCCAGATGACATGAAAATACTGACGATTATATGATGATGGCGCTGAGGATGATGAAAATGCACTGAAGGGAACAATAGTGGCTGATGCTTCTTCATTGATACTGTTAAAGGTTTCATTTCCAGTTGCATCACACATGGCTTTGACAACCTTAGTAGCTGTGGCAGAGCCAAATAACTCCATCATTGACCCCAGCTGTATTTGCCTTAGAACAGTACAGTCCTTCAATGAGGGTGACTTCCTATGGTGGTCTAAACAATTTTCTTACAGCTAATGATAAACTAAATCATAAGCCTTGAGTCATAATCACCAAAAAACAGAGTGATTCGTTTCTAGACAATTTTGTACTCACAATATAGGATGAACAATCAAGTCTGGACTATATGTTTTGATAGGTGTTCCAGCTGCCTCAGTACAAAAGACATGAGAAAGATCCACTCCCTAAAAAGATAAAATTTCAAGTTGGATGAGAAACAATTCAATATCTAATGGGTTTTTATGGTTGTAATGGAGACAGATAGTCTTAATCTAAACAAAAGAAAATAAAAATTTGCAGTGAATAATTTGGGATTGCACAATGCTATGAAATGCCAAGAGAATAAGAACTGCAGATGTCCAAATAATAAAGAGGAGGAGGTTTGAGAAAGGAATAAACTACCAAGAGCTAAAGATTGTCAGGGCAAAAAGGGATGAAAATGAAAATAAGCAATATCAGAAATAATGTGATTTCTTTTGCTTCAATGGTACCTCTACTTACAAGTCTCATGGCAGTAAATGCGGCAAAATATGGTGCACCAGTGTACCTAAAATAAAATCAATAAAGATATAGTTATTTATATCCCTGTAAAAGTTTATAGACATTTAATATCTTTATTATGTACAAAATTACAACAAAACAGCACTAAACAATACCACAGGGAGCAAAAGACTATGTGTATGCTGTGGTTTATGTATGATGAGGTCAACTTCAAGGGTCAAGAATGATGAAAAAGGGTTCGCTTACCTGTGCTTTTCGTTTCCAGTTGGACAAATTTCTAATTCCACATAGTTTCACTCAATGGTATAAAGTAAAAGCCTTGGATTCAACACATTATCTTATTTTGTTTTCTCTTTGCTTGTACTAAATATTTTTATTTTTGTGCCTCTCTAGTTTTATCTTATTGCTGGTAGCCATTCCTTGTCAACTAAAAAGGGAACTAGCCTTTGTTTACAATGTTTTTACTGGTGTCAGTGTAACTTGTGTGTAAGAGAATGCAAGTTCTGGATACTAGTCCATAATGATCACTTGCAACCGTGTGCCATAACTTATTTTCTATTATGTTAATGTGCAATCCCAAAATTTTCAGGGCTCAATTTATAAGCTGATTGGCTTCACAGAATTACACTTACTCTTTGCATCCTCCGATTACAGCGATTCTACCAGCCTGCCCTTTGTGCATTCCAAATGTCATTTCAGGTATGATATCTTTAATGTGCTGCCGGGCTGTCAGTTGAATCATTTTTACGTCTGTAGCCATCTTTGATACCAAGCTTCTAGCTGGTTGCTGAAACGACCTAAACAATTGAAACCTGACATACATTTACAGTAAAAGTAAACCCTGCTTTCTCCCCTGCCGTTTTGTACCTCTGTTTTCCCTGTCCTGTGCTCCCTTTGAGGAGTACTGCGAAAATCATCCTGTAATACTGGAGGCGCATTTCTGCACGGAGTTACAAGAAGGCACTGATCTATTCAAGAAGATCGCTGAAAGGGGGCAGGGGGCCAGTGAGAACCACATTTTTAGGTCCATACTTTGATGTTGAAAGTTTAAAGAAAAACCATGAATCAGAGTTGGAATCTTGTTTGTCATCATATCTTGCGCACATATCAGCTCATTTGATATTCAATAAAACAGGCTTCCCCTTTACCCTTTGTGCCTTTACAAAACAAGAATCGTCCCAACTTGTCTAATCTCGAATGGCACTTGAAAGTTGCTGATCAATGTAACATTTTCTTGGAAATTTCTTAGAATATTGCTCAAACTATTTTTTTTCAATTGCTCTTGAAGCAGAGGTCTGAACTACAATATTACGCCTGAATAAAATACTATTCAGGTTCCTGAAATCATACGAAACGAACATCTTCATTGTCTCCAACAAAAATCACCATCACAAGATTAAATCCCCTCTTCCCTTTTCAGATCAAATTTGAAAAAAACTAAATTCTACTGGATTTTCTAGCAAAAAAATGCCCAACGATATTTTTAACATACTTCCCCTTCTCGTTGCCTGTGGTAAAGTTGCCTTAGGAAAAACTTTGTATGGAACATCAATCAGCTCTATTTTGAGTCTCTTCTCCGAATGGTGACAGGATGTATGATGTACCTAGATGAACGTAACTACATGAATATGAAGAGATAAATTGGTCTCAAAGATTGTAGTATCCTCTTTATAAGCTTATAATGATGCCACGCTTTAGTATCTCAATGCATTATCACGAGACATAGAATTCTGGGGCTATAACCCCCTCCCCCAAACCAGGTGCCGTTCGAGCAGTTTAATCCCAATAAAGCAAAAATATTCGAACAAGATCCCAACTAAGCCATCTTAAACGGTTAGCATCCACTACGCCCATGGACCTGGTCTTCTGTTAGAAGAGGTATTCAACAAAGACCCCAGAACTTTCCAAGAGCACAAGTTTTGTCTAACAAATTTTGGGATTATTACCACGAAAACATAGGTTTTGGGAGTTTCAAAGCTCATGAAAGAAGCTATCAGCATTTTAATAATAGAATCATAAGAACTGTATAGTTTAAAACTCATTAGCCTGCTGAGAAATAGGCTTTTATTTGCAAAGCCCCTTTTTTAGAGACAATTTTGCGTAGAAACAGCTAACTGGATTATAGAGAAAAATGGATTGGAAAATAAAGTACCTTGTCCTATATTTGAAATTAACGTATCAGAATATTTTGAAATTTGAAATTAAGGTATCAATGGTATACTGCTTCCTTTAATTGGCACAGTATTGTGGTGCTGACAAGGTATCAGACTCTATCTACAGCGTTCGAAAAATCTCAAAACGCTCTCCTTCACCAATAATTATCAAGATTGATAATTGGAAAGTTTTCCAGTGGTTGGATGGGTAATTTTTATCTAATTCCTGAATATACTTTAAACCCAAATTGACATAGACGTGATTTATTTTTGCACATTTGTCATTAATCGTCAATATTTAAATAAATTCGAATTTTTTCTAAAAGGAAGGAGAGAAGAAGAGAGAAGGTAAGAAAGATCCGATTGGAGTTCTTCGAGCCTCCTCGTGGGAGCTCGTTTTTAATTTTTTTCTCGTCTTTGTCATTACGTTGTGGCTACTAGCCCAGGCAATATAACAATTAAGACAATCAGGCAATACCCAACATGCTAGTTGTGGTCTTTTGCTCCAAAGCCAGTTGTTGACTTTTTCTTGAATTTGCGATTATAAATCATTGCCGCATATTTTTTGTTCATCTCCGCGCACTTGGACTAGCCAGAATGAATATATCTCATATCACATTTCTCTAGTCAGAACGCAATGAGCTGTGCTCGAGATCCGAAAAGGAGGCGTTGAAGAAAAGCATGGCGTCAGCATATTCAGTACTCTTTTTTTAAAGATAATAGAAGATTGCCTGGACAATTTTTAATGTTTACGCCCTCTCCCCCTTGTCACCCACAGCCCTGCGATTACGTACTAATTTTAGCTCGACATTTCGGCCGAATATACATATGTCCTCTTGATGATTGGTAAAACACTTCCTTGCCTCAATCAATGACATAACCAGACAAGTGGTCTCAATTGAAAGTTACTTAAATTTTCATTATGAGTGTGGAAAGAATTGAATAACTTTTGCTTGCTAATCAATTTTGGCACGGTTCGTTTCCATTTCGAATACTATTTTGTCTTGAATTAATTTTCAGTGGGTGGTCTTTGATTAGAAAGGGAAGTATTTTTTCAATTGATTTTCTAACCTACTAAAAGATGCATATTTGTATGAGGGGATTTGGTAGCTCTAGGCACTCCCTTTATCCTATTTCTAATCCATTATTTGACGTTAAAAATCGCAAAGCTGGATTTTGTCGTGCGATGAATTAGTAGTTGAATCGTTTGCGATAAGGTTACCACAGAAACACGGATTGTCTCAACGAACTGTCTTCTGATGACATGGTTAAAATATCGCTCTGTAAATGTTTTCATAAGACAAATCAGAGGTTTCGATAGGTCGCGGTAAATATTTGACCAATACCATGATCAAGAGCCGAACGTCTACAGTGTACCAGCAATAATGGCGATGTACAACAATTACTTCAAAATTTCATCGAAATATGTCCTCCCAGATCAGCTTGAAGCTCTTCGAATCGACTCAACAAACAAATTAGACGATATAGATGTCAGCTTTGAGCACGGTAAGCTCTTTATCTCAATGAATTATGAGATTTCAGTTAGCAAAGTATTTGTTAGCTTAATAAATCAAATCTTTGTAAACTCAGATACGGTCATCCCGAATACCTTCAGGAACCTACGTGTAGTCACGATTAAGTTCCCTACCCCATGTGTACACGGTAGAAAAAGGCATCGAGTGTTGCCCCTGTATATTTGCCGTCTGTTCCGCATCCAGGCTCGGATAAGCGGATCCGGTACAAAAATTCGCCGATTCTTGCGAAATTGTCGGTTGAGGTGTTTCGTGTTTATAGTTTTCTAAGGACTCAGGAACGAAAAGGCTTCAAATACTACCTTTCCAGGCTACGGCCAGTTTTACGTTTGTTGGTATTTTTTTCCTACAATCGGGGTGGATAGAGTAAAGGCAACTTTGCCATGTACAAAAGATCCAATGTGCACACTAGGAAATCGACTGCAATATGTATCATAGAACTGGAATATCTACAAATTGATAGGAACAATGCAGTTTTGGCTGTTGCGAAATGCTACGCACATTTTAGTTGTCTAAAGCTGTTTTTTTCGAAAGGTGACTTGCTTCTTTGACATCAGACGTATTATCGCATTACCAATTTGCTAAGTAAGCATTATTATTTGTTTTCTTCTGGAAAAGATAATGCATATTTTACTGCAAAAATAGTCATTTACCTTTCTATTATTGCAAAAAGGAATGGTTTTGTAAACAACAATTGTTATGTTTGAAGTAAGGTTTGTCTAGCAAATCTTCTTGGCAAAAACATCATTCAGAAGCAAGAGGCCTAACATCGCCTTTACGACGGGGAATTTTCTGCCGGGGCAATCCTTTGTTTATGTAAAGAGGAGGACAATAGCTTATTGTTTTAATAAAAGAAACGTCACTGGTGCTGGAGGGGCAATTGCCCCCTAGATAGCATGTTAAAAAAGGCCCGGAGGCCTAGGCATAGTTTTTCATCAAAATTCAGCAAATGAAATTACTGCCATTGGCCATTGGCGTTGTGGCCAGCCCAAGGGCAGGGTGCCTGCTATGAAGCTCGTCATATTCATATCTGAGGAAAAATTTGAAAGAAGCAGCAAGGAAACTCCCCGGTTCTTGAAGTATATGTCAGAAGACTTACTTCGTAAATTCATCCATTCCCTTCCTCGTAAATTCATCTTATTGTATGCTGTAATCATATGATTTTGAAACTGCATTTACGAAACCAAAAGTTGGTCATAGACACTCTCTGTTGGTAAAATTTGCGTTTTTTGTTAAAGGGTTTTGCCGACTGTAAAAGGGGCTTGGCTAAATTTTGTCCCCAAGCACCACCACGCCCCCCCTCCCCCAAAGCCTCGTGGCTGGCGCGATTCTGGCTAAAATGGTTGGAAATGGTTGAGATACTGCCTTCGTTGGTATTTGAGATATTCCGAGGAACCTTGCGAAGCCTTCGTGCACATATCAACGGATTGGCTGGTGTTCTATTCAACCACATATTGACTAAACAAGGCTCTTGTTTTGGGCCAATAAGTAATTATTTGCGCTTTAGTAGATCTCATACCAGACATGGCAGAAGGAGATTTTTCAATAAAGAGGCTTGGTTGTTCATCCAACTTGGCCATTGCCAATTCTTCCAATGAACAGCCTGATGTAGTTATTCGTCAAATTTGGTTCAGTTTCTGTGATATACTGCAGGTTAGGCGTAGCCCTAAAAAGCACCTCTCTAAAAAAGCACTTTATCTTTCTTTCCCTTCCCCCCTTCATCCCCATATGCTGATATGTAGCGTCTTCTTTCATATTTCCATACAACGCTAACAACCACAAGCGAGATAAATATAGAAGTGCCTCATCAGTCTTACCGATAACTAATGAAATTTGATCAAATGATTCGCGATTTCGAAGGAAAGACATTAGGAATCCAACTTGTTATAAAACTGATATTACAAAGCCCTTAACATGAATATGCACATCTTTTTACTTGCAGACTAATAATATTTCCAGAGATTCTTTAGTTTTTTTGAAGGGTGGGACTTGGATTCCTAACCACAAAGCTTGACAACACAAAATCTGTTTCGAAATGTGAATCTTTTGCGATTAGTGCATATTTGCATTTGAATTTTTTGGCGAGGTTAGGAGAAAAACGAACTTATTGTAAACCAAGAAGCACATTCAAGTCCATCTTGGATACATTAAGGTCGGACATGCCTGTTCAAGTTGCATTGAAATCAAATAATGCTAAGTCTTTTAATCCAATTTATCAGACTAATACTGCTTATAAATCAACAAAGAGGTCTGTTTGTACATAAAATGTTTGTATAAAGTATCATTGTCTCCTTTGCAAATACCTTGATTAGATTTTGAGGTCTCTATGTATTTTGCAGTTGGAGTCACAAAGATCGTTTATAAAGAAATGCATTTTACTTCGTGCAGTTAAAATGATCATATAATATTTACCTAAAATTCCCACCAGATTCAATACATTGAATAGACTTTCACTAGACATTCACTAAGCGGCAGCAAAAAGGACACTATATTTATGCTGGCAATGCTGATTTCTAAGATTATTATTATTATATTATTCACGGTTCAAGGTGAGTGTGGCCATGGATGGGGTCATAAGTGGGGCTTACTTCTAGAAGTTGCCTACATCACATCCTAATTTTTTGGGACGGTACCTCTGTTTCAAAAACTTTTTAAAATCACGCATATATCCCTTCGTTTTGGGTTCAGGGGCGAAACTTCACTGTTTTAAATAGGGGGGTATGAAGCTAGGATGCACGACGAAAGGGCGTGTCATGCTTGATGAAGAGGCGTATCATGCCTTGAAATAAACACGTAAACGGCGTAAATTCGAATAGAACTTTTGACATCACCGATTTCTGTACTCGTGTGGATGGTTTACATTTGAAGTTTGGATTCCATTGTTGTTTGAATGTTGCGCCTTCTGTCGAAAGACACCGACGTTATGTTTTGCACCCGTACTCATAAAGCTCGCAGGCAACAAACTGTTAGTTTCAGTTTAGGCCTTGGTTGTTTATCTGTGAGCCCTCATAGGAGCGGAAAGCTGGAACCTTGCTGAAACATCAACATCAGTACCTGAAAACAGTTGCTTAGGTGCGATAACAAACCCAGATAATGATATCAAGTCTGTCTGTAATTAGTTTCTTATCATGCACTATTCTTTTCTTACACGAGCGATTCTATAGAATTTGATAAAGCGGCAGTGCTGCAGAGATAACCCTTTCCAAAAGACTGTATGGCGTTGAGTGCTGCTTTTATACTGCACTGCATGTAGCTGCTTGTATTTCTTAATGCTCTCTCGACGGTTTTTTCATCTTTGAAAATTGTTGTCAACCAACGTATTCACAATAACATCACAAGCAACGTATTCACAATAACGGCAGCAAATCAAATTCACATGCATCATAACTGTGCTCTGCACAGCGACCTTGATGCTACGAGGAGGCTCGAAGAACTCAATTAGGAGTTCGCCAAGCCTCCTCCAATTAGGATATCATGGATTGAGATGGGGTTGGCAGGTGAGCAAATTACAGTACAAGATTATCACTATAGTTGAAGTAAAGATAACCAAAATTACAATTAGAGAAAATGTTGGGGAGATTGCAAAAACTTTTAAGCAAAAGCTTTACCTAACAAGGTTACGTTACGCCTCTGCAAGATATCATCTTTCAAAATTTAACAACAAGAGCTAGATTAGTACCCTCGAACCGTTTTGCTTGGGTTATTTCCAGGCTACCTAAGAGACAGAACAAGCGTTCCTATTTTGTGCATAAGATCCTAAGATAAGACTTCATTCCCAGACCCCTGCACGCCCCAATAAAACCCTGTTGTCTTAGAGGTCGGACAACCATAGAATGTCATTTTACTCGGTGACGAGCCTATGTTATTTAGAATTTCTCGCGGACCAATTCTTTAGTCAAATATCGCACAAGATATTTCCGGGAAAAAGAGATTTTCAGGGATTTTCTGATAAAGCAATATGGCTTCCATCAAATGTCCGATATTTTCATAGAGATGTTTCACAACAGTAACCTGAAAAATTAACAAGGCTAAAGTAAATTGTTTGATATAATAAATGGTATACAAACATTTAAATCCTCACTGTGAAATTTGTCTTTGTAATAAAGCACTTTTCTTTTTTTAATAAAGTCTGTCTCAATATCCGAAACCTGAGTAAATAGATGAGTTTGTCAACTTGAGCTGTGAATCCAAAACCAAATATTATTTGACACTGGAAAAATTTTGGTAAAGAGAATTAATTCAACATGCTCATTCCTTGGTCTATGATCATTCTAATTTGCTTGGTTTCTAATACACAATGCCCACTTCTGAAAATAACCTTACTCCTTTCAACTTTGCATACCTTTTGATTGCAATATCTTATGATCACTGTCAGTCTATCTGGATATCTTATGAGCACATTCCGAACACAGAATACCAGCTGATGATCTTGGAAATGACCGTAAGTGCCCAAATTGTCCCCCTCTCATATAACGCCTCCCAAAGACGCCCCCACCTTAGACGCAGAGTTGTTTAATGCATCCCCACTCTCGAATAAGCCCCTACCACCTAAACTTCCCATTTTTTCGCTATGATAAGTCCCTAAGGAGCTTGATTGTGGTACATGGGCTCTCTCCTTCAGGCATTAATTTGAAAAATTTTCATCACTGCACAAATCGTAAATCCAAGACTTTTGGGGTCAAATAGGGTGCGGCTAGGGGTGTGGCTAAGTTTTGACTGGACCTCTTTTGGACTGAAGAAAAACGTTTTGCATTATTTTCAGGGACATTTTCAGTAAATTTAGCCTAGCTACAGCTACCACTGATTATGTATACATCTTACCAGAACATGTTAAACAGTGTACCAAACCTGGTAACAGGGAAGTTTTTCTTCACTTCCATCTTATGGAGTCAATACAGTATTTCTTTGGGAATGGGGGAAACGAAGTGCACCAGACCTTGATTTGCGGTCACTGGCATATCAGTATAACGACATTCAGGAGAGCGATGTAGCAAAAACGGCAACCCAAAGGCTCTCCTGAGATATCTTTGCAGACAAAAGCACGAAAAAGAGGTAGCACAGGTTATGGCCCGGATTCTGGTTTGCAAGCCACACTCAGAAGACTGCGAGAGATTGGTCTCGGTATATAATAACCTCAAGGCTTTAGCCCCCAGCCCCCCTGCTCCGCGGTGCCTGAGACAAGCGCCAGAAGCCGGCTTCTACGTGAAACAATCAGTAAAGGTTTATATGTCTACATGAATATGCCTGTCTTGACCATGTTCGACCCAAGATCGCTGTGCACTATTTTCTGCAAGAACTAAATTTTAGAGTGAAGCCTGATTTCCACTAGACGAATTTTTTTGTGCGAATCGAATTAATAGTCGTAGCGATAGAGTAGGACCGTGATCTACTTTCTGCGAATCGAATTTTTACGCTGCGAAATTCGAGAACATGCCACCATGCATGCTCACATTGGTAAAAATTCGATTCGCGCGAAGAAATTCGCCTAGTGGAAATCAGCCTTTATATTAGGGATACACCAAAGGCTTATCGACAAGCCTGGTTTCGCAAAATCTTGACAAAGTGAAAGTGAGACACAAGCATCAAGCATCAAGAACTAAAAAGCCGGCTCCATTCATTTGCAGCCGATACATCGCATAGATAGATAGTTTCCGCATATGCTGTCTCGGTCCTCTCTCTATAAAGTGTAAAGGCTTATTTAGTCAAAACAAATTAAGGAACTATTAAGGAACTTTTGGTACTACAATTTGATGATCTGAGGTCTACGAATAAGGAACTTTTGGAACTAGGCCTCGATGTAAGTTTCTTATAAAAAACCGTATATGTAAGCATACTATCAAGTTTTAGATAAAGTTTTGATATTTTATCCTGGGGTATGCTTAATGCTTGTTTTTTAGGAGAGTCTTGACAGCTTACTTTCGGAATATGAATCAGCGGTATAACATTGGCAATAGATATATAAAGATATAATTTGTTTGGTTATTATAAAGTGGTATAGAGCGTAGAAAATTGCCAATAAACCTAACAGCAAACATTGATGCATCTACCTGAAATATCGTTTCACAAAGGGATGCACAAACCCATGCTGAGTTGGCTGAGTTTTGCCACCTCGTATAACTAGCATTCGGATTTTCAAATTCATAAACATTATGAAGTGCGTAAGTGACTAACTGTATATTGTTTTAATTGTTAAAGTTGGTTTAACTTGAGTTTCACACGTAAGTTGATTCGATTATCTCATTTGACTCTCGATTATAGTCTGTATTCATCTGCCTTTATTCTGAAAACATCCAAATCAGTAATATTTGGAGTAATGCAAACTGAAAAGTAAAAAAAAAATTCATCACTGCACATTTTCAATTCATCACTGCACATTTTCGATGCACCTTAACTTAATCCTTGCTCTCCTTGCTTCTCGACTTGTGTTGAAAAATTATGTCTAAAGAGGGCTTAAATAACTTGATTCAGCTGCACTTGATCTACAAGTCTTATTTGATGAAATTAATCACAAATTCCAGAGGCGCCTTTAAGGAAGATAAAACACGTTTTTAAGTAGAATTAATTAAAAGAGTGTTGTTGTTGCCACTAGAAGAAAATAAACATGATTTTTTGACCGCAATTTTTCTCCGTGAGTCACAAAGCATAGTCCACGTTTTACCGGATCATTGTAAACAAGTATTTTTGTCAAGTATAATGTATGGTAGCGCTTAATTTCCTTGCCCGTCGAATTATCTAAGATTCCTATTTGTCTCGTGATAGATTAATTAAGACGATAACACAAGCTGCTTCCATTTTATAGTTGTCTCTTTTTCAAGTAGATTGGCGCATGCGTTGTTTTCAACTGTCCTACTTTTTAATTAATACTTTATATCGCATGAAATGTCCATTCCTACACAAAATGTAGATCTATCATTATGACATGGAAAGTATTTTTAAGCATTGACCATATACTTTAATATCAACAAAAACACTTCTTAAAGTATATGCCACTGGTTTATTATCAAATGTAACAATAATCAGTTGATTAGTTAAGATTTCTTCTCACTGTTAGAATAAGCCTCCATAAGTCCTAAAGCAAATCATAGATCCAAAAAGAAATTTTTCATTTTCTATGGTCATATTTTATATCATTCGTGTCTCCAGTTGACCGTGCTCTAAGAAAATTCCAAATATTGATTTTCGTTGCAACCTTTATTGCAACGATGAAGCCATTGAGCCAAGAAGCGAGCCCAATGGAACACCAGTGATGACATGACCCAGGTGGATTGCTATTTTTGGTAGTGTTATTTTTCAAGACGGAAATTGGTAAAATCAAACATGGTCCTAAATTTAGGGGTTGGTTTTTAGCATGACCTTAAATTTTTGGGTATCATTCTTAAAAGAAGAAATATGTTTTCATTTTCTTGATTGAATTGTTGGATTTTTGCAAATTGAATTTAAAGATATGCATTTCATACTATATCAAAATTCTGGGGTAGAGGTTTTGGAAAATTTGTAAATTTTAGTGTATGTTTTCAAATTTCAAAATGGCGCGCGTACTTTGCCTATTGAAGTTACCTGGGTGCCATGGCAAGCTATTGATCAATTCCAGCGCGACTCCAGCGCTGCTTATTCTTGTAAGATGCCCCAAACCCTTGCAAAAGACACTTGAAATGGAAAATCCGGCAGTTACTCGGTTGGTTTGGAAAATAAATTCTATTCGATGAAAGCTATTGACACAATATCCCGTCCCCCGTGAAATGTCAGTGATGAAAACGGTTTATATCTTACTGTTATAAAAATTGGTAGGGTTAACTTCTCAAACTGTAAACTTTTTAGATTACAGTTATTTAGCTTTTTCAATAAGAAGACAGAGGTGCACTTGCCATGCTCATGTGGACAATTCGCTTTGGAATGTACCCTGTTCTCCAGGCCCCAAGCACAGGCTATCTAGGATGGTCAACCACCACAAATACCGTATAACATTGAAAAACAGGCAAGTGTGCCTTTCATATTGATACCCTTTTAGGAGGGGGGGTGCGTTGATTCTAGCAGGGGAGGATTTCCTGGTTACATTCAACTGAAGTGTGCCCCTTCTTTATTTTGTGACAAATTTTCTTTTCAACGAGAGTGGGTCATGTTTCAAGAGGGCGTTTGAAAGAGTGGAGACATTATTGAGTTTGCAACATTATTGAGGAGGCGTCCATCCAGGGGGCGTTTACTCGAATTTGTTCTGATAGACTAATCACTTTCTATTCATTGTCAAGATAGTTTCGATAGCCTTAAAGCTGTCCGTTCCACGCGACTGCTATAGCCATTCTCTACACAAGCGTCCCTGTATGTTCATATAATGTCATAAATGCATCTGTTAGCTATTAGTTTGTTATGCAAAGTCTCTTCTTGCATTGCATACCTTTGTGCGCTCTTTCTTTGCGGTGTAGGCATCTAAACGTGCTTGAAAAATGTGACGCCACAATGAATACTTTTGATACAATAACTTCTTTACGCCTGAATTTCATTGTTGTCAAAGGAAATTGCCTTATGTTCTTGTCAAATATAAGTTATGGTCTGTGGATAACAGATAGGCTTTCACTTATTGTATTCGAGTTTAAAGTGATTCGCGCTTCATTGATATCTCATTATTCTTACGCGAATGACGACATAACGCCCATTTGCCACCTTTGTCCATTATCCGACGCAACAAATTTGACTCCTTAACTTGCAAGTTAAACGAACGGGCATAGGAAATTCCACTGTATTTCTTGAATATTTAATGAAGGACTCCTTGATTCAGTGCTTCGCGGATCGCATCTAAACGGCAAGTACCGGCTTGTTGTACTGCAGTTAAACATTGTAACGTGTCTATTATTGAATGCTCTTCATTTCAATGTACTTCAATCGCCACCGATGTGAAAAGCACAACCAATATTTGCGCAGCTAAAGATTGTCATCGTGTTTGGTTTTGAGAAGACAATACGCAAAACTAATATGTATTGCACCTGCTATGGATATCAGAAACTTTATGAAAAGCCACTTTAAGTCTGAACAATACTGAGAAGGCTGTCCTCGTAACTACCAAAACAACTCTAGTACTCTTGCGAATTTATTCTTGCTAGAAGACACAATGTTCTACAAAGCATCACAAAACTATGTGCTGGATGACGAATCGTTTCTCAGTGAGTAGATTTTTGTTAATGTTGTTTATATTTGTTTGTTCATTGCTGTTTATCACAACTATATCTCTAACACTCAGCAGGTTTTAGTTGTTGTTATTTGCAACTTAATTTTGTTTGGCCAACTTCTTTTCAAATCAGCTCACAATCTGATTTCTTGATAAGCTACAGTAATAAATGAGCAGTCAGAATTCAAGACGGTTGCTAAGGCAATGAATATTGGTCTGTACGAAATCCTTGCATCAGCTTCTCATTGCAGGTGAACATAGACAGCATGTAGTAACCTCCTGGTGATTTTACACATGTTACCACTTATGTTAAGGGCACAAGAGAAGAATTTTTACTTAGACAGGTTATAATATGAAAACATTTATGTCTAAAAGAGAAAACTTTATTATCGTTTACACCAACAGTAGCGACCAAGTCTTTCGAAACCATATGAGTGGTAATAGTATTAAAATTTTAAGTAGTCAAGTCTTAAATCTTAAGTCACTTGTCACGTTAATCATGGATGTTTCCATCATTTCAAAAGTAGAGCGCTGTCAATTGGTAAAGAATCATATTTGCTATGTTTTGAAATCTATGCAAACATGATAAATGTCTAGACAATATGATGAAGATAACTTCATCTCTAAGTTTTGAAAAGAAAAAATATTTTATATCATGTCTCTAGTAGAATTGTCAGGGTGTTGCAACCCCCAGTTATTCAATTGTTGCTTTGTAAAATCGCTAGCAGTTGGGCAATAAAATCATCTTAAACAGGGATGAAAGTTCCCTCATGTTTACCCTCTTTGCTAAAATTTTACTTGCCATGACCCTGCACCCGACACCAGTCGGAAAAGTATGGTGCAGATTGTAGAAATATTATTTTGATTTTGTTTCAAATAGATAAAAGCGTTATTTACTCTAGATCACTTTTGATCGATCTGGTAGCTTACTCGATAAATTAAGTTCTTTGTCATCTTTCTAAAAGCTCTGAAAGCAGCTTTCTAAGAAGGGCTTTTAAAGAGTTTCGTTAATAAGAAAAAAGGCTTCCCTGTGCAGCTAGCTATTCGATACAATAAGACTGCATCTCGGTGGTCAATAATTCAATTATCGTTTATTTATTTCCTAGATGGTTTGAAAATCCACTTTCTGATGCCATTTTGATAGTAAAAATTGCTTTTATTTCTAATTGTTCGACAGTTCAATATTGCAGAAGTAGAAGTTCGTCCCAGACGTCTTTTCTTCGTCGATAATATTTTTTTATAAAAATATTGAAATTGACAGTGCTCCTCTATCAAAGACGGAAAATTAATAATATTTGTGTGTCAGGCCCTCTATGTTTTCTAAACATATTTTTATTGTAACGCATTAGCAAATAAAACATAGATGTAGATTCACTATTTTTTCGTTTATTTTTCAATTCTCTGCCACTTCATTGCAGGAAGCTTGCCTCTACCATTTCATAGCAGCTAAAATCTATTTCGATTTTCTTGCCTTAACTACATTTCTTTTATCTATCGATGACAGATGACCAGGGAGCAGTTATTTGTCACGACATTTAGTTTGCTTTACTAGTTCTCTTGAAATGGATATAGGCCACAGCCCTTAATCTTTCCCGAAATATCTGGAAGGAGAAATACGTAATTATGCTCATTTCTGTAGCTACGTTTAAGAAGCTGGCATACGTCGCAACACTTAACCATATTTATCAGATTTTTTAAAAAAGACAAAACGTCACATCATCTAATTATCCTTACTTCTCAAAGCAGTCACGTCACAATACTTAATCTTCTTAACCAGATTATTTTAAGGCGCAAGCACGTCACACAATTTAATCTTCTTTACTCAATTTCATCAAGCAAACATGCGTCACAAAGATTTACCTTTTTCATCAAGATTTTTGAAAACAGAGATACATCACAACAATTGATTTTTTTAACAGATTTCTGGAAACAGAATTGCTAGACAAAAATTTTCTCCTTTTTACACTTTGAGGAAGTAAAGACATGCCAAAAAACTTGATCTTCTTTACCTAGTTACTTAACAATTCCTAGAAAATGAGATAATCTCTTCTACCAAATTACTTTATAGCAGAGGTTTTTCATAACTTTTATTCTTCTTTAACAGGTTTTTCGGAAGCAGAAATACTTGATAACATGTAACTTTCTTTCTGAATCTTCTGCTTGCCGAGTGTACGTCAAAAACGTAATCTTCTTTACTAGATTCCTGGAAGCGAAAATGGCACATTAGATTTAATACATGTTTGCCCTTTTGGCTTTTAACTGGGGCAGCTGGAGTATTAGGCTAACTTTTTAAAGCCTGGTTTTCACTAGACTCATAAGGGTCGTAAGGATCGTAAGAAACGTAATTTAAAAATTTTATGACGCTTATGATCAAGTGAAAACACCAAGAATCATAATCGTAAAATAATTAGCACTTGATACTATCTTTGAAAATTCGTAACATAAGGATCGTAAAGATAAAAAACTTTTTCATCTTTACAATCCTTACGACTGGATGTTCCTTTGTTTTGAGAATTAGGTGACAAAATTTCCTGAATTACAGTCGAAGGCCGCACACATTGCTCCTTCTCTTGTTGGCCTTAACATGAAATTTATTTTCTGTATACAAAATGGGTCTATCTCGCGCGGAAAGATTATATCTATCGTGAAATTCATCTGCTTGAAAAACAAGTCTTCGAAAGACTACAAACAAGTTGGCAAAACACCTTGCTCAGATCTCCTTTTGAAAATTTTGCGAAATCCAAAACCCTTTCTTTCCTCGTATTTTATTAACTTGCTTTTTTTCGACGCCTCCATCTTTTGATTAGAATATACACTGCCAGGAACAAACGCAAATTCGTAGCAGCCATGCTGGATCCGTGCAGACAAATGCCTGGGAAAAGAGCGCCCTTTTCAAATCATAAGAAATCTCACTACTTTTACGATACTTATGATGCTTATGACATTGTGACAACAAATGATTTCTTATTCTTACGATCCTTAAGACATTTTAATGATGGCATTTTCATTTGGATTATAAGAAGCATAAGTGACGCGGACTTAAAAATTATGTTTCTTATAATCAATACGATCCTTATGACTCTAGTGAAAACCAGGCTTAAAAGCACTGGAGAACGATTTCCGTTTACGTCTTACATATTATTACCAATTAGCCTTTTTGTTTTTTAATTTATATCTTCATTAAGGAAGTTTCATTTATCCATTATCACCGCTTCTTACACACATGGCTTGTTATTGCCGTCAAAATTAAAAAGATGTGGGATAAACAGGCTGAAAATTAAGGAAAGCATTTCTTGCTTAACATTCAGTTACTGATATTCCGATCTCACAAAGGGAAACTTGCATGCAATTTGGATTATCCAATTTTATCGGATAATGATCATAGTTATTAACATCAAAAGGAACGTTTAGAAATTTCCACTTTTAATGTTGGTCATTGACGGTTTTAATGCGGCTGCGTTGTCTTGCCATTGGAACCAACTAAACTAAACTGGGATGTCTGTTGTGGTCGGTGAGAAATGATAGAAGCCTTTTTACCTCGTTGAAAGATTTTTACAATCGTTTTCTCTATCGTCCATATTGATTAGAATATTTTAAGAATTGCTCATTTTAATAAAATAAATTGAAAAATAGCAAGAGACATTTTCTGTACTTATAAGAAAATATACAGGGCTGCCCCCAGATCATTCATATTTAAATTATTTTTCATGTCTTAATTACTTTTAAACAAGATATTCGTGCAGTACTATGGGTATTTATTATGCTTCAGCTTACGTCAAATAATTTTTACCCTAAGATATCTTTGATATCAAAAAATACTTTTAACCTCATTGCATGCTTCAAAAATCACTTCCATCTGTTTGTTTAATTGAATTCTTTCTTTTACCGTTTATTTACTATTGAAATGGTCTCTTTTGGCGGTGAAGCCTGAGTCTTGCCTATAGATGGGTTGTAGGGGTTGACACCATCAGTATTCAGTTTTTTTCAGTTTCAGTTTAATGTAATTTTGAAATTCCACTACATATAATCCAAAAAGACAAAATTCAAATACAATTAAATATGAAATGCTTAACTAATCAATACAAGCTAAATACTACACAAGAAATCTAAAAGAAACAATATATGTTATCACATCATGAAGACAAAGGAATTGTATGTAGAGAATTTCTTAGGGAGGGACTCTCTCAGTAGCTAGGCTTATCGAGGAGAGAGCACCCCTATTTATAACTGACTAGCTAACTCTTTAAAAATATCTTTTTTTTAAAAAAATTCTTTAAACAATTTATGCATCTATCTTGGACGAGGCTGAATGGGGAGTAACTGTAATACCATCCAGTAACTGTAATGAATTAGGCAAGGGTAAACGTGGTAGGTTGCAAATTGAAATAGAGCAAGTCAGTTTTTCCGCATCTCATTTATGCGTCTATCACTTACTTGCCACACTCATTACCAGTCTCATTGGCAAGGGAAATGACAATCGTAGCTCTTCATAAATTGAGCAATGAAAACCAAAAGTGATTTTCCGTGCCTAGTGGACACATTAAGCAGCATTGGTCTTATCTCCCTAATGTCTTTTTTGTATTTTACAAATCCATTATCCCATATAATGACAAATGAATTGAAAGTTAAGAGAAGGTACGTTTCAAATATTCATCATTTGTCATTAAAAAGGCACATGAATTTTCTGTTAATCAACTCCTCGTTTTAACGGATGTCTCTTCATATGCGAAGTCACAAGTTCTTTCCCATTTTGTCCTCTTCTGGTTTATAGAACCAATGATCAATAAAGATCTTACCATTCCAACTTCGCAATTTTCTCTCTGTGCTAAGTTCATACAATGCAATGAGTCTGCAGGGTATTTATTGGCTGTTTTGCAAATAGTAATGTACTTGTATCACCTCCATGAGGAACCCCTGCATGTTTGTTGATTCATCCTTCACGTGGCTCTCTATTGTTTATTTCTATTTAAATCTTATCTATACATCAAGTTACAA